ACGCGTCTAGAGTTTTGGCCGCCTCCACCGGTCTTCTGGCCCACTGTGTAACGGCGCCCCGCGGAGGCGGAGAGGCGGAGCGGAGCAAGGCGGCGCCGTCCGGCCGCGGCAACTTGAGCCGGACGTGGGTGACGTGGGCGGCGGCCTCCACAGATTGCTCCAGCACTGTTCCCGGACGTTCCAGGACTGTCCCAGAAGCGGGGCCATCCGGACAGATTTTCCCGCGCTGTCTCTCTCGCACGCGGCACGGGGCGGCACGGGGCGAGCCGCGAGTGCGACAGAGACAGCAGGACGGGAGGGATGAGCCTGGCTGGCGTCGTGACGCCCACGCGCGCTGCGCGCTGCCGCCCAGGGGCGCCAGGGGCCTGTTATGGTGTAGGCGTCGCTAGCGTCGGACACGACTGGGGACTCGCTTCGACGCGAATCAAGCACGCCCGTGGATTCCTCGTGGCGAATGCGATCCAGTGGTTGATCTGAGTCCCGTTCCTGGTCCAGGACCAGAGCGCCAACGTGCCTCCAGCGTCCTGCCCCGTTGGTCTGCCCGTCGCGGTCCCGCGCCCCGGCCAGGTGACGGGGGGTAATCGCCCAAAAATTTAAGAGTGGCTGGCGGGGCGGGGTGGGGAGGGGGGGGCGGTCCTGCGGTTGATGGTTCACTCGGCCGCTTTAACGTGACACGCCCGGTTCGACCCTCGTGAATCAATGAGCCCCCAACCCACTCGCACCCCGAGGCCATGAGGGGCCAGGGCCAGCCTGGCCAGCCTGGCCGGCGGCATGGCGGTGTGGTGTGGGGTCAGAGCCGCGCCGCCCCGGCCACGCGATGCCCAGGTCCAGCAGGCCGGAACTGCTACCCCCAACCCCCCTTCCGAATTCCCCATTCCCATTTCCTAGTCTGAATTATTCATTTTCATTCTTTCCCGCATGGCGGGCTATTCATATTCATACCGTTCATTTTCTTGAGTGATTCCTTGGCCTGGCCAGCCCAGGGCGCAGGGCAGACCCTTGCGGCCGGCGCGCCAGGCCACCGCATCTCGGCCGCCAACGGGGCCCCCGCCACCGAGCCCCCGTCGCGGTGCTCAGCGGGGCAGCTATGCTTTCAGCCGGAAAGGAGAAAGATGCAACCTGGGCGGGAGGGTGCCTGAGGAAGGGGAAGGGGAAAAGGGGAGAGAGAGGGGAAAGAGAGGGAGAGAAGAGGAGAGAGGGGAGAGGGGGAAGGGGGGAGAGAGGAGAGAGAGCCGTGGCACGGTCGGGCTCGACGCTAGGCTAGGCGACGCCGCCTTGTCCGAGGGGTCTCGATTTGTTCCATCGGGGCTTAGCGGAGACGCGCGGGGCGGAGGGGAGGGGGAGGGTGGTAAATAATGTACGTTGCGGCGTGGCGAGGCGTGGCGAGGCGTAGGCGACGCAGGCACGTAGCTAAGCGCCGCACGTCCTGCCGGACAAATCTGTACGCCGCCAGCCGCCCGTCGCCCTGTCTCTCTCGCACCCACGCGGCGCGCCGGGCACGCCGCGGCGAGTGTGCGAGAGAGACAGAGTGTTCGGAATGAGCACTGTCTTTCGGCGCCGCGTGCTCGCTAGGCCAGCCGTTCTCAAACCTTTCCCTCGACCCGAAAACGGCGGCTGAAAATTATGGCGACCCCACCGCTGGAGGAATTGGGCGAGAATCGCGGTTCGACCCCCACTGGTTCCTGGCCCTTTCCTGCAGTCTGAGACAGTGAGACCCGGCCCGGCTTCAACCGCATCTCTTGGCGGGAATCAAGGGTCCCCAGTGGCGGCGCACGCTCCAGTGCGCGGAGTCCCGGCACAGCCCAGGAGCTTCACAGTGACATTGGAATAAAGGGAAAGCTCGTCCAGCCGAGGGGAGCCGGGAGGTCCTCCAACGAAGCGCCCCGTGGCACAGTGGGCCAGAAGACCGGTGGAGGCGGCCAAAACTCTAGACGCGTTTTGGGCTCCAGCGCCGCTAAATGGGACTCAAATCGAACGTGTGACCCCACCAATAGATTGCTCTCCGAACGAGGGACCCATTGGTGGGGTCACACGCTCGGTTCGAGTCCCATTTAGTGACTCTGGAGCTCAAAACGCGTCTGGAGTTTTGGCCGCCTCCACCGGTCTTCTGGCCCACTGTGCGTGGCCGCGCCGTGGCCGACGGGGCGGAAGCTCGTCCACCGCGCTGCGCGCTGGTCCTGCCTTCGGTCCCGGCAAGTCCTGCAAGTCGTGTTTGTTCACTGCCACGCCTCGCGGCCTCGCGGCCTCGCCGATGAAATGGGCCCGCTGATCTCCGCGAGGCACTGCCGGCACTGCCGAGACTAGCCGACCAATTCCCGGAGCGATTCGGCGCGGCCTTGTCCGCTGTGTACACGGAGCGGAGCGGAACAGTCCGAGATTGGTTGCAGAAGGCGGCGAGTTTTGCAAGTGGCGCGGCGTCGGCGGCGTCGGCGGCGTGCAGGCTGTGTGCCGCAGTGTGCTCACGGCCCCGTCCGCCACCCGAATTTCCCATCCTCATCACCGCTCCGATTTATATTTGGCTGTTTGTCTTTTCTTCTCTTTGTCTTCCTTTGCTTAACTAAACCCCCCCCTTTGGGGGCCCTCGGCCCCCCCCCTCCCGGGCCCCCAAAAACAGCAAGCTGCCTGCGGACGGCGGCGCCCTCGTCGTCGCTCTGTCTCGCTCGCACCCGCACGGCGCACCCAGCCCGCGAGCGAGAGAGGGAGGGAAGGTCAGAGGGAGAGACCTACCGCAGCACTGGCACCCTTTTATTTATTGCTGTTTATCATTTTGGCAAGGCTCCTATTTCATTTCGTGCGCCGCTTTACTTTTTGCGTGCCCCGCCCCGCCCCGACGTCTATCCGGCATTGTATCGCGCGGCCCGTGTTTAATTTCCAAACAGTCGGCTGAGTCGGCTCGGCGCGAGGAGGCGCGACGCGGCGCGACGCGAGGGGAGGTCGGGGAGGGGCTAGAGGCGGGCACGGAGGCGGCCAAAACTCGAGACGCGTTTTGAGCTCTAGAGTCGCTAAATGGGACTCGAACCGAACGTGTGACCCCACCAATGGGTTGCTCTTCGAACGAGGAATCTATCGGTGGAATCACACGTTCGGCTCGAGTCCCATTTAGCGACTGTGGAGCTCAAAACGCGTCTAGAGTTTTGGCCGCCTGCACCGGTCTTCTGGCCCATTGTGCGGGCCAAGGCGGGTGGCATTCCTGCACGGACAAATGACTCATCGCTTCCCCTGCTGCCTCGCCTGCTGCCTCGCCGTGCCGCGACGTCGCCAAACTTTTCCTTCACTCGATTTGTCGCCCGCGGAACTGACACGCCAACAAAAAAAATGGAGAAAATAAAATAAAATAATGGGTTTTGTTGTTGTTGTTTTTTTTTTGCAGTGTACGCTTCTCTCGGTTCCGGCATGGCGCGCGGTCGGGCGGAACTCCACGCGCAATGTAGCCAACTTCATGACGCCGGTTATAAATTGCCCGGCCGCGGCCAGGCCGAGCAGGCGGGCGGGCTGGCGGGGCAGGCGGGACCTCCGCGACGACGAAGGAGACCTTTCGTTGGCGCGCGGCTGTGCCTTGCCTTGCCCTTGCTTCGCTCCAGCTCTCCCTGCTTCTCTGCTTTGCGGCCGAATGCAGCTCGCTCCAGCAGGCCGGCTCACAGTGGGCCAGAAGACCGGTGGAGGCGGCCAAAACTCTAGACGCGTTTTGAGCTCCAGAGTCGCTAAATGGCACTCGAACCGAACGTGTGACCCCACCAATGGATTCCTCGTTCGGAGAGCAATCCTTTGGTGGGGTCAAACGTTCGGTTCGAGTCCCATTTAGCGACTCTGGAGCTCAAAACGCGTCTGGAGTTTTTGGCCGCCGCCACCGGTCTTCTGGCCCACTGTGCGGCTCTGCGCAGCGCTCTCGCGGCCACCCGACTCTCTCGCGCTCCTTCGCGATGCCCTGTGGGTGCGAGAGAGACGCCGCTATTCGGCATCGGCCTGCCGCCGCCTGCTGCCTCAAGCTGCTGCCGAGCGAGCAGCGAGCCCCGGCCTCGGCCCGGCCGTTGTCGCGGACACTTGGACCGTGACTGGCAGAACGGCCAGCCTTCTGCGGGCTGGTTGCGAACCGTGGTTTCGGCCGCGCTGTCTCTCTCGCACTCGCGGAGCGAGCCGCGGGCCTGCCGCAGGCCGCGCGGGTGCGAGAGAGACAGCGCGACGCAACGCCGCGCGGCATCGCCCTGCTGAGGAGACAAAGGGGAATTCCAAAGTCGAGCCATCAATCACAAAGGCGGGCGTGTTGCAGGGCCCGGGACCGGACCGGCCCGGCCTGGTGACAGGGCGGCGAGAAAAAATCAGCCGAGACGACGACGACCTGGACGGCGACGCCGAGGAAAAAAAAGAAAGTCTGGAGGAGCCTCCTCATCGCGCGAGTCTCCCTTATGGCGGCGCTGCCTGCCCCGCCTGCCGTGCCTGCCGCTGACATGTGATATGTCGAGACGGCCACATCAGCAACTTCGCGACATGACAAGGAAAGGGAGGGGGAGAAAAAAAGCGACTGTGGGGCTGGGTTTTCCCCCCGCCCTTTCATCCCCCCCCCCCCCTTTCATCCCCCCCCCTCCCCCACCCTCCCCCCGCTCCTCTTTGGGGGCCTTTTTCCACAAAACCCCACAAAAACCAACACCCCAGCATGGGCGGGGTCGGGAAGAAAAAAATGCCAAAAAAAAAGTGGAGTTTAAAAAATTACCTCCCTTTCCAGGGAACCCGGCCCCCCCGGCCCCCCCCGGAGCCCCACCCCGCCCCCCCCACCCCGCCCCGCCCCGCCCCGCCCCCCCCCCACCACCCCGCCCCGGAACAACAACAACACGGCCTAGGCCAAAAGGGCCAAAACCGCCAAAAGGGCCAAAACCAGCAGACGACGAATGGAAGGAAAATAATGCGAGTCGTGCAAGGCGGTGGGCCGAGGCGGTGCTTGGTTGTCGCCGGGAGCGAGGCAGCAAGGCGGTGAGCGGGGGCGGCGGACCAGCATCACCGGCATCATGTTCTTGCGCATGGCGTGGCGCGCTCGCGCCGTGCACGCGCACGTGTCGCAGCTGAGGCGCGTCAAGGAGAGGCTCGTGCTGGCCCACCTGCGGAACCAGCCGCCAGAGCCCACCACCAGCGAGGAGCTGCACCGACTGTGGGCGCGGTGAGGTTAGGGGGGGCCCCCCAGCGATGTTTTGTCACTATCTGTCTCTCTCGCACGCCGACGGCACGCCCCACGAGTGCGAGAGAGACACGGCGATGAAGCGCTGCCGTTCGGAATGAGTCCCCTGACGGCTGTCGCGGCTGTCGCAGGCTGCGGGAGCGTCTCCTGGGCGTGGTGCCGTGCGTCGGCCCGGCGGAGCGCTTCCTGGCGGACGTCCGCGACGAGTACACGCTCACGCACTTCGTGGCCAAGAGCCTGGCCGGCTTCCTCGGTGCGCCAGCAGCAGTGGTCCAGTGCGTCCCTCTCGCACCGCGACGGGAGTCGCCATGAGTGCGAGAGAGACGCCGCTGTTCAGCCTGCAGGCCCGGCCGCACTGGGCCGCACTAATTATACCTGACATTGTTGTCTCTGGCAGCGGGCGTGCTGTTGGTCTACGTGCTGTTCGCCGCGCTGGCGGCCGGCGCGCCCCTGCCCGCGGCCACGCGCGGGAGCGCCCTGCTCGCCGTGGTGCTCACCCTGGGGCTGGCCTTTTCCGCCAGAGTCAGGTAGGGCCCAAATAAAAGCACCGCGCCTCTCTCTCTCTCTCTCTCTCTCTCCCCCTCTCCTCCTCTCCCTCTTCCCCCCTCCCTCTCTCCCCTCTCTCTTCCTCCTCCCCCTTTTCTCTCTCTCTCTCCTCTTTTCTCTCTCTCTTTTTCTCTCTCTTTTCTCCTCCTCCCCTCTCTCTCTCCTCCCCCTTTCCCCCTCTCTCTCTCTCTCCCTCTCTCTCTCTCCCTCTCTGCCCCGCGGACCGACGGACCGGCGGTACCCGTGTCGTGGACCCAGAATAAATATTATCATTGCGTGGAAGAGGAGAGGGAACGGTATTTTGTTGTCGCAAAAATATCCGGCGGGGGAAGGGAGAACACGAACGCGAGCGGACTGGTCTTCCCTTCGGTCGGCATGGTCGGCAGGTGCTTCGTGCTACTGCTGCTGCCGCAGCTGTGCTCGTCGCGCGGCCGGCAAGCGCTGCTCGCCTACGCGCTCATCCTCACGCTGGCCGGCCCCGCGGCCAACGCGCTGCGCAACGCGCGCGTGCTGGCTGACTCGCTGCGCTGCGGCCAGGTACTTGTCGCCCACCTGTCCATACCCCGTGCCGCCGTGCCGCCGTGCACCGGGGGAAGGCTCCGCGATCGCGGAGTATCGACGCCGCGTGGCCGCCTGCTCGCAGGACCGCATGCGGGGCGCCGCGCGCCGCGTGCTGGACCTCGTGGCGCAGCCCCTGCGCGTGCTCAGCGAGGCGGTGAAGCGCGTGCTGAGGAGCATCAAGCAGGCCGTGAGGACCATCCGGGACATGCTGCTGTCCGTCAAGAGGGCCGTCATGGCGGTGTGTGAGTGCGCCTCGCTGCCCGCATCCTGACGCATCACGATCACGTCCCGGCGCACAGTGGGCCAGAAGACCGGTGGAGCGGCCAAAACTCCAGACGCGTTTTGAGCTCCAGAGTCGCTAACTGGGACTCGAACCGAACGTGTGACCCCACCAATGGACTGCTCTCCGAACGAGGAATCCATTGGTGGGGTCACACGTTCGGTTCGAGGCCCATTTAGAGACTCTAGAGCTCAAAATGCGTCTAGAGTTTTGGCCGCTCCTCCGGTCTTCTGGCCCACTGTGCGGCGCGCCGCCACTCAATGCTCGCCGCCCTCCATGTCGCAGACCACGCCGTCAAGGCCGCCTTCTCCTGGCTCAGCGAGGTGGTGTCCGTGTGCAACAAGACGGTGGGCACGCCCTTCCAGAAGTGCATGCGCGCCTTCGACCAGGCCTCCTCCGACTGCATGGTGAGCGCCCCACGTCCCCCCTCCCCCCGGTTTCACTATAAAACTCCCCCCCCCCCCCCACCCCCCCACTCTTTTCCAGGCCACCATGGGCTCGGCGTTCTCGTGGATGTGCAGCCCGGTGACGGCCATCCAGGCCGTGTGCTTCACCGTCAAGTTCCTGGACTACATGTGCGACCTCTTTGACCTCGTCACCAACGCCGTCGTCGAGAGCGTCAAAAAGAGTGGGTCCCCACAACAACGCATAATTTTCGCAGCAACGCAAAAAAAACAAAACAGACCGTGTAAAAAGAGCGTGACAGTGTACACGCTGGACGGCGCCATAAAAACTAATCCGCGTCGCATGACGACGGCGTCGTCCTGCCACTCGCAAATTGTGAAAAACGGAGTCCTCTTATTTTTGACGCAGAGCTCCGCGCTTTCGGCCGCCACGTGCAGAGGGCGCTGTACGTGTCCGTGGACATCGAGCACTCGTTCGAGCTGCAGACGAACCGCAGCAAGACCCTCACGCAGGTCAGGTAGTGGGTGGAGGTGGAGCTGGGCGCTACCGCGGCAGGGGGTTTCCGCTCAAACGGGGCGCCAGTGTCGAGGGTACACTGTTATTCAAAGAATGTGACATCACATTCGTTAGAATGTGAATTTTGTCACGTTCGTTTGGATGTGATGTCACATTCGTTTGGATGTGATGTCACATTCGTTTGAACGTGACACGGCCATCATGCGGCCGTCTGATGCGGGTGTCACATTCGAAGCTAAAAAACAAAAGAAGTGCCTATTTAAAAAGGCGCCATTTGTGGATTCTTTAAAAAGTTCCGTCCCGTCAAGGGCAGTCCGCGGGCACCATGGTTTCGGGGAGGTTTTTTGAGGGCCGGAAACTGTCGCGGCGTTTGCTGCTGAGCCGCCTGAACAGGCCATCGCCGGCCGCTACGGGGTCGCCGGTCGGCCCCCAGCCCCCGGCCACCGTGAATCTCCGCCTGCCCCCCTGTGGCCCACGGTATTAATTACTCAGGGATTCGCGAGGCTGCTTCCAGGCCGCTTCCTGGATCCCGGATCGCCGTGCCTTCAGCCTGCAGCCCGCGCGCCCGCCCGCCGCGCGCTGCCCCGCACCTGGGCGCGCGCCTGGCGCGGAAACAGACGCGAGGCGACGTTCGGGCCGTCGCGGCCAGCCTACGGCCCCCCCCCTCCGGGGGGCCCTCCGGGATGGGCCCCGGGGAGGCCGGGCGGGCGGCCGAGGGGGCCTCCGGGGCCGGGGGGTCTCACCCACGCTTCCCCCTCCAAAAAACCGGTCCCCTTCCGCGGCCGGGTAGTCCGGGGGGGGGGGATGGGGGTGACGGCTCCCCCCAACCCTCCCCCTCCCCCGCGTTCTCCCGTTAGCGCGTAAAGAGTACATCGCGGCCCGCCCCTCGCCCCCCCCGGTGTGCCCCACCGTGTGCCCCCCAGTGTACCCCACAGTGTGCCCAGCAGTGTGCCCCACAGTGTGCCCCCGGCGGCGTTCGCCACGGCGTGCCACACACCTCGCGTCCTGCCCGGGCTGTGTGCTCTTCTCCCTCGTCAAGGCCGCAGAGATGGCAGCGACGCGGGAGGGACGCGGGCGATGCATAGCGTGGATCCGCGTGTTTGCCAAGCTCAGATGACCGCGATTTTTTAAAACTCGAGCCCATCAATTTGATTCTCCCTCCAGGTGGCGAAGGACATCGGCCAGGACATCCGCGACCGGTCGGACGCGCTGCTGGGCGCGTTCGGCTTCATCAACAGCGCGCTCAGCCTGTGCTTCCTGGTGGTGCTGCTGCGCGTGTGGCTGTACCGCTACAAGTTCCTGACGCGCGACCACTTCGACAACCGCTTCGTGACCAAGGCCTTCCGCCAGCTGGACTGGAACCGCGCGCGCCAGGGCCGCGAGACGGTGCTGCCGCTCACCATCAAGGAGCAGAACAAGTACATCACGGTGGGGACTCGGGCCGGTGGCCGTGGACACTGTTGCCGCAACAGAGACACGCACCGTCCCTCTCTCGTTGGTAGATCTGGACGCCGCGGCTCGCCGGCATGGAGCGAGTGCGGCTGGCGCGCAGCCTGGGCGTCGTCCTCTCGCACGCCGCCAAGATGGCCATGTTCCTGTTGGCCGACTTCTTCCTGTACTGGATCCTGGCCATCGTCTACCGCCACGGCCAGTTCAAGGCGCACGTCGACAGTGAGCACGGCGACTCCGTCCCAGTGTCTTAGCGCGCCTGCGGACGCGAAGGTAGGCCTGCCCGCCACGCCCGCGTGTCTGGCGGGACAGTCTACCCTCTCGTTCGCGGGCGCTTCCACTGCCTCCCGCCTTGCCCGAGGCCTTGCCCGTCCTGTTCCCAGTGCCCCCGCACCTGGGCGTGCGCGTGTACGGCGACGGCGTCATCGCGCGGCTGTACCGCAGCGTCATCGACACGTTCAAGGTGTGCAGTGTAGTAGTCTCGGCCGTCTCGGCTCGCGTCCGGACAAACAGCGACAACGACAGACTCACTCACTCTCTCTCTCTCTCTCTCTCTCTCTCTCTCTCTCTCTCTCTCTCTCTCTCTCTCTCTCTCTCTCTCTCTCTCTCTCTCTCTCTCTCTCTCTCTCTTGTTTGCCTGCCCGGCAAGATAACCCAAAGTTTTCCTCCACTTGCACAAACAGAGCCTTGTTCTCTTCTGAGTCCACGCGCGCGTGTGTGTGTGTCGGAGCGAAGTGTGTCTGTGTGCGTAATGTGTGTAGGCGCGCGCAAAGGAGACTCCGAGGGGTGAGCGGATTAAATGGGAGTTGTTCGGCGTCGTCCTCAAACGGCTGTAACTGTCTGCGACTCCCTTGCGATAGCTCCATGTTACGCCGCGTTGCCTGGCCGCCTCGCCATCGGCTTTCCGTTGTGAAGGCCGAGCCGAGCCGAGCCGAGCCGGGCCGGGTTGAGTTGAGTCGAGTCTGTCGACAAGCAGACAGCGCCTTACCACTGCTAACTACTATAGCAGTGAGTGCTGGGGACAACTGTTGTGACCCACACAACACACATACACTCACAGCATGCGCCTAACACACACATGCACTCCGAGTGAGGCGAGCCGGGCGGAGCCAGGTCGCAGCAGCAAGCCAGGACGCCGGAACCCCGTCGGGACGGCGGCAACACGGTGCAAAGCACAGAAAGCGGTCCCCACTTCAGACTTCAGACACGGAAAAGGCTTTTTTTCCTTCTTTCCCCCCGCAGTGTGTTTTCGTTTTCACCGTGAATATTTTGGCTGCCGTACAGGTGGGCTGAGTGGCGCCGTCGGGGAAGGGTGAAAGGGCTGTGGGCCCGGCCTATGGGGCCCGGCCTGTAGGGCCTGTAGGGCCGCCGTGATCCCGGAGCGGCGCTGTGAGCCTCCAAGGGCCCCAGAAGGGCCCGCGCCCCGCGGCCTGCACCGCGCAAAGCAGCGCTGTGGGGCGATGCTGGCCGATGCGGACCCGGCCCAACGGAGCCGCGGGGCCCAACGGCCCAACCCCCGCTTGAAATTGGCCCTCTTTTGAGTGATGATGTTGCCGCGTGGCCCCGCGTGGCGGCGGGGGCGGCTCATTTGTTATGGGTGCTCGCTTTCCTTGGCAGTCAGCAACAGCACCCCGCGTGGGGGCTGGGGGCGGCTGGAGCGCATTCCAAGATGGAAGGCCTGGCCGGGCCTGGCGGGACCATGGCGGAACGAACGGTAGAGCCCGGAGAGCGAGCGAGAGAGTGAGTGAGAGTCTCGGAGAGTCTGCTGACCCTGGAAAGGGAGTGCTGCTGAGAGTGTCGAGGGGGAAGGGGGCGGGCAAAAAAGTTGTTCTGAAGCAAATTGCGGCGTGGCAATGATTTTGTTTGTGGCCGCCTCGCCCCCGCCTCGCCCCGCCGTCCCTCCGTAAGGGGATTACCGCGGGGACGCTGGACCAAATTGATTTTGACGCACTGTCCTCTCTCTCCACCTGGGCGTGGGTCGCCTGGCCGTGGGTCGCCTGGCCGTGGGTCGCCTGGCCCTGGCAGCCCTCGGACGAGAAGTGGGAGGTGGACAGCGTGCCCTGCCTGCCGCGGCCCTTCCCCCCGGACTTCGTGCGATACGTGCAGATCAGTAAGGAACAAGGAACACTCGGCCATGCCGGGCCATGCCGGGCCATGCCGGGCCACACGGCCCTTGCCTTCACTGCGATTGTTGTTTTTGTTGTTGTTGTTTGGTCCATTGCCAGTGACCATCCCACTGCTGTGCCTGGCGCTGGCCTTCTTGGAGCCGTACGTCCTCCGGGTCCGGCAGGCCGTCATGTGCCACTACCACCCGGAGCGCGCGCAGGAGCGGGCCGTCTGGCTGTACAACCACGTGCTGCGCGCCAGGAACACCCTGGCCAAGATGCTGCGGCGCCAGCTCCGCCGCCTGCTGGAGGCGAACCAGGACCAGCGCGGCGTGGAGCGCATCACGTGCCTGGAGTGGCTGCGCGCCAGGCAAGGCCGCCCGACTCTCTCTTGAAACTTAATTTTTAGATTTGAGTGACCGAGGTTTTGAACCAGCGTCTCACCCACACTCTAAATACGGGGTGCCCAGAAACTGGGCGTCTTTGTCGCCCGCCACAATTTTTAGGGTGCCAAATGTCGCCCAGTTTCTGGGCACCTATGTCACCTAGTCTCGGGGTGGACAAACAATTAAGGAACCTGCCTTCACACATGGCTCAGCAGCGACTAAGGTGCCAAAGGTGCCCAGAATCTGGGCACCTTAGTCGCCCAGGAACTAGACACCTGAGCATGCTCTACCATGGGAGAGGGCCGGTTACTGTATGATTTGTCCACCCCGAGACTGGGCGACAAAGGTGCACGGCAAAAGTACCGCCTGGGATTTCCAGGCGGTGCCTGGAAAATAGGCCCTTTTCCCCATGATGCGCCTGGGAATCCCAGGCGGTACTTTTGCCGTGTGCCTACACTCTAAATGTTCTACAGTGAAGATTCTCCATGTTATGGTGAAAATGTTCCATATTATGGTGGTGCAGCTGACCTTGTAACATACCATTGAGAATTCAATGTACCTTATAGATATTTTGACGAATTTTGTTGGTATTATGGAGAAAATCCCCACCATAATATGTTGGTGCAGCCTTTCACCGTAAGACATTTACAGTGTAGAAACTGGGCGACATTTGGCACCCTAAAAAGTGGGGCGGGCGACAAATGCGCCCAGTTTCTGGGCACTCCGTATTTAGAGTGTACCCTCTCTTTGCGACCGGGTTCTTGAAAACGTGACCTCCACCTCCTCCGGCGCCAACCGCTCGGCGACGCAGGCTGCCCTGGACGCGGCTGGTGCTGGGCGGCGGGCGCCAGGAGTGCTGCGTGCTGTGCGCCTCCCCGGAGCGCGACGGCGACGCGGCCACGGCGCTGCAGCGCTGCGCCACGCCGGGCTGCGCCGGCCAGTACTGCGCCACGTGCTACAGCGAGCTGGGCCGCCTGTGCACCGCCTGCAAGATGCCCGTGGACTACGGCGACGTGTCGGACATCAGCGACGAGCCGTGAGTTGTCCCGTCTCCCCGCGGGACTAGCGCCTCAGAGACAGGGCGACGAAACCACTCTTCGGAATCGCTGTGCCTTCCTGCCTGCCTGCCTGCCTGCCTGCCTGCCGCCATCTCCACTCGCGCGGTGGACAGTTACTTTGGATCCCCTTCCGGCCCGGATGGCAGCCTGGATGGCAGCCTGGATGGCGGCGCGGGGGAGAGGAGGTGTCGGGCCCTGTTCTGCATGGGCAATAAAGTGGACCCCTCCCCCTCTCCCCGGAATACATTAAAAATGTCGCCGAGTCGCGCCGCCCTGCCCTTGGAGGCGCACCCACCCCGCAGCGCAGCGCCGCGCCGCGCCGCCGCGCGCTTCCAAAGTTGGAGAACATCTCTCGCCGGGCTTTTTGTTTCAACTTTGATGCTGCTAATGTTTTCATGGCGCATAAAGAGGTTTCCTGGAAAATGCGGAATTTATTATCTGTTGTGCTGTCTGCGGGCTGGGCGTGGGCTGGGCGCGGGGCTGGGCGCGGCTGTGGCGCCGCTCCACCGCGCCGTCCGGCTGGAGTGCACATTGGGCGGGGGCGTGGCAGAGCCAGCAGAGCCAGCAGAGCTGGCAGACCGACAACATTTCTCTCTTTCAGTGTTGCCACATTAGTCGACGAAAATTCCCTCGTTGCGCCAGTGTCGGACGCGGTTTTGAACCTCAGCCTTCCTACGAGGCAATGCCTGGAAATAACTTAAGAAAGTGGTCAGACTGAGGTTGGCAACCCTCTCGACACCGCTGCATCGTGGGGGCTTTCGCCCTCTAGTGCGGTAACACTGTTCCCTTTTGCGATCTCGCGCTGCACGCGCGGCGGCAGGGGCTCCGGCAAGGAGGACGCCACGCAGGACGGCGGCGACGTGTGGCGTCGCATGGCGGCGCGGCGTCGACGGCCCGACCCGAGGAGGACGACGACGTCGCGGCGGAGGCCAGTGTGGCGGAGGCCAGCGCGACGGAAGGTCGCCGACGACGCCTGCGACGCGCTGCTGGAGGACGACGAGCGGCCCCGAGGCGCTGGTGAGGCCGCATCTGGCAGTGTGTCAGTGAAGGGACAGCCGTCTGACTCCAGCCGCCCATGTCCAGCGCCGCGCCGCCGACAAACCAGCCGACAGGCCAGCCGCAGGTCGGCCGACTCCAGCTCCAGCGGTAGCAGTGACTCGGACTGCTCCACCGACTACCAGGTTGATGCACTGGCTCTGTCCGCGGACCTGTCCGTTGAGCTCCGCGCTGACGCCGGCGTGCTTCCTCGCAGAGGGCTCCCGGCCCGGTGGACGAGGTGCTGACGGCGCGGTGGCCGCCCTTCGTGGACGTGGAGGCCCAGCCGCTGTGGGACCCCGCCACCCTGGCACAGCTGCGCGACGCGGACGACGAGGACGACGCCCGGTGACCGCGGCGCCTTATTAAAAGTGTTATTTTTAAAGGGGCTCCACTGAAAGTCCCCGGCCAGACTCCTCTGTGTTGACGGCGCTGGCGGCAAGGCTGGCGGCGCCGAGACGCCGCCCCGGGCCTGAGCCCCCGCTGCCCCCGCTGCCCCAGGGAGTCTTTAGTGGCTCCTGGCTCCGGCTGCTCCACCGCTCCGCCCCGGCCAGCCGGCGAGGCCGAGGCAAGGCTGTCCTGGCCGCCCAGGCCGGCCCGGGCCCAGGCCAGCCCAGGGAGATTTAAGGCCTGCTTTTAAGAGCGCATTAAGTGCAGACGGTCGCGGGGCCTGGCGGGGCCTAGCGGGGCCTAGCGGGGCCCGGCCGCCTCGAGGCGAGGGCTGCAGGGGCCGGGCCTGGGGCCGGGCTGGCAAGGGCTACCGGCAACTGCCCGATTTCGTCTCGCCTCGGCTAAGCCCGGCCCGCTCGCTTCGGCTCCGCTCGGCTCGGCTCGGCTCGCGGCTTCTGCTTTTCATGACTTCGCCTCTCACGGCAAAAACGCGGCGTTATGAATTTATGGCACTGATTTGAACGGGAAAGACGCTGAGTGGAGCGGCGCGGCGCGGCGCGCATCCTTCACCGCGGCAATCTCGCCGGGCCTTGCTTCCCTGCTGGCAGGCCGTCGCTCCGTCTCTCTCGCACGCTGCAGGACGCGTCACGAGTGCGAGGGAGAAGGAGCGCTGCGACCGCCCAGAGGGCCCGGAGACTGCACATGGGCCCGGCCCGGCCCACTGTGCGGCCCGGCCGCTGGGCCCCACGTGTGGCGAGGTGTTCATGGGCTTTACCAGGGCCGTAAAAACTACTTTGCCAATTAATTGACTTGATTGCCCCAGCATGTGGCGGGGGCGAGGTGTGGCGGGGCGGGGCGTTCCATTACCGGGACATACACGGCCGGGCCGTGGCGAGCAGCGTCCTGTCGTTACGCCGGCCTGTCTTTCCCCATAACTCGGGGCGCACCGACAATTTAATGACTGCCCCCAGCAAGCCGATTCCAAGCTTCTGTCGCTCCGTCTCCCTCACACTCACGGGGCGTCCCGCGCAGGTGCGAGAGCGACAGAGCGACGAAGAGCCCCCTGTTTCTTGGCGCGGGGCGTCGGTTCGCTGGGCTGCCCTTCTGCGCCTTGGAGCGCGTCGCGTCGTGCTGGCCGTGCCGGCCGTGCTGCAACATTGTGGCTCTGCAGGTGCCTGTGTGTAAGGGTGCGCGCCTCTCGTGAGACGACGGCGAGACCTCACTTGGAATATAGGTGTGCACTGACTGGTGACTGGACTGAATTTACACTTTGATTAGAATGTAAATCTTACGAAATGCGTTACAAATGTGCCGCAAATGGGGCAAATTTACGCGTTTGTGCCGGCTTTTTAAGTGACTAGACTGAGACAAGGCAGTGACTGGAGTCAGGGGTGTACACTGACTGGACCAAGTGGGCGACTCTCCCGAACGGCGGTCCATGGTTTAAAGTAATGTATTATTCCGAAATTTTTTAGTTTTTGTTTTTTTTTTCCGGGGTTCTGAAAGGTTTCCGAAAGACGAGTTAGTTGGGGGGAAGTCGCACCGGATTCCGGGGTTGCGGCGGCGGGAGGCGCAAATCTCTAACGGATCTGGGTAAGAGCCGCCAGCCCTTGCCAGCCAGCCGGTAGCGCCATGCTTACTCCGAAACGATCCGGCCAAAACGCTGAAAGCCTTTTTCACCCAATTGCAAAACTCGAACCGAAAATTTTCCCAAATTGGGATTTCTCGTATTAGGAATAGTATTGGTAGGTAATTGATCAAGTATTTAGGTCTGGGGTACGAAGTATTTGGAGCACCCCCCTTGGCACTGGCGAAGTGCGCACCCCTCGGACGGCGGTCCATGGTTCAAATACTGTCTTCCCAGAAATTGTTTTCGTGGTTTTTTTTTTCTGCGGGGTTCTGAAAGGCTGGAAGAGACGACGGTTCGTTGGCGCGACGTCGCAGCGTCGCAGCCGGAGTGGCTCCGGGGTTGTCTGGACGGCGGGACGGGCGCAAATCGCTCTAATGGATTGCTGGGATAAGGCCGCCAGCCCCGCCAGCCCCGCCAGCCCCGCCAGCCCCGCCAGCCCGGACAGACAGCGAGGCAGCCCACAGTGGGCCAGAAGACCGGTGGCGCCGGCCAAAACTCTAGACGCGTTTTGAGCTCCAGAGTCGCTAAATGGGCCGAACCAACTTTGAACCCTTACCAATGGATTGCTCTCCGAACGAGGAATACATTGGTGCGGTCACACGTTCGGCTCGAGTTCCATTTAGCGACTCTGGAGCTCAAAACGCGTCCAGAGTTTTGGCCGCCTCCACCGGTCTTCTGGCCCACTGTGCGGCTGCGCACTGCGCACCCGAGGAGTGTGCAGAGTGTGCTAGCTGGCGCGCTGGCGCGGAAATCGGTGACTTATGGTAACGGGGACGATCCGTCACGCCGCGACGCGACGCGACCGTGACGTGACCGTGACGCGGACCACCGCACGGGCCGTGGGTCTTGGTTGCGCCTGATGGGTCCTTCGTCCTTCGGGCCGCCAGCGGTGCCCACCAGCCGGCCGGGAAACTGAAATCTGCCAAGGGAAAATCAGCGACCGGGCCGAGGCGGCCGAGGCGAGGCGAGGCGAGGCGAGGCAGGGAAGCGCCACGCCACGCCACGCCCTCCATTTGCTCCTCTAAAAGATTTCGCGCCTTCCCCCCCCCCTTCCTGGCGCCGAATCAAAACACCACCTGGCCCTTCTCAGGACGCCCTTCGCTGCCTGTACACGGCCAGGAGGGCGGCGTGGGAAGGGAACGGTAGGAACCGGGGGAACCAGCTCGACGCATTCCGGGTTCCAGGCCGCCCCAGCCGCTCAGCCGAGCGGTTCCGCAGTCGTTTCGTCGCACTGTCTCTCTCGCGCCTGCACGTGGCGGCCCGTGAGTGGGACAGGGACGGCGACAAAACGGCTTCGGAATCAGCCAGCAGGTGGATGGGGAAAAAATCCCCTCGCTGTAATGAGCGTGTAGCCGCGCGGCCCCGGGCGAGGGGGGAGGGGGCAGCAGCTCGGGCTGGGCCGGGCTGGGCCGGGGTTCCCGAACACGTAAAACCGGTGCATTAAAATTGCACGAAGGGATTGTCTGCCTCCTCGCACACCCTCATTTCTCTCGGCCTCGTCCGCCTCGTCCGCGCGCCACCGGGCACCGGGGCACCGGGGCCGCCACACAGTGGGCCAGAAGCCGGTGGAGGCGGCCAAAACTCTAGACGCGTTTTGAGCTCCAGAGTCGCTAAATGGGACTCGAACCGAACGTGTGACCCCACCAATGGATTCCTCGTTCGGAGAGCAATCCATTGGTGGGGTCACACGTTCGGTTCGAGTCCCAATTAGCGACTCCGGAGCTCAAAACGCGTCTAGAGTTTTGGCCGCCTCCACCGACTTCTGGCCCACTGTGCGCCACTCCACTCCCCTCGGCCCCACCCTCAACCTGCGTCTCTAGCCTCGCTTTCTTTGACGGCGTGCCAGTCGCGCCTCGTTGGGCTTCGGCTGCTATGCACTGCTACGTCCCCAGCGCCGCCTCTCCGAATGTATGACACTAGCCGCGGCGCTGCCGACCGTCGGTCGTCTTCGGCTCGCGAAGTGGCGTAATGGCATTTCCGGATTACGTCGAGGCGCGACTTCGGCCCCACTTCCGTCGCTCTGTCTCCCTCGCACCCCTGCGGAGTGCCCCGCGAGTCGCCGCGAGTGCGACAGAGACAGAGCAGTGGGCGGAGGGAAGTCCGCGGAAGTCTGCCGGGCAAACGATCACGGCCGCGCGGCGTGCGCGGCAAGACGTTCGATTCCGAAGAGTCGCTCTGTCTCTGTCGCACTCGTGGGGCGTCCCTTCCCGCTGGGGGGGCGAGAGAGACAGAGCGACGGGACGTGCCCGGAATGCCTGCCGCCCTGCCGAATCTGGTGGCGGGCCGGCTGCGTCCGCTTCACTGATCGCGGTCATGTCGGCCCTGCTCTCTGTTACCCGCGCAGTTACCCGCCAGCGGGCGCGCGGCCCCGCGGCCGGCAGAGCCAAGGCAGAGCGGCCGCCACGTGGGACGAGGGGCTGGTGGGCTGGCGGGCGGGAGCAGGGAACTCCGCTCGCTCCGCGTTGAAAAGTTGAAGCTACGTGCGGGAACGACCGCAGCGCGGCGCGCACTGGGCAGGCCGGGCAAGCCGGGCAAGCGCTGAATGCCGTATCGCACTCCGTAGTGTACACTTCGCTCTTCCCGGAGCGCGCCCCGCCCCCGCACTCGCACCCTGAACCGCCGAAACGGTGTTTCTTTGCTCTGTCTCTCTCACTTATGCGGGACTGCCCGTGAGTGCGAGTGAGTCACGTTGGACTCAGCACACTTGTAAACGTGCCGCACGAGCCGCAAGATTAAATTATCGCTTCGCGAGGGGTTGTAATGAATTGTTCTTTGTAATTGTTTGCATCATTTTTGGATTAAAGTTGTAAGATAAAATATCTGTTACACCAGAGTCGTTCCTCTAATGCTTCCATTCAAAAATCGAAAACCCATGACCTGTCTGTGGACCCCTCCTTAAGTTGGCGTTGGCAGCGTGTCGTAAAGGACAGTGAAAACACGAAACTGAGGATGAAGATTTAAAGGAATCTTTATTGAAAGCGGAAAATCATAGCCCTCGCTACAGAATACACAATAACTCATTTCTTAAAACACAGCCACGTCACGAAACAGTTTCCATAAAATGTATCCAATGAAATTTAAAAACAATTTACATAACACAATGCATCAACAGCGATAGTTAAAAGATACAGTACGCTTATAACAATCACATCATTGAAAACGCTCCAGCGAGAGCAACCATAAAAGTGCATAAAAATCAGTTACAGCCAAAACGATTAAAATCGTGAGTCAATCCAAGAGGCCGATCTCGGCTCACCGCGCACTGGGGGAGCGGCACAGGGCGTTGGGCGAGCGGCACGCGGCGTCGGGCGAGCGGCACAGCCGGTCCGGCGTGGCCCCGGGGACGCCGCGCGGCACGCGCATGAACAGCGGCGACGGGATGGCGTCCCCGGGCGTGGCGGGCTCGAGCCCGGGCTTGCGGAGCCACGTCATCTCCATGGGGGACACGTCCTCGTCGTCGACCATCAGCAACCTCCGGGGCCTGGGGGGCGACGGGCGGTCGTCCGAGGACGCCGTCACCTCGATCTTGAGGTCCTTCTGGGCCTCCTTCAGCTCGCGGACCACGTGCTGGTAGCGGTGGGAGGCGTCCACCTGCTCCTGGGCCTCGCGGCGGTAGCGCAGCACCGCGCCGTCCACGGCGTCGTCCTGGACCACGGCACTGCGATGGTGGCGCACCGCGTCGTCCTGGACAACCTCACTGCGATGGTGGCGCACCGCGCCGTCCTGGACAGCTAGGCGACGCTTGTGACGAAGGCCGTCATCCTGGAGCACCTCGACACGGTGGCGGCCGACTTCCTCGTCCTGGGCCGCCGCGAAACGCTTGCGTCGCCGAGCGTCGTCCCGGAGCACCTCCACGTCGACCAGCTGGCGGCGGACACGCTCTTCGTCCTGAAGCGCTACGAGACGCTTGTGGCGAAGCACGACGCCCACGCCGTCGTCCAGCCCGTCGTGGAGGCTGCGCCGCGCGCGCGGCCGGTCGTCCGGCACCTCCAGTCGGTGGCGCTTGACGGCGTTGAAGGCGTCGAAGGTCTCGCCGTGCTCGCCGTCCTGGCAGCGGCCGCACTCGGCCAGCGCGTCGCGGAGGCGCCGCTTGCGGCCCAGCATGGAGGGCACGGCGGGGGACTTGAACTGCGCCAGCGTCTCCATCGCGTCCACGCCCGCCTCCTCCTCCATGGCCAGCAGCGTGGCCCGGGACGCCTCCAGCCCGCGTTCCATTCGGACCAGGCCTTTCTGTGGCAGACAACACCAGCGTCACAACAACAACCTGACTCAGGACGCCTCCAGGCCGCGCTCCATTGGGAGTGGCCGGAAGAACCAGTGTCACAACATCAACAACAACGTCAACAAACGGCCCCGTCGCACTCACCCGGTACTCATGGATCCGCAGCAGACGCTGCACGCGCTGCCTCCGCGCGCCGGCCTCGGCGGCCTGCCGCTGCCTCGCGTTGGGGTGGTACGGGCCCCCGATGGGCGGCCTCGGCTTGGGGCCCAGCAGCAGCACGGAGCGCAGGTCCTGCAAGCAGTGCAACACGGTCAGGCAGCTGTCTCTATCGCACTCAAAGGGCGCTCCGTACGGGTGCGAGGGAGACAGCGCGACGAAGCGCAGCCGAACGGCGAGTAAACAAACAAACAACAACAACATGACCGCCACTTACTGTCGACATGTCCTCCGTGATGCCGCCGTGAGTGAGGGCAGACATGGCCGATGGCGGTGGGCCGCTGGGTGGTATGGCGCTTGACGGAGCGGAGCGGACTCGGACGACTCGGACTGATTGAGAGGATTGAGAGTTGGGAGACGACGGCGTGCTGCGTGCTGCGGCTGGCTGCGGTGGTCTGGAGGCAGGGGCCAGGCAGGGGAGGGGAGGGGAGGGGGGGGTGTCTCCGAGTTTGGCTGCGGTTGCGTGCCGGCCAGGGTTCGGTCGGTTCGGTCGTGGTCGCATCGGTCGTTGTTCGCTGCGTTCGCTGCCGGCCCGGCCCAGTCCGGCCCTCGGCCGACGGCGCGGCACGGGACCCGGGCGAGGTGGGCGGCGCTGGGACTTCCCTCTGGCCGACCTGCCACGGCCAGCCACGGCCAGCTGCCGCTAAGGGCTCCCCTGGGAAGTGTGGGCTTCGCCTTCGGGCCTTGGCGTGTGTGAGTGTGTGCGCGCGCGCGTTTCGCCGTCTTCCCCTGGTCTTCCCCTGGTCTTCCCGCTTCCCTGGCCGCCGCCCCGCCCCGCCGACAGCGCAGCGTTGCGCAGCGCGCACTCCCAAAAGAAACTTCTTTTATTCCTCCTTTTGTTTCCTGACTCAGCACCGCCCGCCTCCTTAGGCCGCCTGGCCAGGCAGGCCTCGGTAGGCGGCGGCGGCGGCTCTCTCGCGCACCCCCAAATAATAATGTGCATGAAATATGAAGAAATGGCAACCGTGGCACGGCCCGGCACAAAGGGACCAACGGAATACTTGACGAGGCCCTTTGTGTCCTGGGAGGGACTGGCGGGGACTCCCTGGGAGGCCGTCGCGCCGGCCCGGGCCTGCCCAGCCAGTGTGCCCAGCCTGCCCCGGGGCCCTCCAGCCGCACCAGCCGTCCGCCACTCCATGCTGCCGCCACTTCTGGAGTGGCGCGGTGGAGCTTACTTCAACGCCCCCGCGCCCCCTGCCACGCCCTGCCACGCCCTGCCTCTCACGGTTCGTGCCAGTCACCGTCCGCACTCAGGTAATTCCCCCTCCCCACCACTGTGTCAATTCCGCGAGTGAGCAGCCTCTGTTTGCACACAGAGAAATCGAAGCCAGCGCCATGACTCCAGGCCCTCCAGGCCAGGGTGGCCTAGACACTAGACGCTGGTCCCAGGGGCACCATCGCAGAGACCCCTACGAGCGCTTGTAGGATGGTTTGCCTACCTCTCCGGCACCAGATCCGGGCCATCTCCGTTTCCTGTCGTACCAAAATATTCATTTCGGAATTTCTTCGACATCCGTCCCAATCCACCAAAATCTTCCCGGGGCTCACGAACGCAACGCAACGAAGTCTGCCTAACTGGCCGAGATCCCCGACCCCGAAGGTGCCGCTTTCCGAGGCGGCTGCTGCCTTGCTGCTGCCTCGCTGCGGCTACACTGGCACACTGCCGCACTGCGGTCTGCAGCCGTGGGAACCGTGAGGCGCCGTGAGGCCACCCTTGATTCAGCACTTCCGATTACAGGAACGTCATTTCCGGCACCCTCAATGGCTCGTCAGCGCGCTCTCTCGCTCTCCTTGTTTCCAGTCCCCACAAAGAACCTGCAGCGCAGAGCGCCAGCAGAGCGCGCCCGAGATGCTCGATCAGTGGAAGGAAGGCTGAGGCCGTGTCTCGGTGTTCGGAAGCGGAAGCGTTTTACACCTTGAGTGAGCACAGGGCGCGCAAGGAGACACAATGTGTATAGTTAAGTTCATTTATTTCTACCTAAGTTCATATCGGTCCTTAAAGTAACAGGTAAATCCAAGTTTCTAATTTTTTTAAAAAAATATCAGTCAATAATCCAGTGCATTGCTGGATATCAAATGACCACAAAGTCAGAGCAAAGTAAAAAAAAAAAAAGGCCGAGAGAGATCGATCTGCTGTCTTCGGCCGTCGGCAGTCTAGCCAAGTCAGGTACATGTCGTGTGCTTCTTGAGGGCCTTTGAGGCCTCCGCCCGCGCCGCCTAGGTGCGCGCCGCGTCCTCGCGCCGCCTAGGTGCGCGCCGCGTCCTCGCGCCGCCTAGGTGCGCGCCGCGTCCCCGCGCGCCTGCGCCGCGCCGCGCCGCCCAGGTGCGCGCCGCGTCCCCGCGCCGCCTAGTGCGCGCCGCGTCCGCGCCGCCTAGGTGCGCGCCGCGTCCCGCGCCGCCTAGGTGCGCGCCGCGTCCCCGCGCCGCCTAGGTGCGCGCCACGTCCGTGGACACGGACTCGTCGGGCCGCAGGATGCCGTCGCAGAACACGCACAGCGGCGCCTTGTCGGTCACTGGAACAAACCAAGCGCGAGGTAAACACGGTGTCGTTGTTTTGACGGCGACGAGGGTGACGTTGTGCGACAGTGCGACTCACCGAAGGCGGGGTGCGCGGGGATGCGGCACGTAGGGCACGTGAAGTATGGCAGCGTGACGCACGGCAGCAGGCTGAGGGAGCAGCGCGACACCGAGTGGCCGCGCGTGCACGTCGCGAACATCCACTGCTCGCCCTGGATCCACGTGCTCTCCACCTGTGCGGCTGCCCGTTAAGGAAACACACGACAACGGCCACAAAACACACGCCCTGCAGTCGCTTCGTCGCTGTCCCCCTCGCACCCCTACGGGGCTGTCCGTGGGGCTCTCCGTGAGTGACAGAGTGACAGAGACGAGCGACGACACGCAATCAATGAGCAGTAAAGGATATCAGCTTCGCAGATGTGGCAGTACTCCTTGATGAGCTCCTCCAGGCCCTGCGACCCCGTCAGGATGGCGGCGACGCGCGAGCACGTGCCCCGCCAGTGCTGCGCCGCCACGGGCGTCTCGACGAAGGCAAGCATCCAGGTGCGCAGCAGGTTGATGCAGTTGAGCTCCTCCTCCGTGGCGCCCCGCACCACCACGGACGCCAGCATGGCCTCGACGCGCGCGCACGCGTGCCGCGCGAACAGCAGCTGGCGCATGCGGTTGTGGAGGTCCTTCTGCGGGTTCGAGGCGGCAATCAAAGAAGTGCGGCAATGAGGATCGCTAGGGCGACTCTGGCGAGCACGAGCGACTCACCAGCTGGCGCGTGTGTTCGGCCTCCATGTCGGCGCTGATGGTGAGCGCCACCGAGGCGAGCCACAGCGACAGGCGCAGCTGGTAGTTGGTGAGCGGGTCCAGGTCCTCGATGCTCACGTCCATGGGAGGCCGCTGGCCCATCTTCTGGCACTGAATCCTAGAGCGAAAAGAACACAAAACACATTTGCTTCGTTCTCTGGTTCAATCATTTCCAAAGTTCCACGAGCGTTTGCGCACCTGAGGATTTCAAGGCAGTCCAAGTGGCGCGTGAGCTTCATGCTGGCGTTCTCCACCAGCATGGGCACCGCCTCGGCCGGGTTGCTGATGGTCAGGAAGTGGAACTGCGTCGGCTGCTTCACCACCAAGTGGTCGTACATTTTGGACACCCTGTCAGAGAGACGGATTAGTTATCGGGCAATCTTAGGCAACTCTTAAGTCTTTAACTTAAAGGTCTTACGATGACGCGACGACCCAGATCATGCGGTGCTGCGAGGCGGCCAGGCCGAAGCACGAGTTGTGCGCGAAGCTGAGGTAGCTGCGCAGGGGCGTCACGACGGTCCGCAGGCCCGCGTCCACCACGGAGCACTCCACGAGGTAGAAGGCGCCCTCCCTCGCGCTCACCACCATGCAGCCCGGCTTGGTCACCACCACTCCTGCGCACGCACAAGGGACTCGTTACTCCAGAGGACAAGAGCCAGTTTCAGTCTAACTACGCGCTGCAGCGCTGCAGCGCGGCCTCACCAGTCAGCGCCACGTGCTGGAAGTCCTTGACGGCCGTGCCCAGGGTGCTGCCGTCCGCGTCCACGAGCGCCACCACCAGGAAGCTGCCCTTGATGGCCACGACCAGGCGCTCGGGCCGTCCGTCGGGCAGCATGCAGTCCGTCAGCCTGGTCACCTTGATGCGGTCCGCGGTGGGGTACACGTCGATGGCGTCGGGCGCCTGGCCCTGGCCCTGACCCTGGCCGAGGGGTGCCATGTCCCACATCCGCACGCGGCCGCTGCTGTCGCCGACGAGGAGGTACTCGGACTCCATGGAGAGCCAGTGCAGCTGCGCGATCACGGGTCTGCCCGGCGCGCAGGCCGTGCCCGTCTCCAGCGTGAAGGCCAGCCCCGCCGTGACCGCGGACAGAGCCTCCTCGTCCGCGTCCGCCTCGCCCGGGGCCAGCGGGCCGCCCGGGCCGCTCAAGCGCACCACGGGCACCTGCCACAGCGACACCACGCCGTCGCGGTGCGCCGCGGCCAGCAGGCAGTACTCCGAGTTGGCCTTGCCGCGGAGGCCGCTCCAGGCAATCGCTGCAAGCAAGCCAGAGTCTCATTCCGATAGTCTTTTTGGTACGTTTTCGTCGCTCTGTCTCTCATGGGGCGTCCTGCACAGGTGCGAGAGGGGGGGGACAGAGCGAAGAAAACGACTCTCGGTCTCAGTCACCATGCGGGAGTCCGCGAGTCCACGACGGGAAGGCGAGGAGAGGATACACTGGGAGACACTCCACACCGCTCGACAGGCTCGACTCACCAACGATCCGCAGCTGCGCCTCTCGCCGGCAGAGCTCCTCGTACTGCTCCTCCTGCGACAGGGCGCGGCTCTCCCAGCCCAGGCGGCACACCGCGGTCCAGCTCTCCGACACGTCGATGACCAGCCGCCAGTGCCGGTTGCACGAGTACTCCACCTTGGCGGACCCGTAGTTCGTCAGCGTCGCCAGCAAACACCTGGACAAAGTTGTGAGTGGAGAGGAACAGCAACCGCGTCTCGGGAAAACGGCCAACGGGACCTATAATGTACCAACCGGCCGAAATGCAACAGGCCGGGGGGCGACCAAGCCACTTGGGAGTATCTTGGAGGGGGCATGTTGGCGTTGTCTAGGTTTGGTGTCAGCGTGGCGTCCAGGATTAAATGGTAAACTCCAACGCGGTCGCTCATCTCGTGGATCAGGGTGTTGTAGTCGACATCTGCACCACAGGAAGCACGCTTAAGGACCCAGCGCAGCTCAAAACTTTTACTCTTGAACTAAAAAGCAAGAAATGCATACCAGTTTTGTCTGTTGGGACATCGGTTCGAGGATGGAGCAACGACCTCTTTAATGACAGTCGTGGCACAGGGCTGTGAGGTGCAGGGACTACTTCCTAAACAAAAAAAAATTAATAATGACCATGATAATGAACATGGAAGATTTGGAACGCTAAGAAAAAAAGATGAAGGGGCCACGTTTTTGTCATCATTTGGAGTAAGAAAACAGCACATGCCAGAAAGACAGATAATTTTTTCCTTTTCTAAAGAGGGAATGGCATTTCAAAATAAATTCATACAAGGAACAAGGATTGTGCAATAACAACACATCTTATCAACGTCAGAACAAAAAATATTTTATTAAAAATTTCTTACACTGAGAGGGTCTATACACATAAATATCACTCATCAGATTACAGATTACTTATTCAATCAACAATAACTTACTACAAAATAAAAATAGAACAAAATAGCATAATCAAAAGCACTGTGTCTTACACTCATCTTACTTAAATGACATACAAACATAAACACATCTTATTTGACACCTTCTAGACTAAATTCAAGATTGCCTTTAAAAAAAAAATTAAAAAATTGAAGTTTTAAACATAGAGAGTTTAGGAATGCTAAGTTAACAGGCATAGACAAATAAAAGGATGAATGTTCTTTGATACCTTGCAAGAAATTTAACAGGGTAAAAATTTAGACATTCTTTCCAGATGGCATTAGCATTATAATATGAGTCAGCACACATTTGGTTACAGACAGAGAACAGAGTCATTTTGCAATAAAGAAAAAATTACTGTGGAACCTAACACTTTTACAGTTATTATTTACGTACAGCGTTGAATTCAGCTCTGTTTCATCATTAAAAATGACTAAAGATCACTGAATAGCAGGATAAAAGTATCACATGACAATTACTACTTTCCATGTTAATTTTTTGTTTGTTTCATTGGAAACCTTAACAGTGCCATTATTCAGTTATGAAAAAGTACGACTAGAATAGGTACAAAATCAAACTTAACCCAGTCAGACAGCACACTTGACCAAAACCTTAACTGCATAATTTATGAAAAGGGTGTGTTTTAAAAGCACAGATTAATCTCATTATATTGATGACTCAAATGTACAATTAGAAAGTGAACAAAAAAAAATTCTTGGTCAACTTGTTACCTACAACTCAAATCCTGAAGTACACTGAGCCACAGAATTTTACTGTACAATGTGAGTTCTAAATGTGGCTTGAGTTGAAATTCAGTTTCAATCACAGATAAGAAATTTTATACCCTAACAATAGAACAGCAAATTTCAATCACATTGCATCAAAATGGAACCTATGCGCCTCCTGCTGCCTTTCTCGTTTGTCCTCTTTCCTCTCCTTCCAGTAAAGTGCGCCAATAATTAATGTAATGATGGCGCATGTACCTAACAGAGCAACAACGCTCATGAGTACCAATTTGCTTGGAGTAACAAACAACTGTGCCTTCCACTGTGATGGTAGTTCTCCAGCAGGAATGACTACCATCTGTGAATTAGGGATGATTTGAGGCCACTCCCGCATTTGACCAGACATACCCACTGACAATGTGTCGACAAAGTTTGGTGTTCTTCCAAGCCCAAAGATCGAGTAAGGCAAGCCAAGAGAGAAGTGAGCTGACTGTGGAAGCTGGGATGAAGTGGCTTCTCGAAGATTCCCTTCCTGAGTTGTTGTTCGATAAGAAATGGTTGGTCCCGGTAAGTTTGTTCCAAACGTTTTGATTTTCTTCTTGCTCAGAGGGTTTCGGTTAGGAGGAGTTTGGCTACCATTTCTTTTAGTCAGCACCATTACCTTAACAAAGTTGGCATCATAGTCCAAGCTGTTTTTATAAGCAGAAACTTGATAAGAGGGAGGATTGGCATCAGGACTGTCCATTTGCACCAAAAGAACATCAAGGATACCATCTTGCCCAAAGTCGTAAAACACTGCCATATTAGTCTGAATGTTTGTGGGGCTCATGGATCCCCATTGGGGAGCAAAAGTGCGTCCAAACTGAGCACAACTTGCACCAGAGCATGGCACATTTTCAAGTAAGAATGCTTTTGGTTTCTTTGAACCAGCACTATGAAGTGTCAATGTTGCCAGCAGATCAGGGTAACCATCCATATTGAAATCTCCACCCCTGAGTGTTATGGCATCAGTATACCAAAATTTCTCATTGGGCGGTGTATAACCCCACATATTGTTATCATTTTCCTTAAAGTTCACTTTCAAGTCATACCAATCCTTTGATTGGTTGATTGAGTGCACAAATATGGTACTATTTTTGCACTCACTGTCAAAGCATACAGGAACAACCAAATCAACTTTTCCTCTCATTTCTACATCAAGGTATAACGTCTGCCCTATATGGCCTTCACCAGCTGTGATTGTAGGGTATTTAATAGTATGATTATGGTGGAATGCACCATTTATCTTGTACCACACTTCAATTCCTTCTGTAGACGTCAAAACAAGGTCTGCGGCAAAGTCGCCATTCACATCTAAAAATGCATGAGAATGAATCTCGCGAAGTTTATGAGGCGGAGATTTTTCCATAGGTTTGGCTTCAAATGTCCGATTTGAATAAAAAATCCAGAAGGTCCTGTTGCCAACTTCATCAGCTCCAAACAGGTCAATTATCATGTCCCCATCATAGTCCATGGCTAAAGGCTCCCCTCTCATTTTAAAGAGGAACTTTTCTTCATCAACACATTTCAAACTATGCATACCACCCCAGAGTATGTAAACCCTTGTTTCAGCAGCACTGCTTCCAAGGGGGTAAGCTGTGACTAACAAATCCATAAGAGCATCTCCATCAAAGTCACCAGGGACAACACTTGTCACCTTAGATTTGGGGAATTTACACTGAAGTGTCTTGTTGGGGCGCAGCAGGGGATCTTCATTAGATGCTAGCATGATTTCAACAGCCATCCCGTTATATCCCATGTCTCGTAGCACAAACATGTCAGTCAATTCATCTGAATCGAAGTCACCAAAGGCTGCAGGGAGCACATCACGAACCGAGCCAAAAACTTGGCTAGTAATGTCATTAGCTGAGATAGGGTGCAGCACAGCCAGAAGAACAGCAAAGACGAACATCATTGTTCTGATTGTGGACCTCCCAGCAGGAACCCGCATTTTCTGACAACACACAGAAAAATCAACATTAACAACAAACAATGAAGAACATAGACACACAAATGCACAATACATGTCAAAATTTTTGTGACAGTTCAACAAAGTTTGTTGCAATGAAATTTATCTGTGGTTGAGAAAGCATAGGGCACAAAATTTCAATTTCTGGACAACGGTAATTCATAAGTTCAACACATGGAATGTGATGTACTAGTTCAATCAAGCTTTATTGGGGTAACAAGTGGAAATAATTTCCAAAATAGGTTCTCAGAGTTTGAGGCAATGTTCAAGTCGACCAATACGATAAACAACAAAGTCACAATGTAAGTTGCTCAGTTGCTCATTACACACTAATTGGGACGATTAAGTCAATCAAAAGATTGCCTGAGTATTTCCTGCAAGTACTAATAGAATCTATGCAATGTAAATGCATTAAACTCACCATAATCTGTAGTCCCTTCTCTGTTATGACAGATACTCTGTCATCAGCTGACCAGTCAACAGCAAAATGGGTGGACACCAAAGGACCCGTCTGGACCGTCTGGAATTCTCTTGCTTCCATTTTATGAATTTAAGGTTTATTGGCGAAAACAGTCGTTGTTCTTTGAAGAAAATAGTGGGCGATTCCACAGACTGAAAATGATGATCAATAACAGGTCAGGTAGTCAGGTGAAGAGCTCGTCCTCATGTTTGCGCAACAGTATGATATTTACTGCTGTTAAAAAACGAAATAAGGGGAAAATGTAATACCTACCAATTAATGGATAAACAGCATTGACAGCAAACAAATGTTTGCAGCATTAAAATGTTCTTGCGACATTACAACCACCAGCAGCAGCAGCCATTTTTCCACAGCCTTTGTGGTGAGTCATCCATGTTACACAGGTTAACCAACGAACAGATCTGCTAACAACAACAACAAACATATCAAGGACGACTCGAGTTTCTATCAATTAACTTTTCCTCGAAAATTATGATAAACTCGCTTTTCCACCTTCCAAAGGACTTTTACACCATTATTTAATATCGCGCTCTGTCACTTTTACTTTCGAAACAGTTGGCATTAGTTTACTTTTATTTTTACACTGTTGAAATGTTTCCTTTAAAAAAATACAAATTTTAGGCAAATTAATATTATAATTGTTTTTATTAATATGGCGACGGAAGATGAGTTCCAGTCCAATATTAGTCTTAATAACAATATAGATTGGAATGTGCACCATGAAGTTCAACTTTTACTTGCATTGATGGGCCATAAACCCGTGGGTAAGTCTATTTTGTCCTGAGCTGAGTCTTGCCGGTGTCTGTGGCCTGTCATTTCGAATTCTAGGATATAACATTAAAACTTGTGCTCATTGTTACTCTATGAAATCATTTTGCCTGTTCTACATTTGGGATGAACATTCCCCTTGATTTGTTTGGTCCATTGGTTGAAGTACAGCGGGCGGTCTACGACGCCCCCTAACCTTGGGTATCATTGACTGTCTCTCGGTCCGACAGCATTTTCCGCTCGATTTCAGTCCAGTATAAATAGAACGGTTACATTTCCTTGATGTAGTTTATCTGCTGGAAAGAGTTTCATTCATTACTGCCTCGAACTGATAAATTTACACCACATATTTTTTTAAGGAAAGGGGCAGTCCCACTAATCAACTAATAGTGTCCTTGTATTATACACTAACATGTTGCTTTGAATAAGTTGATGTCTGATTTTCCCTATATTGGAAATTTACTATCCTGCTTTGCATATGTCATGTTTCAGGTGTTGCCAAGCATTTTCACATGGCTTGCATACTAGAAAAGTTTTCATCGGCTGTTAAAAGAGTTGATATTTCTTCTCAAGTCATATGGGATCGGCTTGATACTATGTACGACATGCAAGCATTGGTAAGTACTTTTTATCAATATTTTCCATTTTTTTTTTTTCTTCAAACAACATTTTTTGGCATGTTTGGTATTTTGTTTTCCAGGAAGGAACAGAAGCCTTGCCATTCCCCAATGAACCTGAAGATTTTGCTCTGCCATCATCTCAATTTGGCCAATTGCTTGCTGAGAGAAAAACTGTTAAAATGCCTCCGCCACGAGCTCCATCTCCTCCACCAGACACATCTAAAAGAGATGATCCTAAAGAAATCAAAAAAGAACCTGGAAAGGAAACTACTGTTAAAAAAGAGATTAAGGAAGCTGCTAAGAAACCAGAGGAGAAAAAAGCTAATGTCCGTGATAATAAAAAAGAATCTAAAGAAGAAACCAAGAAAGACAAGAGACTTTCAAAAGATCCTACAGAAATCAAGAAAGAAAAAGAACTTGTGAAAGGAAAGGAAGGTGCTAAAGAGCTAAGACTACCAAAACGATCATCTATCATCAGAGATGATGAGGATTCGTCTGGTGAGTTACTAGACCTTAAATTAATTTATCTAGTAGTTTAAATGAGGAAGTGGATTCCTTTTCTATCAGGTATCATTCCCACAGCCTACTAATGAGTAATTTAATTTGACCATTCTTTTTTTTTACAGTAAGTTCAACTGGTTCTGCCAAAAAGAGTCGAGATAACTCAGATACAGATGATGCTGTCAGCACTCCAAAACGTGGTCCAAATAGCAGTGCAAATAACCAGCCCGCCAATGGCAAAGGAAAGCGACAGACTCGGCTATCACAAGCCAAAGTTAGTGACGATTCGGGGTCTAATAAATCGGTCAGTCCATTAACAGTATCATCACCTGCTACCAAACGGCGTAGACAAGTGTAATTCCTTAAATTTTATTTTCAATTAGATCTTATGATGTACTGGTTAAGGGGAACATTTTGTTTTGTTTGTACAATTTGACGCTGGCTTTTTGCCATTGGTTTGTAAATTTGTCACTGGGGGGAACATTCTTTAATAAAGGAGCCTGTCAGGTTCTTTGGATCTCAATTGAAACTTACTTAACTTGCTATGTGCACTGTGTAGGTTAAATTTTTGTCAAATCCCTGAGTTACTAAGTGACTTCTAAAACACCTTTCTGTTGCTTGAGTAATTAAACTTTTTTCATGTATTTTGTTGTAACAATTTTGTTATTCTATTCCCTTTCCAAGGATGAGGAACCAATAATGAGAAATTTAAGGCCTTATCTGTGTTAAAAGTTCCACTTTTTAATGTTAACACAAAAGAAAGAAACATTGACATAAGCTCTTGTACATCAATTATTGACACCCTGTATGTGTGCAATTAATATTCAAAAACAGGGAAAAGAAAAATAACATTCACACTTTAACAGGATTGTACATTTACATAGTATGCACAACAATAAAACTGACCATTATATCTATCAACCATAAAACATGATTTCAAATTAAATCAAAGTATTTTAAAATGTCAACAACAGAAAGCACTTATGTCACAGAACAGCATAAAAAATGGTAACTGGACTACTTCCATATAACAATCATGATAATTAGAACGGTCCTAACAAATAGTACGATGACAAGTTCATTCTGCAGCCGTCTACAAAATGTAATGCAAGGAACGTCTTGAAAACAACTCAAAGAAGTCTACCCCTAATCAAAACAAAAGGTGTCATCATTCGTGTCTGAATGAACAACTGCATAAGTGAGCCAACCCTTTTTCTCCAAGATGAGAAAAAAGTTGATGCTCATTGCAGGACAACTGCAAGAACCATCTACAAATTAATTTCAATACTGCAAAACTACTGTTATTCCTTCGTCCTAGCTCATAGAGGTAATTCAAATGACCAAAACATGTTTCAAAAACCTGGGTAACAGTTCTTGCTTCAAGCTTACGGGTTACAATTCATAATAAACAGAATCATTAAAGAACATTCAACTAGACAAAATGGCAAAGAAGCAAGTGTGCTGGAATGTTTGAAACAGTATCACAAAACAAGACCAAATTGGATGATTACTACACACATAAACTTCACGTTAAAGAAGAGCAACAAATTTGGACCTCCCATCTAAGGCCATGAAACAGTGAAAGACTCTCCTGTAATTTGAAAGCAACAATACCACATTCTCATTGATGAAAACAATATTCACATTCTGAACACTACACAGTTTCATAGATACACAACACAAACGAAGAATAATTCAAATAATTAAGTTCACTCGTTCCACATCAAATGTGCCTAGTTATCTTTTAACACCCCCCCAAAAAAAAGCCTTTAAAAAAAGACAATCTGCACTTTGAGGCAGCTCACATTCAAAGATGAAAATAATAAGATAAACTTGCCAGATATGTATATATATATATGACTTACAAATTACAGGGCAAATAAGCACAGAAACAAGCAATTGTTTAAAAAATTTCAGTCCATTTGTTGACAAATAAATAGAATAGTTTTCTCAGACCAGAGACCACAAACAGAAGCTCAAAAAACTAAGATCACAAAAATTACTTCTGATAATTCTTCCAGCCCCTAAACTTTGGCCAGATATGATATGGGGCTGCAAGATGTTCATTTATTTGCAGAACAGTAATGAACAAAGGAACTTACCACATTACCAGTTAACCGGGATCTTGAAATCATAGCACTTGCAGACCCAAATTGAGCAACAAACTGAAGATACCCTGATCCACAGGATACATAGAATAAAATGATTGACCATGTGATGCCAAATTCATATTTGTGCAGCAAACAGGAGACACATCCAAGCCTTTGCAAAATGGCTGGACAAGGCACTTCACAAAACAAAAGTAGCTCAAATATCCCATTTTGCCATGCTACACAATAGAAGAACCTCTTAATAATACTAATAAAGAAATGCCACTCCTCAAACATTGAAAGCTAGCATAAATTGCATTAAGCACAAAAATTTATGCAAGTCTTGTAATACTGTTCACAACTAAACAGTCAAAAGATTTGTTGCATGAATGTAACTTCGCATTTGCCAAACATTTAATTATCACTGCCATAGATTGGTAGCTAAAGTATGACCTAGAGATGGTTGACTTTGGGGTATCGATTGTGGCGCCATACCCAAGGGTTGGTTAGAAGTCGCCCAAGGATTACCAGCGGAGCTTTGCATTCCAAAAGCTTGCTGAGAAACATTACTTCCTGTTCCAGATAAATTCAACATATTCATCTGCTGTGGGAGCTGAAAGAAAAATAAATACAGTATTAATTAATAGAATGTTTGTAAGAGCTGATAATTTCCACAATTTAAACTCCATTCAAAGTTGATCAGTTCTAAGTGAAAATGCAGCATTAGCACAAAATAGCTTGGAGTATAGCGTGCATCAAATTCTGCCAAAACAAACCCATAGATCTACACACTACTTATATACATACCTGTGGCAGTACAATTGAGTTACTTCCTCCCAAATCCAGTAGATTAACATTACCCAAATCATGCTCCTAAAACAAATGATTGTTCAAACTACAAAACTAATAGAAAAGACAAAATAAAGTATCATGCTCTTTTAAATTTATCCAACAAAGATAGGAAAAAGATAAGGAAAAAAGAAAAGAAAGGTTAAAAATTGAAAAGAAAAACACAAAGAAGAAACATTGTAACAACAACATGCATTGCTTCTTAGCAAGATATATTATGTTATTTTTCTATTGTTCATTTAAGTTCATACAAAGTTAGCAAACTAAAAACGTGCAACCGAGTTATTCTTATCGAGCAACATTTACCTGGTTCAATGGGTTTGGGGTGGGCACATTATTTTGTGGCATTGCTGTCATATTAAAGAATGGGTTAGAAGTCATATTTGGTATGGCACCAGCAGGAGGCATCATTCCAGCTTGATTTCCCGGGGGACCAAAGACACCATTCTAAAAAAAAAAAATCACAATATATACATTAAAGTCAGAATTTAATAAATGAACCTCACGATGACTTTTTTACTGACACACACTAAGAATAATGAAAACTTACTTGAGTGCCATTGGCAGCCGTAGGCATTTGCTGTCCCATCATCATCCCATTGGACATTGGATAATTCATTCCCATAGCAGGAGCAGAAACTGCACCAAACCCAGACATACTTTGGGCTGGGAAGACTGGGGGATAAAGACTTAAGTAAGTGTCTGACTTTCAGAAATTCTAAACAATTCCACTGAAAGCACCATCTTACCACCAAAAGATTGCGGTGCAGGAACCTGCGCGGGGGGAGTTCCTGAGGCAGGCACACTTGAGTACAGTGCTAAAATAGAGTCTTTGGTAAGTTGTTTTTTCTCTTGAGCAGTCGCAGCTGGTTGGTTGAAAAAACTATTTTCCTCAGCAGATCTCTTGCTGTCTACAGTACCCACTGTTTCTGCCTTAGGGGTCTCTGTAGTCTGGACCCCATTATTTGCATGTCCTGCAGCAGGGGGTGCACTCAGGAAGCCAGAAAATATGTCATCACCCTTGTTAGGTGGTGAAGAACTTCCAGTGGGCGTATCTAAAATGTTTTGAAAAAAACAGGTCAGCCTATGCAGGAAAACAATCAAACAACTTTCACGTAGCAAAAAAGTTCCAATATGTGTATACATCACTCTTACCAAGGCCAAGTAAGTCCAGAGTAGCACTGGATGGTGCAGAGCTGGGCGCAGGTATGGCAGTTACAGTGCTACTCCCCAGAGTACGCGAAGGTTTTGGACTGGCAGAGCTTTTTGGCTTAGGAAGAGGAGCCGGGATCTCAGATGTTGAAGAGTGACTTGCAGGGGATGAAGTTAAGTTTCTTCCTAATTGAGGTGTGCTTGACTTGCTCTCTTTGCGGCGGCGTCTTGCCTGTTCCTCTTCTTCAATTTCCTTGTCCCAGTTTACCTGAGACAAAATTTTGGATCAAAATCCACATTTAATATCACAACTATTGCCCTGGCTGGTAACTATGAAGTCACACGACTATACCTTAGGAATTACTGGTGGAACCCATTCGCGGGCAATGTACTTCTTCTGTTCGTATTTAGCACGGACAAAGGCTTCCAAAGGAGAATCTGTTTGAGGTCGTCTAAAATTGTCTGGCAGATTTGCTTCATAGACTGCACGAGCCCTGCTATTTCCCATCTGTTGCAGACTCTGGAAGAGATTTGAAGTAATGTTAAAAACAAACTTAAATTTGATTCAGAACTGTAAAAGTGAAGCTTACCACCACTTGCTCTGGGGTCCAGGTGTCGAGGTTGACGGATTTAACTTTAGAAATGTGCACCCCCAGATTACGGTGAATTCCAGCACAGCGAATGCAGAGGAAGATGCCAAGATTCCAAGATGCCCACCTTGGACCTACAGAAAGTACAAGGATAAAACGTAGAGATCCAAATAAAATTTGCCAACAAAAATTCATTTTCAAGAGAAATTCAAAAGCAAAATACTGATGAAAACAATACTAAGTTTTTCTGTAAGTCGAGACACTTGACAGCTGGTGCACATTTGACAAATTGCATTGAGGTGGTTATAAGTGAGAGCTTCTCCCATTGAAATGGTGACAATTGTTTTCCAAATAAAGAACGGAAAAGATTTGGCATGTGCAGCGATGGATATGGCGTTTGACAGAGACTTGCTACATGGCAGTCAAATTCTTGTCACCTACCCTTGGCATCACAATCCACGCAATATTTGTTGTCCTCGTCCCGTAGCATTTCATTTAGGAGTTGCTGACATTTATCTTGGACGGCTTTTAGCCTATCCTTCTCAGATTTCGAACTCATCTTTCCAAAAGTTTCACGAGAAGATGAGTTAAAGGGCTTGAAGTGTTCGTTTGGTTTTGGGGCGTCAAGCAAGGTACTCGCTAACCCTTGTCTTGTTGCCGTCGACACAACACAATGGCGACCGAAGTCCTCACGTCTCGTAATGCAATGAATGCCTTATCGTGACTAGATGCGGTTCATTCGACGGAGATACTCGCGTGCAAATTTCTAAACGAACAACTACAATAACAGCGCCAAAGGGCCGATGGTACGACCTAAAACAACAACCCTAAAAGATTTGGAATTTTGGAAACCATTGTTGGCATCCCCTGTTGTCACCTGTCTAGTCTCGATCCAGTTTCGATCGCTCGCTCGATCGCTCGATCGCTCCGGTCGCCCCGCCGATCAACTTGTCCCTAGAGAACGCACCCACCGACGCGCTTTAATTTCAAACTTTCAAATAACCTCAAGCCGCGTTTTTGTTGCGACGTAGACGCAACGATTTCTTTACCTAACGTGAAGTTGGTGTATGTGACATTTGAGATCGTTGATGGATTCACCGTACCGTACTTGGCACCTGGTTGGCTCGACCATCAAATTGTATCTCACTCGCCCGCCTTTGTATTGTGGAGCTTGAAGATTCATTTTGAAGCCTGTGTATCAGGTAACTTTGAGTTGTTTTGATTCTGTTTCCTTCATTTTTACCAATGGCAACCTTCCGCAAATGCAGTTTACTGGTCAAAATCTAAAAGACCGTTAACCTTACGTATACCTTGATACGCTTGGTTACTCAACAGCCAGATACTTTTCTGTTAATTGACGTCTATTCTGAGGTTATGTTGATTTTAACAAAGTCATAACTTTGCAGTTTGTACCTTTGACAGCTGGAAATGGCGTCAGCAGTCGACAGCTTCAATAAATTGCCAATGTGTCGGGACTTTTGCCGCCTTTGCCTTGAAGAGGAAGATGATCAGTTTTTCTGGGACATATTCCAGGCTGTCGATGATGCTGGTGTCAATTTAAGATTGGTCGAAAAAATTATAGCTTGTCTAGATATTATGGTAAGACTCTTGAAGTATTTTTCCAGTCCCTATGACTTTGACTTACGTTCACCTCATTTGTTTCATGATGACAAACTTTTGTTGTGACAGGTACTTATTGACGATGGCATTCCACACAAAATATGTGGCAAATGCATGACAGTTGTGCGATCCTTCTTTGAGTTTCGGAAACAATGCAAACTTAATGATGCCTCACTGAGAAGATGTTTCATCACTGCTAATAATGAAAACTTGGTAAGTTGTTAATGTCCTATTCTCATTTTCAACTATTTCAATCGTTCAGCCTTTTCCTCTGTATTTCTGCATGTGCTCCTTCACAGCTAGATCTTTCAAGAATCTCACTTTCAACTTTTCATGGAAGTCTTTCATTTCAGGGTGGCTGCAACAACCTTCTCAAGTCATGCTTGTATCAGGGTCAAAACAATGACAGATCTTTTAGTGGTTACATAGATTCTACTTGACTGAAGATTTCTTTCTGATAAGAAGATATCTCCTCCCATTTCTTATTTTGCAATGGAATGGATAGAAATAATGTCATAGATTTTTATTTTCTCAAATGACAGAAGATTTCTGACACAGGTTCCAGCAGCCACCCTGTGCTATGACTGTAATTTATCGTTGTTTGGAATTGTGTGTTTCAGCATACTGAAAGAATAGGTATAAATAACTCCTCCGAGTTGAGTCCTAGAGGGGTAAATGAGTCTCCAAAACAGTGTGACCAAGCAGCATTTCCATGCACAGAGGGGTCAAATGATTCACTGTCTGTCACACAAGATGTCTCAAAAGCAGTTCAGATTCCCTCCATTAAGCAATTAGAAGATGAGTGGTCAGATGATGAGCCAAGTGCAACAAGTACTGTATTTCAAGGAGACTCCATTGAATTGAGGCTTGGAGAAACACAAGATGTCTCAAATGCCGTTCAGAATCCCTTCCTAAAGCAATTAGAAGATGAGTGGTCGGATGATGACCACAGTGCTACAAGTACTGTATTACAAGAAGACACAATCATGGAATCACCTTGGAGACAAGAGGACCTCATTGCTAAAGGAAATGGCAGCTGTTTGGTTACAAGTATTGGAAATCTTGATCCAGATAAGAAGCTTCCTGAGAAGTGTGGTATCGATTCAGTTACCACTGCTGAGGAAAGGAAAGAAAGAGAAGTTTTGGAATCATCAGATTTTATTAGCGGTCAAGTTTCAACAGACAAAAATTTCATTGAAAAATCTGTCTTGATGTCGACAAATGAAGATAGTAGAAACAATCAGGCATGTCAGATTGAAGACAAAAACATGTCAGCACCAAATGATGGCACCAGTACTTTAAATGAGACTGCTGCAGTCGCAGAGGAAATGTAAGTCGATTAATCTTGATTCAATTTTGTGCTCAATTTCAACATGTTTACCTCATTTTTATCTTTTCTTAGATTGGGACGAAGGGCTTCCCGCAGTGTAAAGGGCAAATGGGTTTGCAGTACGTGCAACAAGAATTATACAACGCTTAGAGCTCTAAAGAAGCATATTCTTACCCACTATTCTGGTCAGTTCATATGCTCTGAATGTCCAGCTTCCTTTGAAAATGAGGAGGCATTAAGTATACACAAAGCCAAGCATTCCACTTCATCTCTTTATCTTGGTTATTCATGTGAGCATTGTTTTAAGATGTATCGTTTGAAATCTATGTTGGAGCAACACATCACCACAGAGCATATGCTCCCAAATGATTGGTGAGTAGGTAACTATTAATCTTCAACTTTTTCACTTGGTAAGAAATTGATGCATTAACTCTTCCTTTCTCATTCAGTGTCACTATACCAGGGAAATTCCTTGAGAAATGTGGAAAATGTGGAAAGAACTTTTCTTCTTCGACTGAAATGGAAGCCCATGACGATTCATGTGGCGATATGTCCATCCATTCTGAGGATGACTCATCAGATGCGGCTTCCATCGAACATTTAACTAAATCAAAGGAGTGTACTCTGTGCAAATTAAATTTTGAGAACATGCCTCAATTGACCTTCCATTTGAAGAAAATTCATAATATACAGCCATCATTTAGATGTGAGGTATGTGCAAAAGTGTTTGATACTTACCCAAAGTTATCAGATCACAGAAGCAAAGTACATATAGTGAAACATTCCTGTGAGTATTGTAAGAAAAAATTTAGAGAAAAATCAAAACTAAGACGTCATATTAAATTACACGAAGAGGATCAGCTTTATCAATGCAATTTATGTAGCAAGTCCTTCAGAACCATAGGAACCCTACAGTCACATCAAAAGACTCATACCAAACCTTTTCAATGTGGCGATTGTACTAAAAAATTTCGTAATAGATACCAATTAAACTTGCATAAAAATGCTACACATCGAGGCATCAAAGATTTCATGTGTGACCGTTGCGGTGAAAAATTCATTTGCAAAACCCGTCTTAAACAGCATGTATCTAACTCAATGAAACATAATTTAGAGTGTGATATTTGTGGAGAAATGTTCTGCGTTAAGCAAAAATTTCAGAGGCATGTTAAATGCCATGACTCAACAAATCTATATCTTTGTAAGAAGTGTGATGCAAAATTTCTTTCTAGTCAAGGTTTATGTTCACATATGAGGTTACAACATCCTCCCTTATAATTTTGTATCTTGAAATTTATTGTGCTAAGCCCGTACTGAATGAATGTGATTGAACAATTAATGTTCTTGACAACTACCGAATTAACATTTAAAAACTAATATTTGTAATACAGTAATCTGTGTAAAATTAAGGTAACTATTTTATCTTGTCACTGTTAAACACAAACAACCTTTTTCTTTTGTATTTTTGTCAGAATTACATATTTTAAAGTTTCCTTCCTGAAGTACTGGACTGCTGCTTTTATTTCTGCAATGATTACTTTAAAATGTACACACTTTCCCTGTCTGAGAAGACATCCCAAACTTCAAATCTTATCTACTGAGTCCGAGGGTTTTTATTTTGTACTAACCATGTCTCCACAAATTGTTTGCTTTAGTGCACCTTTCAAGTTCTGAGTGATGTCACTGTTGGCCACAATGACAGCTGAGGATAGTTTATCGCATTTTGGCATGGTTGTAGGTTTCAGTTTTCTTGGCGGCTGTTGCCTGTGTCCAAGCTGAGTTCCTAAAATAAGTTGACGATGGAATGGCTTAGGTATTGTATGACCATCATACTGAAGACCTGTTCACAATTTTTCGTGCGTAAATTAATTTTTTCATGCTACCAATTTTTTAGACCTTTTTGCATACAGTTTAACTGAATTGATGAAAAATTGTTCTTACATGTAGAAGATTTGAAGGCAGGGAAATGGAAGAAGGGACCTCCTTCAAATGGAGTAGAAAGAGCCATTTCAGAGGCCGAACTATTTTGATGGCCGTTTCCAATGTTTTCCTTAACATTTCTCAGAGCAGTGCCCATGAAAATACTTGATGTAACATCCTTTGCTAAGGCCTCTGGTAGATTTGAAGCAAGTTCTGTAAGAAAAAAGTTTCAATGATAGTTCAAAGCAGATTTATGGTGCACAGGTGCTGGTCTTCATACCTGAGATACTGTTGATCAGGTCAGCAGGAGCTTGTATGGGCTGGCGTGCCTTCACTCTTTGTTCATGTTCTTCAAACTTTTTCATGAAATCAAGGGTTCTCATAGAAATTTGTTTCTCATTCAAAACTCCTGAAAAAGCATCCTTTGAAGTCTCTCAAGACCATTTAAATTTCATTCAAGATTATTATTATCATTACAAATACAATCTGGATTGTTAATTCTTACGCAAATTGTGAGAACTAGCTAATATCCTATTGCAATTCTTGTAGTCTTGAACAACTGGATTGTCTCGCATATCCAGCTCGATAAGAGATGGTATGGCTGAAAGAACTGCTTGAATTTTAGTGATATCACTCAGGTTGTTGCTTGCAACCAGAAGGGTCCTCATTTTTTCGAGACCAACAAGATCTTCCAAAGATGTGATGTTGTTGCCTTGAATGTTCAATACTTGTAAAGACTGCTGTTGACAAGAGCACAAGTAAACATTTAGAGTGATTATGTCACTATAATCCATGGGAAAGTGGCTCAAACAGTTAGACTTATTTACCCCTAAAGCAGCAATAGAACGAGGGTCAAATATAATTTCTTCCCCTGGACATAAACTTTGGTGCTCTATATGCAACTCCTGTAAACAGCTTTGATTTTCCAATCCCTCTACCACTGAGATAGAGTTATTCCCCAAGTACCTGTAATAAGGGTGTTACATTTGACTGAAATGTTTTTACCTAGTGCCTGCAATCGCATACTAGCACTTACAACTTCTGAAGTGAGACCAGTCTCTCAAATCCTTCAATTTTGTTTAATTTATTTCTTTGCAAGTATAGATGAGTCAGCTGTGATGCAAAGTCCAAACCCTCTATTTTCAGTAGCTGATTGTTTTGCAAAAATAAAACCTTCAAGTTTTGACAAACAGATATGTCACCCTGGTACAAATTGAAAATATTACATAAGGTGAGTGAAATTTTTATCTCGTTTGTTTTACATAAAAGAAAGGACCTACAATTGAATCAATGTACTGATCATTTAAATATAAATGTGTAAGTCTTCTTGCATGTTCCTTCAAATCCTTCCCATGTTTAGGAGCATTTTGAGAACCCTTCCTTGATATGTATTGCAACGTCACTCGAACCATTTTCCACTTGTTATTAGAAATTAGGAAAAAACTGTGGTTGTCATAGAAACACACATGCGTGGCTAAACCCAGTCAGGTCTTGCTTAACACTGATCATTTAAAGATGTTCCATTTTGTGTTCAGTCTCTGCGAAGCTCAGAGTTTTTAAAAGAAATAGTTTTGCTCAATTTTGCTTAAAACAATCATTGTTTGACGTCTCCATGGTTCGATTTTTGCCACTTCAAATGGAACGACGAAAAAAAAATTACGTGTCACCAACTTTAGAACAAGGGACTTGGGCTGCTTGTCGCTGTATTTTACTCGTTTCGGGCCCACAGCTGAGACGGCATCGGGCCCACCTTTCTGTCAAAAACATGATGCTATCTATTCAAGAGTGTTTGATCTTGATACTTTTCCAAGAGAAGTACCAGTTTTTTGGTAGGAGGTTGAGAAGATTGACTCTCCGCCTTGTACGCTCGCTCTTCCTTCTTTAAAGTCCCGGTCAGTGTGCTTGGGGCTTCCGGTCATCGTGCCGAGTCGAGTCCGTCCGTCGCAACCGCACGTTCACGTTTTGTGTTATTTACACCAGTAGTGCATCGTCGTAGGGTGACGTTTTTGCGAAACATGGCCAAGACAACCACGGCAACTCAAAAGGTAAGATTTCTAACAGACTCGTTTCTTTAGTTCGGCCACTGGCAACCTCCTGTGGGGAGGAAATGAACTTCGCACGCGTCTCGCCGAGTGCCAAGCACCCATGGCTGAGAGGTTAGGAGTTGTTGTTGCCTTGTGTGTGTATACAATAGCATTTCTCTGTACCACATTTCTTGGGTTGACGATCACCGATCGCGGCAGCCAGTTCTTGGGCTCTTTGCTTGGACCTCGTATGGAACCGTGTGGCGGTGGGTAGATGTGCTTTGGCGAATGCCGAGTAGACTCTTACGACAGCACAGTTCCTAGACCTCCTTGGACTCGCATTTACCGATCGTCTTTCGACTTGGGATTTTGCTGGAAATACTCTCGCTTGTTCTTGACCCTCCTCTCGATTGGTTCTGATTCGATGTGAGCCATGGCCATTGCCTGTGACAGTCCTCCTTGCATCATCTCTTGCAAGGCTGACTCATGATCAGCCTAGGCTGTATCCAGTTCAGGGTTCAGGAAATTCACACTTACCTCTTTACTGGTTACAGATTTTGGAGGGAATGCTTTGCACTTACTCCCCACTTTACCGTTGTCCCCACATATAAAGTGTGGATTTCCTTACCTTGGTTCAAACCCATTGTATTGTCGATGAATTAATTCTTGAAAGTGCCCTTAATTATGTAAACATTCTCCAAATGAAATATATTTTTTTCTAAATAGTTCACGCTGAATATATATGATCAGGTGTCAGGAGCCGATTGCTCCCATACTTTGGGATCTTAAAGACCATTTAAAGAAAGAATTTTCGGCACCCACAGTTCGTGCTAAAAGTCACTACAACGCCCTAAAATGAAAGTTCAAGGTCAGGGCCGGCCCGTTTTGGCCAAGCCGTCGGACGGCGGCCAGTGGCCAGTCAGTCGGGTCACACGGCGAAAGTGCGTGTGTCACTTCGAGTTGTCACTCCTAGTGTTGCTAGGTCACTAGGCCGTTGGCATTGCCACCGCGGGTCATACCGAAATCCACCCCACCACTGTTTGGGCAAACCTAAACAGTAAGGAAATCAACTTCGCAAACTGCACGATCTTGCGGAATCCGTGTTTTCCTACCCTCTTCTCGTTCCTTTGTTTCTGTTTCTGAGGGTGGCTCACTCATCCCTGGTGCACCTTGCCTGGGTCTGCGCTTGCTCTGGCAAGCCTTTGGGAACTGTGGCGACTCCTCGGGTGTAAAGGTCAGGCGTGCCTGGCTCCAGTTGAGCCTCCAAACTTCTAGTGGGCCTCTAGCCAGCTTCTTGTGCGACTGTCGTACTTGCTCGTCTGCGCCTAGTGAGTTCCCCAATGTCGTTAAGTCTAGCGAGGGCAAGCGAGCGAGTTGCCTCTTCAGAGTCTCTCGCAATGCCAGAAGGCCGCTTCCGAGCACCGTCTCGATGACCCTCCTAGCCAGCCCCACTGAGCTTGTACGCGGGCGCGGGCACTTGCAAGATGTCCTAGGGTATTTGTGCTCCACCCCCAAAAACAAAAACAACGAAACGAGGAAAGGATAGGCTCGGATGGTCAGAGGTCCTGCGGTGTGGCAGGGGTAATGGTGTACCGCACGGTGCTGTGGGTCCTTGGAAAGCCTCTTCTGATCCAATATATTTCATTTTCAATTTTTAATAGGCTGGGAAAATTCATAAGACCTTTTCAAACTAAAACAATTACCATGGCAAATTGTAATTTCTGCTCTTAAATTTTTTCGTCGGGAACTAAGAATCATCTGCTTTCATGGACGTTCTTTGAAGTTAAATTTTTTGGTCAAGTTTATGAAAATTGGTCAATTTTCAACTTTCATTTTAGGGCGTTGTAGTGACTTTCAGCACGAACTGTGGGTGCCGAAAATTCTTTTTTAAGGTGGTCTTTAAGATCCCGAAGTACGGGAGCAATCGGCTCCTGACACCTGAAAACGTTCCCTTGTTAGTTGCCATTTGTACTACTTTAGTTTTGTTTTGTATAGATCATAGGTGTTCCTGTTTTTTGTCATTTTTATGCTCCTTTTTTATAATTACTGTTAAGACCTTGGCATGAACCATTTAGTTTGGTCTCTGGTGCTATAATATTGATCTATCTATTTTAGAATAATTTTATTTTGGTTTCAGGTTCAAGAGTACAAAGACACCCTCAAAACTAAGGTATTTAATCCCACTTCTTACACACAATTGTTTTCACCATGAATGTTAAATTAATTTGTATTATTTCCTTGCTTTAGGCTGAAGACTTGATATTAAATGGATTCCCTGAAAAAATAGTTAAACTAAATGAACTCCTGGAAACATCTCTGTTTGTCCCTTTGGATCTCGGCAGTGTCCATCAGAAGTTAAACATTCCTATCCCTGACCCAGTTCATATCAACAGGTAAAATATCAGAATGCATAATGCATTGTCACTTTCAGTTGTTTTTATTTTTAATCTCTCTTCTTATTTTCCAGTAACTCTGACCATGCAGCATCTAAAAAAAGGAAATTGGACAATGCCAAGTCCGAAAATGAAGTTAATGAAGTTGATGTTGGCACCAAAGTCATGTTGCTGACTTCAGGGCCGGTCCCTTGTAATTCCAAGCTAACAGAACTGATAGGTATTGTGAAGCCTCACATCAAGGAATTAGTTGCAGATTCTAATTTGGTAAGCCACATTCTCTTTCTAAAACTTTGTTGTAAATTGCTCTATTAATAACTGTTTTTCTTCTATTCTAGTTGAAAATGTGGGTTTCGTTCATGATTCCCAAAATTGAAGATGGAAACAATTTTGGAGTGTCCATTCAGGAAGACACCCTTGCTGAAATTCAGTCTGTAGAATCAGAGGCTGCTGCTTTCTTTGACCAGATCTCTCGTTACTATGTGTCTCGAGCCAAACTTATTTCAAAGGTGATTGTTGACTTCGCTAACATTAACATGATAATTTTCTTTCCAAGGATTAAAAGAAGCATAATCTTCATTTTATTTGTTTTCAGGTGGCCAAATATCCTCACATTGAAGACTACCGGCGATCGGTGCAGGAAATGGATGAAAAAGAATATTTGAGCCTTTGGTTGGTTTTGTGTGAAGTGCGTAACCGTTACAGTACTCTTCATGATATTGTCACCAAGAACATTGACAAGATTAAAAAGCCAAGATCAACCAATTCAGTATCTCTGTACTGAAAAGTTGATCTCTTTGTTTGGCTTAGTGTCCCAAACTTGAAATTGGTCGATTGTGATTTTTGTCCCTTTCCTTGTATCTCCAAGTTTAGCGGAATTGGTAGACCTCCACTGGTTGGACATCTCCAATACCGTCAATATATTTGTAGAAAAGCTTGTTGCAGTTTCTTATTACTACCGGAGTGTGACTGAAGCCGTAACCTTGTTTTACTTTGTTTTAACATCATTCTCCCACTATTTTTTTTTTCTCTCTTTCCCCTTTTTATTTATCTTTATCAATAGGACCTGTAGTCTTGACCTACAACTATGTCATAGACTCAATCTTACTCTTGACATAATAACTGTATTGTTTATGTTCCTTGTCAATCCATTATTCTGCATGGTGGTTTGTGGGTGTGCAGATGACATGCAATTTAAAGCAGCCTAGTCATGAAGGATCATACACTCATGTCATAGTTTGAACATGATAGCATTTGCTGCCCTCAAGTTAACTGCTAGAACTTGCATGGTTTTCACTCACTCACATTTTTTAAGCAGTCGAAATTTTGTGGTGTTTCTATTTAAATTTTCTTTTGCAATAAAATGACTGGTAGCTTCAGTTACTGCTCTTCTGTTTCCTCTAACAAAGGAAGGAGTTTCATTCCAAGAAAATTCAGTTGGTTCTTGGTTTGTTGCCCACCTGGAATTTTATCAAAATTCTAGATTGTTGTCTGCTGTATGGATAACACACAGAGGCCTCATAAATTGTGATCCCATGATGTATCCATTGATCATTGTTTCCTGTAATGGTTTTACCTTTAAGGTTGGTTAGCATGTACCCTATAAATTTTTATTTTTTTGCCCCCATGTGCATTTTTGTTAATTTTGCAGCCCTGTGAAATGTTGTTTCCGCCAATTCTATATTTATTGAAGAGTTAGACGTGGGCTATTCCAAAGCAAAGTCTGAGGGTGGGTGTACTTATAGATCTGTTCTGTATCAAGTTCTTATGCACTAATTTGTGAATTTTTGGAAACACCTTTCACCTTAGTAATGCAGTGTTCTCTTGAACTCTGTTGCTAGCAAATCAGTTAGATGGTGCTCTTTGGTACGCCGTGAATTGTTCTAAACAAAATTTACCTGTATAAAATAAACATGAAATTTGTAAAAACAAATCACCTTCTTTTCCCATCTTTAGTAGTTCTGAAGGAAGTCTTTTGAGGGAAGGAAGAAAATGCGTTGCTTTGTTACCATTTGGGGGAAAAGAGAATGGTGTTGCGCCTGTCAGGTAGTCCATCCCATTCTCCAGGCCCGATTCACTCCAGTTTGCTTCAATTCATACAGGGCTTTTCTGGTAATAGGAAGGCCCGGCGGAAGGAGGCAGCAAGAAAACTGATTTATTTTTAGATCTTGTGAGCCGGTCTGCTAGTGGATTCTATGCTGTCCACTTCAGTACATCTCGCCGCATTGTCAAAGAGGCGATTTTTTAAAAAACATTAAAACAATGTGTGTCAGTCACATCTGGGTTGCTATAAGTCTCGAAAACTTTGAAAACCTGAAAAAGTCAGTTAATTTGAAGACTGTCAGAAGTTAGGGAAAATAAAATGGACAAACGGAAATAAGTGGCACAAATTCCAACGCAGTCACTTGACTCCTATTTTATTCGTAAAACTCATCATTTATTATACCCGACTGCTGCAAAAGGTATCCAAAAAGTCAGGGGAAAACTGGGGAAAAAAGGTCTGAGAGTCAGGGGAAATGAAAATTTCTTATTTGTGCCAACCCTGCACAGCTGCGAGGTGCTCCGGTGGGACGGGACGACAGGACCCTAGTCCAATGGGGCCGGTGGGCCTCTGCACAGCGTGACGTCACCGTTGGACTTCCCTCCGCGGTGAACCCCGGCACCAGCAGGCGTCATTCTGGGTAATTCTAGTCCAGCTTGAGGGGTGAGCTCAGCGAGCTGGTTCCCAACAGCGCGTTTGCTTTCTCGCTCGTACTCATGGGCGTGGGGTAGGCATGCGAGAGAGAGAGAGCGACGAAACTGTTCGGAGTCAGCCTGTAGCCAGTGTGTCGCGAGGACGTGGTCGCGAGTCCTTTGGGACGCAACGTGCGTGTGTGTCTGCCGGCCGGCTGATGCCGAGAGTCGTTTACGTCGCTCTGTCTCCTTCCCACTCATGGGACGTTCCGTATACGGGCGAGAGAGAATGCGACCCTCGGAATCAGTCTACTGCGTCTTCGGGGAATGAGATGACGCTGCTTCAGGCTTTGCTTGACCCTCTCCTTGCCTGCGCGTCGCGCACCGTGGGAGGAGGATCGGGCCCACGGCGTCCCTGTGGGTCGCTGTCAGGTTGACAGTGTCACAGCACAGTGTCAGCGGCGACCCCCCGCGTCACAGTCACCGCTACACTGTTACACAGCTCGCAGCCCTTGGTCGGGACGCCATAGTACAGTGGGCCAGAAGACCGGTGGAGGCGGCCAAAATGTCGGACGCGTTTTGAGCTCGAGTCGCTAAATGGGACTCGAACCGAACGTGTGACCCCACCAATGGATTGCTCTCTGAACGAGGAATCCGTTGGTGGGGTCACACGCTCGGCTCGAGTCCCGTTTAGCGACTCTGGAGCTCGAAACGCGTATAGAATTTCGGCCACCGCCACCGGTCTTTTGGCCCACTGTGCATCGCTCGTGCCTCCTTGTGCAGCAACAATAAAAGTACAATCAAATAAAGCACTTTGCCGCAAATTTTGGCGTCGTCTTCATGGCTGTGACGTGACCCCTGGCTGTCGGCGCTCCATGCTTTCGTCGCTTTGTCTCTCTCGCACTCATGGGGGTGCGAGCGAGAGCGCCGCTGTTCGGCATTCACCTGTCGAGCGATTCCGCTGCCCCTCGCTCTGTCCCTATCGCACTCACGAAGCGTGCCGGGGGTGCGACAGAGACAGAACAAGGGAGTGTGGGCGGAGGAATCGCTCCACGGCTTCAGTTTGATTTCGTAAGGTCTGTCGTCGCGCTGTCCCGCTCGCACCCCTGCGGGACTCCCCATGAGTGTGAGAGAGAGTGACGAGCTCTGCTCGGAGTCGTCGGCGTCGGAACCCAGGCGCGGTTTCAGGGGTGGCGCAATGGGGTTTTTGCCCCCCCCCCCAATAGCCGCTGGATAGCCGCCTAAAAAGTGCTACTTTGCCCCTGTAAGTAGGCAAAAAGTGCTACTTTGCCCCCCTCCCCAGGCCGCCTCTGGATCCGCCACTGTCGGAATCTGTTCCCCGCGGACCCAGAGGACCCCGCCGCGATGACGATGACGGGTCGCGCGCTTCCCACAGCAGATTGTCCAGAGACGCGGCAGGCTGACAGTGCTTTCGTCGATCTGTCTCTCTCGCTCCCACGGGTCATTCCCCAGGAGGAGCGAGAGAGACAACGTGACGGCACACTGTTCGGAGTCAGTCCGCAGCCGCGCCACGGCAAACATGCTTGTCAAACAGAGAGAGAGGCGGGGTATCCTGTGCGTCCTGTGACTTGCCACGGACTTGCCACGGACTGCCTGTGACAGCACACTGATTCCGAGGGTCGTCTTCGTCGGTCTGTCTCTCACGCAGCTTTGCGGGACGACCCACGAGTGCGAGAGAGACAGCGCGATGAAAACGACTCTCGGAATCAGTCTGCAGGACCGACAGGACACCGAAAGGAAGAGTGCCGGGGAGGGAAGGGAGGGCCTCGCTCACGGCCACTACGGCCGGATGCAGGCCGACCTCGTGCGTGCGCGCGTGCGTGCGTTGCGCTTGTCAAAGAGCACACGCCCCACAGTGGGCCAGAAGACCGGCGGAGGCGGTCAAAACTCTGGACGCATTTTGAGCTCCAGAGTCGCCTAACAGGATTCGAACCGAGCGTGTGACCCCACCAATGGATGCCTCGTTCGGAGAGCAATTCATTCGTGGGGTCCGAGGGGGTAAACACTTCATGAAATCGTGTACAGACTACTCGGTATTACGCTGTATTACGGAGGTATTACACGTGTATTACGGCCTTAAAATGCAAAAATTTGGCTCATTAGACGCAGAAATGGTATTACGACCACGTGTATTACGCGTAATACACGGTTTTTGTGTACAGGGTATTACGCGAGTGGTTACCCCCTCGGTGGGGTCACACGTTCGGTTCGAGTCGCACTTGGCGGCTCTGGAGCTCAAAACGTGGCTAGAGTTTTGACCGCCTCACCGGTCTTCTGGACCACTGCGCGCCCGCGCGGGCTCTCGCACTGGACTCCGAATCCAGCCTCGGCCATCTTGCTGCTTAGAATTTCAGACTCTCGAAACAACAAAACCGACAGCTCTCACGGGGGTGATCTGACTCCTGGAAGGTATATTATGCATGTGCGCGAGCATGTGCGGCTCCAGGTGGAGTGAAGGGTGATGGGGGGCAAAATGCACTGCTGTCCGGGATTTCGACCGCCTCCAGTGGTCTTCTGGCCCACTGTGAGGTGTAGGTCCGCTGGTCCGCTCCCAGCCGTCTGATTCCGAACACTGCTTCGTCGCTCTGTCTCTCTCGCACCCCTACGGACCGCCCCATGAGTGCGAGAGAGACAGAGCGACGAAAGCAGTGTTCAGAATCAGACGGCGACGGCAGGCCTCCGGCCCATGCGGTCTGCGGCCCTCACACTGCAGGCTGAGTCCGAGCACTGCTTTCCTCGCCGCTGTCTCTCTCGCTCCCTTGCGGTACGTCCCATGAGCGCAAGAGAGAGAGAGAGAGACGAGAGCAGTGCTCGGAATCAGCCCGCTGCCCTTGCTCCGCACCGGCCGGCCGTCCTTGCGACAGAGAGGGGCGACTATCAGCGCCGCACCCTGAGACCACAGACCTCGAGTCAAGCGAGGGACTTCCCTGCCGCACGCGCCCTCCGACCCGGCTGTTCTCGAACGCCACCGGAACAAGGAGACGCCGCGCCAAGGGCCGAACCTTTCGCCCGCCACACTGTTCTTCAACGAAACGTGACGTCATATTTCGGCATACTATTTGCTAGATTGTGAATTTTGTCACGTTAGTCAGCAGACTGATTCCGAGAGTCGTTTTCGTCGCTCTGTCTCTTCGCATGGTCTTGTCTTGAATGAGTGCGGGAGAGCCAGAGCGACGAAAACGACTCTCGGCATCAGTCAGCACAGCGCGCGGTCCATGTCAAAATAGAGTCCCGAGGGGGTAAACACTTCAAGAAATCGTGTACAGACTACTCGGTATTACGCTGTATTACGGAGGTATTACACGTGTATTACGGCCTTAAAATGCAAAAATTTGGCACATTTGACCCGAAAAAGGTATTACGACTACGTGTATTACGCGTAATACACGGTTTTTGTGTACAGGGTATTACGCGAGTGGTTACCCCCTCGTAGAGTCCCGAACGACGAACGCGCTGTCAGGCTGCACGCGGCCCCGACCCGCGGCACTTGCGAGCGATTCCGAAGCATTTTTCTCATCTCTGCCTCTGTCGCACCCATGAGGTGTTCCGTAGACGTGCGAAAGAGACAGAGCGATGAAATGTCTGTTCGGAACCGCCCGGCTGCCCGTCGTTATTTATCCACACCTCTCGGGGCCTCGTCGGAAAACTGAAAAACATTTCCTGTCCGCCTAGCCGTCTCTCCACCTTCGCCTCGCCTCGCCACACATTCTGCGGCCGCGGAGCAAGTCCTCTTCGCGCCATGCCGAAGAATCTGTCACTCTCGCAACCGCACGGGGACCGTTATGAGTGCGACAGAGACAAAGGGATGAAACGGCCCATAGTGGGCCAGAAGACCGGCGGAGGCGGCCAAAATCCCTGACGCGTTTTGAGGTCCAGAGTCGCTAAATGGGACTCGAACCGAACGTGTGGCCCCACCAATGGATTGCTCTCCGAACGAGGAATCCATTGGTTGCATCACACACTCGGTTCGAGTCCTGTGTCCAGCGACTCTGGAGCTCCAAATGCGTCTAGAGTTTTGGCTGCGTCCGATGTACGTTGGGCTGCCTATCCTCCAGTTTGCAGGCGCTCGGCAGAGGAGGGTGAAGCACTTTTCTCTCTCCCACTCGTGGGATGTGCCGGGGCTGGGCACTGTTCGGGATCAGGCTGCGGGGACGCAAAATAACCACGTCTTCCGACGCGGTGTTCACCCATCCCTTACTGAACGGAGAGTTAGGTTCCCTCGCGCGGCGTTTCCAAACGAAAGGGTAGGTCACTGGAAGAGTCGTTTACGTCGTTCTGTCTCTCTCGCACCTATACGGGACGCCCCATGAGTGCGAGAGAGACAGAGCGACCAAACGACTCTTCTGAATCGCTCGGCTGATGCCGAAGCCGAAATGCGTCGCCCTCCGTTTCGCCGCTCTGTCCCTCCCGCACCCTACGGCAAGCCCTACGGCCCCTATGGGACAGTAGAGGACCCCAGGGCCTGGGGGCGCATTTTGCCTGCCTGGTGGTTTGCAATTGCACCCCCCCCCCTCCCCCCGTCCGCGCTTCCACCAAGGAATGCTTCGAGTGCGAGAAAGACGCGGAGGCCCTGGCAGCCCTGGCTCCTCCAGTCCACGAACAGTCATCGCGGCGCCGCGGTTTACTCTGCTCTGCAGATACCGCGGGGGGCAAGGCAAGCCGGCCGGACTATAAGACGAGGAGACGGCCGGTGGAGGAGGACAGTTCCCCGCGGGCAGGCCGAGCCAGAGCGTCGCGATCATGCAGTGTACCCGAGTTGCCCGAGTGACCGGCAAAGGCAGGCCAGGCAGGCCGCGGGTCGTGGATGCGGTGGTGCTGGCGGTCGCCGTGTCCGCCCTCGCCGCGCACTGCTGCGCCGAGCCCGGCGGCACCAGCAAAGGGGGCCTGAAGACGGCGGCCAGCGAGAGGAGTGAGTAGAGCGAGGGGCAACCCGATTACCGGATTGGTACCTTTGAACCGTACAGGATTACCCCGGATTACCATTGAACCACGCAGGATTACTCCGGATTACCTCAAAAATTTCCCGGTTTACTCCAGATTACCTCCAAATTTCTGGTCATCCGGATTACGGATTCCAAGTTGCTGTCAGCCGATAGTAAAAACATCACATTTGGTGGATGGCATGCGTTCTAAATGTCAAAATCTTGTTCAGGAAACAGCTAGTTAGCCCCGTGTGTAAAAATTACCCCAACTGACCCTCTGGCGACTCTTCAAGGCATCGGCTCGCTCTAATCCTGAAATCGTTTTCGGAATTGCGGAGCAATTTCCATCGATGTCGACGTACTTTTTTTGTTCCGTAATCCATGCCATGTCTGAGCCTCAAGTGATCGTTCTTTCCCGTTCTTCTGCCTCTAGTATTCGGCCTCGGCGGCTACGGCGGCTACGGCGGCTACGGCGGCTACGGTCGTGGCGGCCCACCTACCCGTACTACGGCAACAACAGATACCCCTACGGCTGCAACGGGTACAACTGCAATGGCGGAGGGGGCTTCGGTTACAACACCGGATTCGGATATCCTTACGGAGGCAGCGGATACGGAGGATACAACGGCTACGGCGGCTACGGCGGCTACGGCGGTGTAGGCTACGGCGGCTACGGAGGGTACAGCGGCTACGGCGGCTACGGCGGCTACGGCGGCTACGGCGGCATCGGGTCCACGGAGGTCGGGTACGGCGTCACCGGGGCCGGCGGCGGCCTGTACCCGTCCTATCCGGGCTACGCAGGCTTCGGCGGCGCCTTGGGCCGCAGCTTGGGTCAAGAGCGGCAACCGGCAACGCAGATGCGCTTCCAGGGCAAGAGGAGCAACACGGAGGCCGAGGAGATGGAGGGCGGCGGCAGCGGCAGCAACGGCAGCAGTGGCAGCAGCAGAACCCCGCAGTGAGACAGTGAAGCGCCGCACTCGAGGCGGTGGCGGATCCAGGGCCGCCCTGAGGACTCCTAAGGCAAAGACGAGCTCCACTTTCGACTGCTGACAGGTGCAAAGTGTCGCGTTTAGCCTGCTATCCAGGCGTCAAGAAGAGCTATTGACTCTTTGCCCTCCCCTGGATCCGCGCAGAGCCGTCTGGGCCTCAACAGCTTTGGGCAAGGGGGTGAACACTTCAAGAAATCGTGTGCAGACTACTCGGTGTTACGCTGCATTTCCGTGGCCTTAAAATCCAAAAGAAATTCAAATTTTACCCAAAATGTTTTTCGTGTATTACGCGTTGTACAGAAGTTTTGGGTACACGCGAGTGTTTACTTTACTTCGGCTTTGGGACCGACTAGAGCCGGATGTGAAGCCAACCCAAACCAAGGTTGTGGGCTGGAACCCCTAACTTAAGGGCCGGCGCGGGGGCCTGCCTAGGGCAGGCGCGGTTTAAAGGAAAGGGGGGGGGGGCGAAGGGGCGATCGCCCCCCTTTGAGATTCCCTAAACGCCTGCTGGTAGGCAACCAGCATCACATGCCCCTGTAGGTAGGCAAAATATACACAAACGCCCTCCTGTCGGGGGCTCCTGAAACCGCGCCTGGCCTACGGTATGCCTAACTCCAGTCGAGACGATGCTTCCTCGCTCGGCGACGAATAAAGCGATCCGTGGAAAAACTGTTAGGCATGTAATGAAACTGAACTGAAAACGAGAGGCTTGTTTTGATTATTTGTTCGCCTCTCCACCGGTGGGCCAGAGGTGCAACAGTCAGCGGGGGTACTGGAAGCAAGTCGTCTCCATCTGCCCCCACTCCTCTTGTATGCTATTCCGCAGTCCTCTGGTCAAAATGAACTGAAAACTGAGCCGAGTGTATGACCTGTTTCAAACTTTCCCAGTCACTTGGGGTCGCATTGGCTGCTCATGCCAAAAAGTCCCCACCCCTCCTCACGAAATCTGCAATTATATTGTATCAACCTAAAAATGTAAAAAAACCGAATAAATTTATGATATTGATGACTCTTTTTTTCTTTAAGATAAACATTTCCATGCACCGCACCAGTACTTAATCGCGCAATTCCAAGCGCCACCCTGACTTTTGACATTGGGTCTCAATTGCATATTGACTGCGGGTCACGCTTTCTTTTTCGCTTTTCCCATTTCACAACCTACCCTCCTCCTTCGTTATACACACACATACCTCTCTTTTACATCGTGCCCTCCCACATTACACCTCACTTTTACACCCGGTGTCCGGCATGAAAGCACGCACGAGACTAGAATCACACAGCAACGTCACCCGCGCGCAAATAGGCGGAATTGAGGAGGCAGGCGGCGAAGCATAGCGAAGCAAGCCGCCCGAAAGTAAGGCAACAAGTCATGCTTGGCCCCTGTATGCAGGCAACTTTTGCGACACCCCACTACCCCCACCACCCCCACCCTGAATCCGGATCCCGGCCTGCTCATCACAGCTCACGCAAGGTGCCTCATCAAGCACCAACCCGCCACCGAGGAAATCGGTCGGCCTCTCTTGTGATTCGTTGAATAGAGATGCACCCCGAAAACGGTTGATCGAGGGGCGTAGGGAATGCCATAGCAGTATTTTACTGTGTTCACTCAGTCGGATGGGGGTGGTGGCGGGGCAGTGGCGGGGGTGGTGGCGGCGGCGGGCGGCGGCGGCGGTGGCGGGGCGGCAGTGCAGCTGCAGTGGCAGTGGCAGTTGTTGGAGGCGGGATGCGGTAGGCGGTAACAGCGCATTGCTTTCCTCATTTTGCGCTTATTGTCACAGGTTGCATTTGCTAGAGCCTGAAGATGTCCTGAGAAAGCCTGGCAATTTAATTTAGCGTTCAAAGGTTCGTCAAATCTTTTGTCTTAACATTGATAGGTGTGACGACGCTTGTACTTTGACTAGCAGTCTGTGTACCTGTGAGCCTATTCGCTCGATTTTCTTGGGTAAACAAAGCGTTCTGCAGATTGTAATGTATAATGAGACGCGATGACGCACTTATTTCTATGTTATATCCTAAAATGTACTAACTTAAGTTTCGTTTCGTTTTAAACTTTTCCTGCTTGTCGAAGTGTCATGAGTTTGGCACAGAATCTGTAGGTTAAAACTGTTTTGAGAGCTGAAATTTTCAGTCACTTAGTTTCTGTTGCTCATTCCCTACAGAATTGTCCACAAGATAAATCTTCACTGACGTGCCTTGTGTATTATCGGACCTTTGTACTTTCTCGCTAACTTTGTGTATTTTACGTGCGTTGTAGGTAATATGCCGCAAGAAGGAAGCTCGCAACCGAAGCGCCGAAGGCGCCTTCGTTCAAGAAGTAGGAATCAATCTGCTTCTCCGGGCAGCGATTCTGAGGTAGGGGTACTGCGGCATTGTCCTCTTAATTTCTCTCTATCACTTTATATTGTAGGTAGTTGCTCCTAATTCTGGACTATGGTTGCAGGGGCCTTCCAATGTAAAAGAAAGTTCCAACTGCAGAAAAAATTCTGTCAAGGCTGGACCTCTTAAATCTCATTCTGAGAAAGTTTTGATATCAATCAAGGATAGCTCTGGAGATCTGTCAGATTCTGATTTTGAGCCAAAAAGCTCTCAAAGACTGAAGCCTCGCTTACAGAAGAAACGTAAGTCCAAAGACAAAGATCCACCTAATGAGACTTCAAGAAGAGATATGGATGAAGCAGGCCCAAGTCATGGAGGAGCCATCAAAGTTAAGAGTGAATGTTCTGCATCTGGCAATTCAACCCCAAAGCCTCAATGGGTTTTATTGGATAGCCATGCTGAAGATATAGCTGGTATAGCCGGAGTTTTGGACGAGCAAATTGCCAAATTTAAGCAGAGGTATTTGGAATATAGCTGGGAGGAAAATATGTTACCACTGGCGGTTACAGAACTGCAACGATTCATTAAACGAGGAGTGCAGTCGCTTTGTGATGTAGCTGAGGATCTTAGGTCTTTAAGCACCAGCAGTGGTCTTCAGCCTATCAAAGCAGAAATCAGCTCAGATGAAGCAAAGAAAGAATTAGCTCTCAATGAAGAGAAAAAGATAAATGGAAAAAGTACTTCAGATACTATTGAATGTTGTGAATCAAATTCTAATGATGAAAGCAGTCCTAAGGCTAAAAGAACTCGAAGATGTGGAAGTACAGACTCTGATCGTGCTGCTAGCCCAGGTGTATCCACAAAAATTCAGAGGTGTGGAAGCACTGAATCTGTTGCCACTGTAGGAAGTCCCAAAGCTGGTCTCTGTGATTCAGACACCCAAGAAGGTCAAACAGAACCTGAAGAGTTAACCAGTGCTGCTGCCATGAATCCCAACACTAGTTGTGACATGTTTTCGGATCTAGACCTCCCTGAGCAGTCTATTCCTGAAAATGGTGAGAATTCTCCATCAGATGTTAACCATAAAAAACCGTCAGATATCGCTCAGAGCATCAAGTCATTGGATTGCAAGGCAAACTTGATGGCAGACTCCGATAGTGATTCTGAGTCAGACAGTAGGGAGGTTGGAACAGTCTTCAATGGAACTGCTTCAAGTGGCTCTGATTCTGATGAACAGATTTCATCTCCTAGGAATTCTGTAAAGAGGAAGCCAAAGAAATCTACCTTTAACATCGAAGATCTTGATGTGTACCACAGTGATATTAAACTGCAAGGAAAATGTTCCGTGAAAATCTCGAAGCTCCCTGAAGCAGATGAAAAGAAGTATATTCAATCTATTGGCAGCTACTACGATGTCAACACTTCTGAGGATTCAAATGATGACAATTCAGTGAAGAAGTAAGTTGAAAACCAATTTATGTGTATTACTGTGCAAGTTTTCTTCTGATATGATACTATTTTCTTTATTTTAGTTTGGTCAACCTTAAGAATTTACAAACAAAGGGCAAAGGCAGTGATAGTGAAAGTGGCACATCTTCTGTCAAGAGCTGCAAGGAGAAAAAGGAAGTTGCAAAGGACAAATCCAAGAACAAAGAGAAGCTTGCTGATTACATGAATAAAAGTTAGTGGTTGATTGTATTTCTTATATTCAAAAGGAATAACTTAATTTATTACTTGTGAATTTTCAGCTGACATTTCTGAAGGAGAGCATTCTTTTGAGAAGCTTCAACCTGACTGCAACAGTACACTTCAAGATACTGCAAATATTAATGATGCACACAAAAAACTACTGCTTGAGTCATCTGATAGTAAGAGTTATTTCAAATTAAGGACATTTCCTGTATACTAAAGTAAACCAAAGAACTTGTGTGTTTATTTTTGTTTTCATTTTAGGTGAAAATGAACAAGCTGATGATGAGTCTCAAGAGATGTCAAAGGTTGACAAAAGAAGTGAGTCGGGAAATGAAGAAAGTCCACCCACTGTCTCGGATGCAATTGAGACTGGAAATGTACAAGGCGATGATGCAAAGTCGGATGATGCAAAGTCAGATGATGCCAAGTCAGACGCTGACAAGTCGGACAAAGAGTCTGATGTTGAAACTGTAAGTCTTTCTCTCAATTCATCCACATTTGCTTACATTTACTTACATTTAGTTTTGGACTTCTGTGGTTTGTGATTGTAGAAATCTGAATCCAAGAAGAAGTCATGGCGGAATAACCGGCTGCTCACAGCCAAGCTATCTGATACTGATACAAGTGATGAAGAAAAGCGATGGGAAAAGAGGAAAATGAAGCTCAAAGATGAAAACAATTCAAGGTACAGTAATCATTGGGCCCCTTTCTTGTAGAGAAATAAATTTGTTAAAGTGAAATCCGAATGATCATAAAATAATTTTATCTTTAACTCTTTTAAAGTGATGATGAAAATATTCAACCCAAGAAACGGTAAGCTCGTTTTGTGTAATGTGTTTTGCACTGCTATGGAATAGCTTTTTAATTCAGTGAAACCCAGACTTAACAATTCATCTAATACTGAGGAGTTTGTTGTGACCGCTTTCTAAGAAATTTTTTGATTGTGGTAGGGCTGCATTTTATAGCACAAGGTTTTTGGTTTTGCATTATTTTGTTGTTTTTTATTAATATAGTTATCTCAAGGTTTCACTGTGGTTTGAGGCTTTATCTTGTTTATCTTTCAGTGCTTTTGGTATTGGTTCATTTAGCTCAATGCCTGCTGCTTTCATCCCCAGGCACAACTGGACGGTTGCTTTTGTGCAGTTCTCATGAGAAACCCCTTGTTGAATATGCATCTGTTTTTTTTCTTAACAGCCCATACATTTTTGTACACCCTAAATTGAGCTCACTCAAAGTGCATGTGAACTGTAATGTGATGTTTGCTATCAGCAAAGTTCTGCTCTTATGTGGGGTTTCTAATTTGATTTTGTTACTGAATTACTTCTTTCATAACTTTGCAGGAAAACAAAAGAGTCTCCCAAGAAAAAGGATTCAGATATAGAGGTGATTAGTGATGACCAACAGTCTTCCAGCAGTGAAGATTTTATCAAGAAGAAACCCAGGAGGACAGTCAAGAAATCATCATCTTCATCATCTTCTGAGGAAGAAAAGTATAACCACCTTTTCTTACTCAATCCCACAGTATGGTTTTTCTCTCCTCAGCTGACAAACTGTCTGATCTGTCTCTTGTATTTTTCTTTTGTTTTACAGGCCAAAGAAGAAACGGAGGAGAATTAAAGTTCAGAACTCTAGCAGTGACGATGAAGAGGAATCTAAGATAAAAGATGTAACTTTATTTCATTACTTCAACTCCAATCTTACAAGTTTTGAAAGAAATTTTATTCTTATCAAATCATTTGGTTTTGCAGGCTGAGAGCCCTACGAAAGGTCGTAAGAAGATTAGGCATGTAATTAGTGAAGAAGACTTAGAAAAGGGGACAAAAGAGGCAGCCAAAGAGGAGGAAGAGCGTCTCAAGCGCATTGCAAGCAGACAGAAGATGGTGTGTATACCTTAATTTCTTGCTCTAAACTCAAATACATAGCAATGTATTGAATTTTTTAACATTTATATTTATTTGTTAACCAGTATGAAGAGTTGTATGAGAATGTTCAGAAAGGATTTCATGTTTTGGATAGTCTAGTTCTAGACTTTGATGAAAAAACCAAAGAACCACTTGTAGAAGTTGACAAGGCCTTAGTAAAGAAACTAAAACCTCACCAAGCCAAAGGTGTGAAATTTATGTGGGATGCTTGCTTTGAATCACTGAAGAGAATTCGATCAAGCAATGGATCTGGATGTATTTTAGCTCACTGCATGGGACTTGGAAAGACATTCCAGGTAACTCTTTTTTTCATTTGTAAGTCCTGATCTATCCGAGAGTCAGTTTCTAATGGGCTTTTAACATTCAGGTTGTTACCCTTGTGCATACATTGTTTAAATTTCGTGAAACAAAGGTTGAAAGGGTGTTGGTTGTTTGTCCTGTCAGTACTGTTTTGAACTGGGTTAATGAGTTTCACAAGTGGCTTGATTCAATACGTGATGGTCCAGATGTTGAAGTCTTTGAAATGACAAGGTAAGTACATGTTTGTTATGTTATTAATTTAGGAATAAAATTATTTCCTAACCTGGCTTAATTTCTAAAATTCTTTGTAACAATATAAACAACCAAGGTGCAAGCAGAACATGGAACGCTCATACAAATTGAGAGAATGGGTGGAGAGTGGCGGTGTAATGGTTATTGGATATGACATGTACCGCAATATAACAAATCCTGAATCTAAGCGGGTAAGAGGAAGCCTGATGAAAACATTCCAAACAGCCCTAGTAAATCCAGGTATATTCAAATTTTTTTCCTCTATTAAATGGTACTTTTATAAAACATAAGCTAGAATCTGTTTCTTTTTATTTCAGGACCTGATTTGGTTATCTGTGATGAAGGACATTTACTTAAAAATGAAGAGACTGGGACTTCTAAAGCTTTGACTAGGATTAAAACGCTTCGGCGTGTGATACTCACTGGCACCCCTCTACAGAACAATTTGAAAGAATGCAAGTATTATATGTTTTCTCCTGGACCTTGGTGTTCCATTCTATAACTGATAATTTTTCTATTTCATCCTTTAAGATCACTGCATGGTGCAATTTGTCAAGCCTAATTTGTTAGGTACCAGGAAGGAATTTTTAAACCGGTTTGTGAATCCAATAACAAATGGACAGTTTGAAGATTCAACATCTCATGACGTGAAGCGCATGAAGAGAAGAGCCCATGTCTTGCATAAAACCTTGGAAGGATGTGTGCAGAGATTTGATTACTCTGTTTTAACACCCTACCTTCCAACCAAAGAGGAATATGTTATATTAGTCAGAGTAACTGATACACAAGAAAAATTGTACAGACATTACCTAGAATTTAAATCTGCTAGAGGTCAAGCGGGCAAAGGAGCCCAACTATTTGCAGATTTTCAACAGTTGCAGAGAGTATGGACTCACCCAAGAGTTCTTAAAATGTCTCAAGAACGGAATGAGCTTAAAGCAGAAAAAGAAGTAATTAAGCATAACTTTAATTGTGAACCTCCTTCCTTAATTTCTAATGATTTTTAATTGCATATTTTGATGATGAATTTGATTTTTTCAGGATGCAACAGACAGTGAAGGCTCTCTAAGGGACTTCATAGATGATGGTTCTGGCAGTGACTCATCTTCATCGTCTTCATCAAGTGAAGAAGATGATGATGATGTTGTTTGTCTTAGTGGTGGTGAGACCAAAAAAAAGAAAGCACCGCCAGCTAGGAGAACAAGGTCTAACAAGGATGTATCACCAGGTGAGATAATTGTATTAGTTTGGGAAGCACATTTGTTTTTTTTTTAACTTCAAGAGAAAAGCGGTGACAAATTTTTTCCCCTAGAACCGGAGGCTATTGAACCACCACCTAAGGAAGTTGAATGGTGGCAACCATTTGTTCAAGACTCAGACTTTGAAGATATAAGAGCTAGCCCTAAGATGCAACTATTGTTTTCTATATTAAAAGAATGCGAAGAAAATGGCGAAAAGCTGTAAGTGAAGTGGTTATGCTCAAAATAATTCTACTATATTGTACCAAATCATCTACTTATCAGCAGCTTGTTTCTTTTTCCTTCTCTCTCTCTGCCCCTTTTATACAGGTTGGTCTTCAGTCAGTCATTATTTTCATTAGATGTAATTGAGTATTTCCTTGGTAAAATTGATGAGGCGACTCAAAAGGGAGTTGAGGATGAGGCTCTAGATGGTCACCGCGGTTCTTGGTCTCTTGGAATTGATTACTTTAGACTGGATGGATCTACTCCCACAGATTTGCGTAGTACTTGGTGTAATGTTTTTAACAGGCCAAGCAATCTTAGGTAAGATATCTATAACCTGTGACATCTCCTTGTTATTTTATCCTTGAAATTCAATCTGTTCAACAATCATTAACATTTTTCTTGTCCAATAGGGCTCGACTTTTCTTAATATCTACCAGAGCCGGTGGGCTTGGAATCAACTTGGTAGCAGCAAATAGAGTGGTGATATTTGATGCATCATGGAACCCAAGTCATGATGTTCAAAGTATTTTCAGAATCTATCGTTTTGGTCAAACTAAACCATGTTATATCTACCGTTTCCTTGCTCAAGTATGTTTCTAAACCACTTGTCAAGTAGAAAAACCATTTGAATTCTAGTAAATTTTGTAAATAATTGTACGTTATTTTTTAAATATAGGGAACAATGGAAGAGAAAATTTATGAAAGGCAGGTGACCAAACTGTCTTTGGCTTGTCGAGTTGTGGACGAGTTACAGGTAGAAAGGTACTATAAAATGGCTGATCTGCAAGAGCTGTACATGTTCACTCCAGCTGATCGTGACTCCTTTGTGGCGCCGAAACTTCCAAAGGTACCACCATTTATTTACTATGTAGCAATTGCAAATTAATCTTCAGGCAGGGCCTCAACATATTTGGCCAATGAACTAACCTGAACTTTACCAGGACCACCTGTTTGCTGAGCTTCTGAAAAAGTACAAATCAACCATCACCTCCTATCATGAGCATGACTCTCTTCTTGAAAATAAGGAGGAGGAGGAATTGAATGAAAGTGAAAGACAGGCAGCTTGGGAAGATTATGAGAACGAGAAGAAGGGACCAATTATGCAACAGCCTGTAGTACCAGGTGATGTTTTGTTAAATTTTTCTAGAAACATTAATAGCAAAGCCTTTTTAGATTTATCTGCACTTCTGGTGTTATTGTGACTCATGAACACTTTTTGAAGATCAAAATAGAACCTAATACAGTTTTTTCCACCCCTTTGACAGAGCTGCCTAGTCTAGACCAGATCAAAGAAACACTACGACTGAGGGTAAGCATTACATGAAGTCCAAAAGTAATAAAACAGAATCACAGCTTATGATGAAAGATACTAACAGGTTTTGATTTCAGGAGCCCATGAGGCCGGATGAAGAACTGGAGCAAATGGCTCTTGCTGCTTACAGGCGGATAGTTGAATTCCAGGTAATCAGATTTAGATTCTTTTTCTGTCCTCTTTCTTCTTGCTTAGTCACATCACATAAAGTTAGGAGATCCTTCCTAAATGGGCAGTGTCTCTTTCCTCTTTCTGAGTTGGTCTTCATTCAGTTGCCTTTCCATTGAAACCACCTCAATGTGCCCTATGGGCAATTTAGTTTTTAGTTTCTCATCCCCTTAACTCAAGTCTAACTATGTCAGGAATGCTTTTTGTTCTTGATTGTCTAACAAAATGGTCTGAATGAAATACCTTGGAACACCTCATACAGGAAAGTAGTGTTAAAATGTATGTGGTTTTATGCCAAGCAGCAACAGCAACAGCAGCAGGCGATTCAGCGACAGCAAGCGCAGCAAGCGCAGCAGCTGTTACTGAGACAGCAGCAGTACCAGCAACAACAGCAGCAGATGCAGTATCTGAGAATGCAGGAGCAGCTGATGCAGCAACAGGGTTATGCTGCTCAACAGTATCCATACCAGTACGGCCAACAGGTAACTACATTGAGTGGTGCTATAATGAGGATAGCGTCAGGATCTATTAACGGCAATTTTTTGTTTTGTTTTGTTTTCCTGTAGCAACCTTATCTCAATGCAAGAGCCCCTGCTCCTAACTTAGCATCCACTTCAATGCCATCTCATTCTAGACAAGGTAAATTGAGATATAATTTACAGTGTTTACTATTTTATCTGCCTGAATGTTGCTATCTTATTAATGTTTCCTTCTGTTTTTGTAGGATATGTGCAGCAGCCTGCAATCCTGAAAAAACCTCCTCAGGTGCCAAGCAATTCACATCAAAAATAAGTTTTACATTATCTGTTGATAGTTTCTTTTTAGCACATTCATACATTATTTATTTTGATTTGCCTCTCTGGTGGTCGTATTGCTGTATGGTATTTGTTATTTTACTATTTTTTTCTGATACTTATATACGATGTCATGTTTATTTAATACAATTTTATTTGCTCTCTGACTTGTCTCTGACTGTAATGGAGAACAATAAAGAGTTGTTTCTTTTATTTAGAAAAAAAAAACGTTAAAGCTTTGTAGCAAATTATTTGATGTTTCCCTCTCCCAGAACTAGGACCAGAGATAGCAATCATAATGAGGACAGGAGAACTATAAAGGCCTTCGGCTCCGGCTCTGTTCAGGGCCTGTCACATGTTTGAAAATTGCGCTCCTGAGGCGTCGCCTGCTAAGACTGTCGAAAGACTGTCTGCGTGAAGTTCCTTCTTTTCCATTTCTTCTTTGGTTACGCACAAGTCGTTATTCGCAAAGGCTCTGGAGAGCCGCGCTGAGCAGACAAGTGCTGCCAACAAACTAGGTGCAGACTGAAACATGGCGTTTAGGAAAGAGAAGGGGTCGGACCCCTTTTCGCAGAAGACAAACAGATTTGATAGGTTCGCTCAAATGTCAAAACAAGAGGAAATGATACAACAGAAAAAGCGTGAAATTCAAGCTAAGCTAGAAGCCCAAAAACGTAAGGAAGCAGAAGATAATATCAAAAAACTATCAACGACTAACCTCAACAAACCTGGAAACAAGAAACCCATTGGAAAACCGTAAGTTTTTATTTACTGTACAATTGGGCTTGACAGCTGAGATAAACACAGAAGCAATTTGCCAAAATAAAGTTGTTTTGTTGTTCCGACTGAAACTCCATTACCTGTTAAACTTGCAGTAATTAGTAGTGAAATCTACAACTTTGTTTATAACTGTCTGTAAGGCTTTTCTGGTAGATTTTGTGTATCATTAGTATTACTCATTTTTAAATTATACATTTGCAGGAACCCTAATTAAGTGGTTGTCAGGGGGGAAGTTCTGCTAGTACACTATTAGAGTCGATTTCCCAATGCTTCTGGACCACTAGTTTTACGAGTTGTTTTGATTTCTTATCCATCTTGGTCTTTATTAAGTGCCTAGCCATTGAGTTATCTCTATGTTCTGATGATATTAACACAAGTGTTAATTCTTTTATATTCATATTCTCTAATTCTATGGCAGAAGCTCTCTCTTTGTCTGTCTTTTGGGAAACATACAAGAGTTGCTTTACCATCCGAATGTTTTATCTCCCAGGTTAAATGTGAGATCTATTGGCTCTCAACTGAAATCGTCCACTTCATCAACGACAGCACAGACATCACAGCCTTCACAGTCGTCACAGTCATCGCAGTCATCGCAGTCCTCCTCAAGTGGTGCCTTAAATATATTTTCAAATGATGGTTCTTTCATGGATCAGTTTCGAAAACTGTCTGGAATCAAAGGTTTGACTTTAAATAAAAGTTTTGCAAAGTAGTGAAGAGTAGAATAAACCTCCACATGCATGTAAGAAACTTTTCATTTTCTGTTTGTTTTCAGAATCTAAGCATAGTGGTCAGAAACGTGATGACGGGAATTTTCACCCAGATGGTGAGCCCATAAACTGGATAGCAGGATTTTTGATTAGTAATAGAATCCATCCTTTCTTATAGTGTGTTTTTTTTGTTTTTTTTTTTTGTTGACAGACTGCAACGGCCCAAGCCGTGACAGGAACGACGACCGAGAGGATCAGAAGAGACGGGATCGCGACAGGGACCGGATAAGAGACAGAGAGCGAGACCGAGACAGGGACCGCGAACGGGACCGGGATCGCAGTCGGGAGAGAGACAGAGACCGCGACAGAGACCGTGACAGAGACCGCGACCGGGGCAGAGACCGGGACCGGGACAGGGAGCGATGTCGAGAGAGGGACAGGTCTCGCGAGCACGTGAGAGACCGCTCACACGACAGGGACTCCTTTCGAAACAGGCGGGAGGAGCGCTGGCAGAGCGTGCAAAGCGTGCCCGAGCCCGCTCGGCCTGGCTCGCCGTACTCGCCGACCAAAGTGGAGCAGTACTCCCCCGTCTTCTCGCCCCTGTACCCGCCCCCCAACCTCAGTCTGCCCCCGCCTCAGCCCTTCGTGTCTTACCCCGGAACGGTGTCCGTGCCCTCGGTGCCACCGCCCCATCAGTCTCACCAGCCTCACCAGTCTCATCAGCCTCACCAGCCTCATCAGTCTCACCAGCCTCATCAGTCTCACCAGCCTCACCAGGCGCCACAGGCAGGACCTGGCCCCGCTCCCTGCCCCACCTCCCTTCCATCCCTGCCCCCGCCCACCTCCATGGCCCTGCAGATGATCCCGCCCCCTTCCCCCATCCAGCCCCACTCCATCCCGCCCCCCTCCCCCATGGACCCCCACCTGATCCCTCCGCCCCCCATGCCCCCCACGGGCATCCCACCACCGGGCATGCTGCAGTTCCAACCTCACGGCCCCCACAGTGTGCCCCCGCCCGTGCCGCCTCCTGGCGTCCGCCCCCCTGGAGTCCCGGGGGTGCCGCCTCCCGGCATGCCGCCCCCGGGAGTGCCGCCGCCGGGCGTGCCTCCGCCCACTGGAGTGCCGCCTCCAGGTTCCAGTGTCCGGCCGAACATCCCTGCCGGAGTGCCTCCTCCATCACTGTCTCGGCCCCCTGGAATTCACCCGGGCATGCCTCCTGGAATGCCTCCGGGCATGCCGCCGGGCATCCCCCCTCCTGGAGTCCCTCGCCCTGGAGTTCCCCACACTGGAGTTCCTCCCCCGGGGGTTCCGCCTCCGGGCGTTCCACCCCCGGGTGTTCCTCCCCCGGGTGTTCCTCCCCCGGGTGTTCCGCACCCCGGCGTTCCACCCCCGGGCGTTCCTCCTCCGGGTGTTCCTCCTCCAGGCGTCCCTCCTCCGGGCGTTCCTCCCCCTGGAGTCCCCCCGCCCGGCGTGGCGCACCCGGGCGTTCCGCACCCGGCGTTCCCCCTCCCATGGCGCACCTGACGGGAGTTCCGCCCCCAACGGTTGTGTCATCGTACCCCCGCCTCCCCGTCATGCCAGTGCCGCCCCCGCACGAAGTCAAACCTGTCGGTAAGTTCGCATCAATGTGTCGTGTCTATCGTTGTAGCAGCGCTTCAGCTGAAAAAAAAAAAGCGGTTCTGTCTTGAGGAAACTCTGCAAAATATCATTTTTAATTCTACTTGAAAATTGAAAGAAAAGAAATTTTGGTGTCCATCAAATTTTTGCATGTATTATCTTTATGCTGTTGGTTAAAGTATGTCATTCACCCAGAAACATAAACAATAATAAAAATGGTCTGCTGAAGTTTTAGCAATTGTGCTTCAAGGCCTCCAGTAAAATTGCAATTTGTTTCAAGGATCTATATTTTCCTGCTGAAACTTTTTTTTTTTTTTTGTTTTTGTGTGTGTGTGTGTGTGTGTGTTTCTATTTTTAAATTAGTTTGTAATTTTGAGTGATTTTGTTGTTGTTGCAGAAGCACCATCTTTACCTTCCTTGCATTCAACTGCTGCATCTCTCATAGTACCAGTTCCTCCTCCACTGAATGGCGTTCTGCATTCACTAAAGAAAGATCATGTGCATGGAAACCAGAACACTGGCAGTCTGGAGGATGATGATGGAGTTTTGCAGCTTGCGAAAATGGTGTCCCAGTGTGGTGATGATATAGAGGATATCATTAAAGCACGGAACACAGATGATGCAAAATTGTGGCAAGTTCTAATTTTCATGATTTCTTTTTATTGTTCCCTACTCTTGTACCCTTAATCTGAATGTTGTTTTTCTAATACTTAAGTATTTATTTTAAAAATATAATTATTTTTCCTTAAAGGTTTTTGCACCAGAAAGACAGTAATGCATATTTACAATACCGCCACCTTGTTGAGACATTCAGGAGAGAAGTGCATCGGGGTGAAGTTAACGATGAGACTAATAATTGTTCAGAAAGAGAGAGGCATCAGAATGTTTTATCTTTGCAAGGTTCCCCTTGTTCTGGGAAAGAAACCAACAGTAGTACAGAGAATGGTCAACAACTGGGTTCGTATCCAGGAACATCACAAGGTAACTAATCTTACTACCAAAAATAGTTTTCATCAAATATTTTAAAGCCAACTGATTTCTATATGTACTTTGTTTTCGTTTCCTCACAGGGGAATCTGAAAGTGCAGCTGTTGCACGCAAAAGGAAGAGGAGAAGTCGATGGGCACCAGAAGGTGGCAAAGCTGATGCGCCCTCATCCGTTCCTTCCATTCTTTCAATTAATGTGCCACCGCCAGGTTACCAAGGAATAGCAGCTCCTGTCCAGCAAGGGCAAGGGGCTACTCCTACGCTAAGTAGAGTAAATAGAACTGACCCAGGTCTTCTTCGGTATGCTATCCAAACATTTGGAACAACAAACCTATCAGAAGAAGACTGGAAAAAGGCTGAAGATCACTACAAGGTGAAACACTGACTCTAACTGTACACGTGCGTAGTTTCTGTAAATGACATTTTTCTATCAACTTTTTCTTTTTTTTTACCTTGTAGATAAACCTCTTGTATCAAGACTTATTGAGAAAGAGAGAAGAAATTAAGAAATTGGAATCAAAAGGAAAGCACAAGTATGAATACGATAGTGATGAAGAGTGTGATGGAGGTGGGGTTCCTTTCCACTTACTTGTTCAAGCTCTCAAGTTATATTGCAATCTTCATAATTAATTCAAATTAATAATTGTGTTCTTTCTTTTCAGGGACATGGGAACACAAACTAAGGTCAGCTGAAATGGAGGCAACAGAACGATGGGCCGAGGAGCTTACCAGGCAATCTCAAGGCAAGCATCATATAGGTGACTTCCTACCACCTGAAGAACTTACTAAATTTATGGAGAAGGTATTAAAATTTTCTTTGTGGAATGTTGAATTTTAGAAGAATCTGTGCTGCAGGTGATGTAATGATGGTTGTTTTCTTTGCAGTATTCTGCATTAAGAGAAGATCGCGAACCTGATCTGTCTGATTATAAGGAGTTCAAATTAAAAGAAGATAATATAGGATTTCAGATGCTTCAGAAATTAGGATGGTCTGAAGGTCAGGGCTTAGGCTCAGATGGTTCAGGAATTGTTGACCCTATAGGAAGGTCGGTTTTCACTTATGTTTCAATTTAGAGAAATTCTTAATATGCTTTGCTAACATCTTAATAATTGACTGTGTTTTCTTAATTCTGCAGAGCAAACCAGAGAAGCGAAAACCAGGGACTTGGGGTAGATCGCCCTGATGAAGTGTGTAAAGATGATGATGAGTTTGAGGCATATCGTAAGAGAATGATGCTGGCCTATCGGTTTAGACCTAATCCCTTGGTAAGTATTGGAACTGTTGACCTCCATTGTGCTGAGTATAATAATATGTGATGACTTTTGCTCTTTTCTTTATTGCAGAATAATCCTCGTCGTCCATACTATTAAACTGTTTTTGTGGAAGATATTTTTTTACTCAAAAGCAACATTTTTAGAAATAGTGAGTGATAAGAAGTGTTGACTTTCTTTTCTCTTCCACCGTTTTTCAATTTTTCATTTTATCAACAATACTGATTGCCCATCTTTTCTATTTTATCATAATTTTTCTATGTGTATTTTCCTACAAGAACTTGTCATCATCTGCAGCTATTTCTATAAATTCTTATAGATGTTTGGAGTTACTGGAGTTTTCAAAGGAAATCATTTAATTTTATTGTAAAATTCACTCTTTTCATCGTAAGGAATTGTTACTAGGTGAAAAATCTGAGAATCTTGCAAATTACTTCATGTATTATTGAACATTATGAACCTATGAACCACTTTAATGTTGTATTTAGTTTGAGGTTTTGCAGAGCCCTGCAAAGTACATGTGCCATTTTCTTCAATGTCTCTATAGGCCAAAGGAATAATGTGTTTTTTTGTTTGTTTTTGTTTTTTTGAGAAGCGCTCATGGTGGGCCATTAGTCATCAATTCATATCTGAAATTTCCAGGAAGAACTAATTTGATGGAGGGAAGCATTTAGCTCTATTGAGTCTGGAATGTTGGATGTTCTCATTCTGTACAGATTGTTCAAACACTGGTTCTGCAGTGATTTGTATTTATTGTTGTGTATCATATTTTATGTTTTATAGATGGTTATATATATGTATGTATGTATATTTGTATGCGTGTGTGTGTGAGTGTGTGTGTGAGTGTGCTGTCTGTGTATTTGTTTGCTTACTCGTTATGTAAGCGTTGTTGAATCATCTGTGAAAGAATTTTCGTGACTGCCTCAAGCTGAACATTTCCTCTGCACATGAGAACGATTGTTAATCTGACGCAAAAAAAAAAATAGCTAATAAAATGACGCACTTTGAATACAAGTTTCCTCGTCTTTATTCTCAATCTCAATAGCATCCCGCTTCGCAACAAGTGGCTAGCTCAGGCGCGGCCGTGGCCGTGGCCGTGGGGTGCGAGGCGCTGTGGAGTCTGCGCCCCAGCCGCAGCCGGGGTGGCGGTGGCGGCGGCCGCTCTGGCGCGCATGGACGTCCCCGAGCCCCCTCGGACAGAGACCCAGGCGCGCCCGCCCGGCCCGCCCGGCACGCCCCCTCGCCGGCCTTCCCTCAGGCCCGCACTCAAGCCCAAGCCCAGCGTGGAGGAGGACTGCTCGATGTCCTGCAGCCGACGACGAATGACCTGTGAAGGAGACGGAAGAGTTCATTGTGTTGAGCGCTCATTCAAATTTCGGGACACTTCGACGCACAGTGGGCCAGAGGACCGGAGGAGGCGGTCAAGATCCCGGATGCGTCTCGTGCTCCTGAGTCGCTAAATGGGACTCGAACCGAACGTGTGACCCCACCTATGGATTGCTCTCCGAACGAGAAATCCATTGGTGGGGTCTCACGGTTGGCTGGAGTCCCATTTAGCCACTTCTGCAGCTCAAAACGCGTCTAAGAATTGTGGCCGCCTCCACCGGTCTTCTGGCCCACTGTGCGACGCCTCCTGAGGAAACCATGCCATCCTTTCTGGGTGCAAGGAAACCAACGAGGGCGTACCATGTTCTCGCGGTCTATCTGCCTCTGGCGCGCAGTGCGGTTGATGGCCGAGGAGGCCGTGATCTTGATGGGCGTGGCTACACTGGGGGGCGTCACCCTCCTGCACGCGCGGAGCCGCCGCAGCAGGTCCTGGTTCTCGCGCTCGATGCGCCACATCTGCACCACATACACTGCACAGTGGGCCAGAAGACCGGTGCAGGCGGCCAAAACTCTAGACGCGTTTTCAGCTCCTGAGTCACTAAACAGGATCGAACTGAACGTGTGACCCCACCAATGGATTGCTCTGCGAACGAGGAATCCATTGGTGGGGTCACACGTTCGGTTCGAGTCCCAGTTAGCGACTCTGGAACTCAAAACTCATCAGGGATTTTGATCGCCTCAGACCCACTGCGCGTCGAGCGCCTGCGAATCTCGGGGTAGGCCATCACAATGACAGCACTGCGCAGCGGCGTGCCTACCCTGAGGTTCGCAGGCGCTTGCTCTCGGTTCTCGGCTCGCTAACCGCACGAAGAAACTTCGTGAATGCACGAAGAAGTCTTCGTGCATGCGCGGTGAATGTGTGTGGATTTAGTTCGAGAAATCCTCGTAGAGGCAGAGGCAGAAGAATCTTCGCTAGGAAGTTTTCATGAAGTACTACCCAGAATCTTCGTGAACTTCGTAAAAAGTTCCGTCGGCATTTTTTCCCCCAGAGGTACCTTTGTAAAGTCCGGGAATGAATTTTTACAGCGTGCACACCTGGTCCAGGCTGAAGGACCTGCCGCGGTGCTCGACGTCCTGCCTGTAGGGGTGCGACGGCTGCCCCAGCGGCTGCCCGAAGCCCAGGCACTGGTGGGCATGGCCGTCCAGGCGCCGCGACCGCGCCAGGACCCCTGCAGCAGTCCCCGCGGACACAATGCACAGCGGGCCAGAGGAGCGGTGGCGGCGGCCAAAATTCTGGCCGCGATTTGAGCTCCGAAGTCGCGAAATGGGACTCGAACCGAACGTGGGACGTGGGACCCGGTATGTGCTCTCCGAACGAGGAATCCATTGACCGGTCACACATTCAGTTCGAGTCTGTTAAGCGACTCTGGAGCTCAAAACACCGCGTCTGGAAGTTTGGCCACCACCACCGGTGTTCTGGCTCACTGTGCAATGCTCAGGGGAAACGAGACATTTTGTCACATTCGTTTGAACGTGTCGACACGTTCCTGGAATGGGAGTGACAGGGAGACATTTAGAGTGCACTCAGGGGGTTTTATTTTGAGTGAAACTGCTGAGTGACCTGGCCCGTCGCCGTTAGACTCGTCCTCCGAGGTGGAGGCCGCCGGAGTCGTCGTCGAGGACCTGGAGGTGCTGGAGCGGCTGGACAGTCCGGGAGGCCGCGGCGCACCGTGCCCGACTAGGCTGCGGTCCTACAGCCAAACATCAACTTTGAACAGACAGACAGACAGACAGACAGACAGACAGACAGACAGACAGACAGACAGACAGACAGACAGACAGAAGACAGACAGACAGACAGACAGACAGTCAGTCAGTCTGTAAGTACCTTGCGGTGCACGTGGCGGCACTCGGAGCGGTGTCGCGGACGGGCCGCCAGAGAGTCCCCCGCCGCCCCGGCCCCAGCCCGCCTCCCCGGCGCGGCGCAGCAGTGGTCGCCGCGGTCGCAGAGGCAGGGCTTCTGCCGGGGCCTCCACTGGCAGGGCCGGCCTGGGGCGCTGTCCAGGGCACTGCTCGAATCCGAGTCAGACGACGAAGCGCCGCTGGGCGAACCTGCAGCGGAGCAAAGGCACGCAAGAGTCATGACGCGGCAGGGGGGGGAACCTAGAGTCCTGTAGTCCCACTGCAGGACTCTAGAGGCAGGGCGAGGAACCTAGAATCTCGTACGTGTAGTCCCACTGCAGGACTCTACAGGCAGGGCGAAGAACCTAGAGCCCTGTAGTTCCGCTGCAGGACTCTAGAGGCAGGGCGCGGAACCTAGAGTCGCGACTCCTGGTCACTTTCGGGCTTCTCAGTTGCGTACCCAGAATATTTTTGGAGGGGGGGGGGGTAAACAGCCATACTTTATACCTAAATCCAGGCCTTCCTTCCAGGAGTATGAAAAGGAGGGCGGGCGTCGTGAACCCCTTGACCTCTCCCAGCGCAGCGCACGCCATAGCTAACGTGAAAAATTCCGCCGAACTCTGAGAAACTCACCTCCGGCAATGGCGATCGCATTGGTCTTGGTTATTTCCAGCTTCTGCAGCTGCCTCTGTACAGACGCCACGGGGCAGCTGCTGCCTGGAAGAAGTGGCCGTGGTCAAACTGGAAGGGTGCGGGGATGCGCCTGGCACAGTGGATTTGCCAGAAGACCGGTGGAGGGGGCCAAAACTCTAGACGCATTTCTGAGCTCCACTGTCGCTAAATGGGGCTCGAACGAAGCGTGTGACCGCGCCAATGGATTCCTCATTCGGGGAGCAATCCATTTGGTGGGGTCACACGTGCGGTGCCATTCAAGCGACCGGGATTTTGACCGCCTCCACAGGCTTTCTGGCTAATCCACTGTGAATAGCTGCACGCGCGCAGCGGATCGGCACACAACACTGTAAAATCGATCCCAAGTTTGATCGCCCCAAAATCGGCAAGCTATTCTGAATGCCAAAAAATTGGCAAGCCTGGCGCTGAAATACTCCACAGGTTGCCAAATTTTGGCATTGCAAATTTCGGCATTAAAAACAACTTGCCAATTTTTGAGGCAAGCAAACTTGCCATCGGCTGAGCAGTGCAGTTACATTTTGAGGCCGCGACGTGCTTCCCGTCCCTCAGCGGCGTCGCCTCCAGCCGCGACTAGAACAACACAGAACAACTCTAAGATGCACCTGGACCGGCCGGCCGTTCTTGTTAACAGCGGAACCTTCGCGTATCATTTGTACATGAGTTTAGCTGCTGAGCGTATTAACTGACATGGCAATGGCAGGCTGATTTTTCAGTGCTAGAATTGCGCTTCTAGGAGTGCTCCATCGTGCGTACAGCCTACTTGCAGTGGCGGATCCAGAGCCGGCGAGCCGGCCACAGCCCCCCCCCCCCTCCACTAGCATTTTCTCGATCGCGGGTTTTCCCTGTTGCAGTTTAGTTGTCTGCGTTTACCTCGTCCTTGAAATGCGCCCGACCACGCACCGCGGTCGTCTTGGGTGCCATTCAACACGCTCGCTCAGGGCTACGCAGGGCACTGCTATTTCTTACAGAGGGGCGGTCAGGGGCGGCAACAACTGCTTCAGAGCCTTTAGAGCTCCCGCCCCGCCGCCACCAGACCGCGGGGTAACCAACCGGGGCAACAAAGGCCGCTGCACAGTAGATTTGCCAGAGGACCAGTGGAGGCCCATGGAGGCCCCAGAAAAGTTTTTCCCGGGCACGCCTTAGCTTTTTGCGACGATAATGGTCGACCACCTCAGATTTGTCTGAAATTCATATGGAACCATGCATTGTTCCAAGAAAAAGATGCCTGGTGCCCAAGGGTCTTTGTTGCGCAGATGTTAAAATGACTTTTCCCCTGAAACTAAATGAGTTGAAGACGCTGCTATGAACGGTGGGTTGCCTACCTATGCGGCGCATGCTAAAAAAATCCCAGTCCAGCTACTATTTGCCAGACAAAGACCGTCTTATGTCGGAATTGCCTCGAAATGGTGACAAGAGTCACAAGGGAGTCATCTAGTACAACATATTCAAATTCGGGCCGTTAGCGACTGAAAACGTGAAAAACCATGATGTATAATGCATCATGGTTGTTTGTCGTTTTGGGCCAAAAAATTTAAATAGCCCAAAATTGGATTTTTTTTAGAAATGACTCGCCGACGCTATTTTGGCTGTAAACAGTATTTTTCTAGAGAAAATCTGGAATAACAAATGAGTTGTCGCTTTTGAGCAGCAAGTTTGAACTGAGTTATGATTAGCATAGGCGTGGGCCGTACTTCGTTTGACGATATTACGCTTGTCAAGGGTAAATTTTCCACGTAAAAGTCAATTCCTGTGTTCCTGTACAAGAATTGGCATTTGGTGTTCCTCTTTATTATGAACCAAGCCCACAAAGTATAAAAGCGTCAAACGAAGCACACACCACAAGTTCAAACTCGCCGCTCCAGGTTGGGGCCGACGGTGCTGCTCTCTGGCGGACCCCGCGATCGACAAGCGCCTTCCTGAAAGGGTCAAGTTCAGCTTCGAACGTGGAAACTCAGCTCGCCGCTGATTGGCTGCGACAGCTCCCATGTTGCACCGCGCGAGAGTGTGCATTCGAGGCGCGCCAAAATTGAATGGGGTGAGGGCACTTGGGGACATTTGTAGGGCGCATTGCCAAAATCACAAGAAACTTCAAAATTCTCTTATAAAGTCCGTACGGTCTATATCTGTTGCACTTCGATTGTCGACGATACGGGCGTATAGCCTCCATCCGTCTCTGCGCTCTCATCGATTCTCCCTCCCTCTCCTATTGCCGAGTTTGCAAAAGTCAGCAAAAGTTTCGCTCTGGTCAGTCATCAGTGGCAGGGCGGCGTCGATTCCGACACCAGTCACGCCTCTCCGCTGTCGTTGTCGTCGACGCGCGGGCCGCGGGCAGTGGTGGGCATTCTCATCGCGATCAATAAAGACCCGCCGAGTCAAAGCGCCCAAACACTCTCGTGTCGCAGATAATATTTCACAGTGGCAAACCAACGGCTCCACAAATAGCCAGATAATATTTCTCTGCCGTTGGACGACGCTCTGCGTACGCGAAAGCAGCCAAGAGAGCGAAATATCGGTATTTGAGCACGGTTGTGCCCCTTGTCTCCCTTCCCTGCGCGGGGGGGTAGGGGCGAGGGGGGAGGGAGGTAGGACCCACAAGCAAGCAGAGGGTGGCTCGTCGCGGCGCTTGCCCAGGCTCGACTCGGTCCTCAGTGGGTGAAGTTCTCGGCTAAAGATGGATGTCGGGGGTGCTTACGGTGGTGGAAAGGCGGGGGCGCCCTTCGACCCCATCACATTCGTCCAACGGCCGCAGGTTATTCTGCGAGCCGTCTGCCTGGTGAGTAGAAACACCCATTTCTCCCGGGACCCTTTGCTAACCTTACTGGCCCCGTAACCCAGTCCTCAGACATGGGGCGTTGTGTAGATCGATTTTGTAAGCGGCCATGATTCCTCGCTGGTTTTAAGAGGTCAGCTAAATTTTACTCGTTTCTGTCCGTCGTGAGACATGATTTGAAGTCAATTCACTGAACTGAACATCATCACACTGGGTTCTTTTAATTCGAGCCTGACAGCTATGAGATGACACCACAGGTTGCTACCCACTCAACCCACACACTGCCTGAGACAGCGTTTTTGCTCTCACAGTAGTGCTTGCTGAAACTATTTTAATGAAGTTTATATTCATGTTGTGGTTGTCATTTTTTCAAGATTATCACCCATTGTTATCTTAGCGGCCCTGTCAGCTGTCAAATGCATCTTCCCTTTATCTCTGCTGTCATTCCTCAAGCGTTGGAAGGAAGAACACCTTCATAAAATCCTGAAATTAATTAATTTTTTCAATACATTATTAAACCTTACATAAATTTGACACTTATTCTTATTCAAGATTTTGACTACCAAAGTTGTCTAAAAACGAGCCACCTAAAATGTATGTTAGTGGATGACGTTCGTAATTCAAAGTGGCTTTGTGGTTTTCTGTGTTTCAGCTTTTTGCCATTATTGTATTTGGCTGCATATCATCACAAGGTTGGCAAAAGGAGCCTGGTGCAAAGCAAGAACAATGCCTGTACAACAAGAATGCTAATGCTTGTAACTATGGAGTTGGCATTGGAGTCATTGCTTTCCTTGCATCTGCTGGATTCTTGGCTGGCGAATACCTGTTTGAGCAGATGTCTTCTGTCAAGTCAAGGAAGCACTATGTATTGGGTGATTTAGGATTCTCAGGATTCTGGGCTTTCCTCTACTTTATTGGATTTTGCTACCTGTCCAATCAGTGGGGCAAAAGTGAGGAAACTCCGGTTGGAACAAGCAATATGCAAGCTGCCATTGCTTTCTCCTTTTTCTCTATTTTCTCCTGGGTATGTTTTTGAAGTAAATGCCCTCTCATTATACTTTTTGAATTTTTTCTTAAATTATTTCTATTTATTTCCCTACAACTTTGCAGGCCGGCTGTGCGTGGTTTGCCTATCAAAGATTCCGCCAAGGCTCTGATGCTGCATTTGCCCCAAGCTACGATGCAGATCCCAATTCCGTCCCAGGTGGTGCACCATATTCTTCCTACCCTGTAGGACCTGATGCTGATGGCGGATATCAAGAACCTCCATTTTCTGGCAATCAAAATAGAGGTAAGTAGAATTTTCTCTTCAATTAAAGAACTAAATAAGAATTTAAACATAATTTTTTGGCAGATAAACCTTTTTAACATGCTTGGTTCTCCATGTTAATGTATCTGTTTACCTCATTTTTTTAAGGACCTGGAGACTTCCAAGCACCTGCATATTGAAGTACTGAAAAAGAAGACATTCTTTGAACCTGATGCTTGGCTGGCTTTGAATTCATCCCCAAACTGATGTTGAGAACAACAATTTTGGCATGAACATTGACAAAACAAGAAAAAGAAAAAAAAGCATATACATGTATATTGATGAATATAGTCAGCCTGCAAGAGGCTTTGCAGCTTACTTATGTTAATTCATTCATTATCAAAGATTGATATTGTAGATTGATATTGCATTCCAGTAGTGTTATCTGCAAAAAGTCCCATTGTTTTAGGGTACTCTTTTATTTTGTGGCCCTTTTGTGTAAAAAGTCACTTTAGTATCTCATGGAAGATCTGAATTTGTGTATAGGGTCATTCTTGCTTTACTTTACATTTGTATTCTTGTGTGGTTCCCTTATTTTTCTGTTAGGAAAACTAACAAAGCAGTGACATGAGTTTGTAGAAATTATGTTTTAATTTTGAACATATAATATGGATACCATTTTGAATTGGCGTATCTCGTAGATTCCCTTATATTGCTGTGAAAACAGGCATTCTATTCAGAGATAAAGCCTCAAGGGCCTCAATATATTTGTTGATGAAATGAATCTAGCACCGGACATGGATGTTGTTTTGTACATACGGTAGAGGATAGTGTGAAAGTCATCATTCGTGTGATGTAGTATACTCTGTGAGCTGTACCAGGTATATAGCTTGCATTGTACTGTTCAGCAAATAATATTGTGTTCCATCTTCTCTTTGTGAGGCTTTTTCTACCTATTCTTCTTGACCTTAAATTCCAATCCTAAGAAGCTTTTCAAGGTCAATATGGAATTTTAATAATTACCTTTGAGAGTTATCAGTACTTACTAGATCTAAATTTCTCAAAGAAATAGTTTCCCCTCCCTCCACACCCCTTTAAATGTAGTCGTTAAATCCTTTTAAAATTGCAGTAATGCTTCAAATAGGTATGCAAACCTTTTCTGTGTATATGAGTGACCTTTTGATGCCTTTACTTTTTTACTCTATGGGGAAAGTTATTCTTTCTTCCAATTAAAATCTTGCATTTCCTCGCATGTGCATGAGAGCACGTACGTGAGCTTTACTGAAACTAAATGCTAACAAGTTTTGCTCATTCATTCCCTGTTAATTGCACCTGTTAACTCACCTGTACCATATCTTAGACCTTGATGTTTCAAATGTGTTTTACTTGTTCATGTTCCATGGCAATATATACTTTGTACTTACTTGTGAAGTTAGGAGATTTAATGTGTAAAAATTTATCTATGTCTTGTCCTTACCAAGTGTGTTGGTAATGATGATTCATGACAAACCAAGCACCTAGTCTGGCAAGCAGTATTTTACTGTTGTTTAAGAAAATGGTAATTTTATGATTGTTATGAATTTTCGTAGGGATGTATAGTTTTATCAAAGGCACAAAGTATTTAGTTGTAACTTTATGAACAAACCCTTGCTATCTTTCCATTCTCACTGGTTTTTCCCAAAACCAGTAATTGTGATGGGTTTTGATCAAGTGATGAAATGCTTGCTTAAGATCATGTCTTGCGTTGAAGGAAAAGTTACCTCTTAGGTGATTTCTTAAATATACAACCGCCAATAAAGGCCTTCTGTGTAGATCTTTCCTTGTTTTCCCTCTCTTATTTTTCTTTTTTTGAGTGTGTGTATTGGTCTTAATATCAGCCAGGTACATTTGCATGTGGTGCCCCTGAGCTACTTAAAATTCATGCTCTTCATCCAACTTTTGAAGCTTAGATCCCTGTGAGTTTATTGTGATACTGGCTAAAAGATTTTACTTTTACAGAAAGATTGGCAAATTAGCATATATTTGTGTGTTAGAGTTGCGCATATGCGCATGAGTAAATGTGTTTATTTTACAGGGCTGGCAAGATGCATCTATAATTTTTTGCTTTGACATTTTGTTGTTAAGTAATTTGGGGCCAAAGAGGATTGAGCTATCATGTAGAGAATGTGTTTGTTTTCTGGACAGATTGATTCGCAAAATGCATCTGGACAACTTTTTCTGAATTGATCATGAGTAGGAATCTTACCATTCTTATATGAAAAATCTGTGATCTCAATTGTATTCTCTGCTCTAGCCTCTTGACATCCATGACTCAAATTCCCAGAATGGAATCATGTCTAGTTGAGTGATGGAATGGGCCAGTCTTACCTCAGCCATTTGGTCGATCTCAACTCCTCTAAGCAACTTTTGAAGTCTAAATTCTTGGGTTTGTTGCTGGCTATTTTTCCCTAATGTAGATAAGGCCACAGCCAAGATCATTACAAAGTAATTGATTTCGTTATTAAGCTATGATGCTACAAATACTTCTGAGTTTGCTTGTAGAAATGGTAATGACAATACTAACAATACTTTAGCATGGCAGATGCATATTGTGGAAACTTACTTTCCAGAGCTCTAAAGTACAGGACTTGTTTGAGGCCTAGTATTTGTTGTGCTTTAGACTTTGAATTTTAAATGCTGACAGTGTGAGCCAGTTTTAGCTGTTGTGTGGTTGTCCTTGAAAGTTTGACTTCATAGGGAGATACTACTGAAATAAACCTTAACAGGGGCTAGTGCTGTCTAATTCTGTTCAAAAACGAAGGAATGTGCATCTATTTCAAGTCAAATAGGTTGGAGCCTTGGATACCAAAGAAATAATGTGAAGATTCAAGTCTTCATCATTATGTTATTGCCATTTCATGTGTGATTTCCATGCTTGTTTGACTGCCATGTATATCAAATAGCTAAGTTTGAAATTAGTATTGTGTACATAATTTGTGTTTCCTCTTTCTAAGAGACCACTTAACTAATTTATTTTAGATCGTTTAAAAAAAAAAGAGACCTCATCAAGGTGTAATACAGTTTAATGGTCTTGTCTCCTCATTGAAGTAGCTCCAGTTCTAAAGAAAATAATTATGTGTGTGGCATCGAACGTGTCCAGGTGTTCCAATTTTGTCTGCACGCTATTATATACTACTCAGCAGTGGCTGTTGTTATTTTTTAAAAAGTGAAGGAAAAACTTAGCAATCAGCCCTTTGGTTGGAGTTTCAATGGGGACGATGTGACGCCAGAGAAGTGTTCTTGCTTCACTAATTAACACTTGCTCCCATCTTTGAAAAAAATTATCTTCCCATAATTATTTTAGTTATGTTTTAACTGTGTCAAAAATCACAGTATTTTGAAAAGAAACAAACATGGAATTTTCCAGCTCCTCTTAAGAAAGATTGAGACAACTTTAATCATGTGACTAGAGCTCTAGTCTAATGCTTAAATCTGTTTAAATTTCACATATTTTCATTAGAAGACCACAAGATTCACCCTCCAGTTCTCAAACTCTGCTGCTTGGTGGTGTCTAGTCTTGGCTTGAAAACTGTTGTTACATTTAGAATGCTGTAAGTTATGTGTTTTGACTGTAGAAAATGTATATTGGAACATAACTTTTGACTGTCAATAAACATTGTGGGGAAATAATTTGTGACGCATTGATGCACAATATGAACACATCTGGAACCTTTACTAAAATGAAAATAAAGTTTTTTGTTTTGTCAAGAACACATTTATTGTGAAACTTCTAATACATCATAGTTTAAAGAAATTAACATAAAGGCTAAGCAAGGAGCTGGTGGGAATTATGTCCAGAGTTGCGCGCAGGCAAGACGAGCACCGGGGGGAACAGTAAATACAAATACCTGAACTTTTGAATTAAAAAATTTACATCTTGGTTTCGATTGAGGAGAAATAGCACTCTCGAAGACTGTTGACATTGGCAGAGACAGCGAGATCGTGTGTTGTTTGGTTTGCCTCTGTCGGGCTCGCGAGTCCAGTCCAGTCCACTGTGGGAATTCCCCCTCGTCCCCTCGCTCCGCTGCGTTCGCCTGCTTTGCCGCCGCGGCCCGCTCTACTTCCACTTGGATCCAGCATCCATCGAATCGGCAACCACGAACCTAGTGCAACCTTGTGCGGCCGAGAAAAGCGTGCGAGTGACGCGATGCGACGTTTATTTACAAAATGAGAAGTGAGCGCGAGTGAATGCAAGTCGATCCTCCCTACGAAGACACTGTACACGATGCGGATTAACGAGAAAGAGTGTGCGTTAGTTACGATTTCTATACAAAAGCGTAAAAGTGACAGACCCCGAAGAGAACGGACCTTCCCCCTCTTGTTACTGTATGTGTGGGTGTGTGTGTGTGTGTGTGTGTTAGCTGGCCTGCCCGCGACAGCCTTTGGGCGACCATACGCCGACTTCCCCGCCGGCGTCGCGCTCAGCCGTTTTGTTAGATAGATGGTTAATAATGCGGTGATTGGTTACCAGCTCGTTTAAATGCAGCTACACTGTGGTACGAGGGGCTGCCGCCACCTGTCGGCGAAATTAAAACTACTGCAGCACCATATGCTACGGATAGCATTCAGCTTATGACTTTCGTCGCTACTACTTCCTACTATACTATTTTTTACAAGTTGCCTATGCCGGCACGCGACGGTGACCAAGGCCCGACCGGCGTCCACTTGAACCTCTCCCCGACATTCCCCTTCCCCGCACTCGATCCGAAACGAAGAAACGCACCTGGGGGGCTTAGGACTTCCCTCCCGTTTGAAGGGAGCGCCCCGCGGCAGGGCGCGAGCAGCGCGAGCTGGCCGACGCCCTCGCCACCAGAACTCGCAAACAACCAAAAGGACAGTAGAAAAATTTCATGACTAGATTTCCACTTGAATTTAGAGGTCGTGGACCATGCCTTGGCCACGGCTATTCCGACGCACCCGTGGACGCGGCGCGCGCCGTGGTCCCGTCTGGCCGGGCGACACCGTGGCCGGGCGACACCGTGGCCGGGGTGTCGCCGGGCTGGGCCGGCTCGCCGCGGCGTCCTCGCGCGGACACCGCGGCCGAGAATAGTTGGGTAACTTTGCACCACCATCAAGGGGACCTCAAACGACTACGCTAAACTACAGCTACGTACTTGTGCGCGAGGCGCGGCCGACGGGCAGCCCACTGGTGCGGGGCTGCGCGCCGCCGGCCCCCGCTATCCCATGTCTACCTAGTTCTAGTGCCTAAGGGTTAGTACCTGCCTAAGCGTGTTATTAGAGGGAGACAGAGAAGCTATGCGGTGCGAGGAATCAGTCCTATCGTGGTTGCCGACGTTGCAGACGTTGCCGACGGGGGACGTACCGCGTCCGCGGGCTGGAGGGGCGAGAGTCCGCGGCGCCGCGTGAGTTCGGCAGCAGAGAGGGAATTCCCCAGTGTGGTCACAGTCACGCCCACACTGTCAGCACGGGCCGGGCGAGACTCGGCGATACCCCTCGACGCGCGCCCTGGGGTATCGCCTCGTCACGACGAGAGGCCCCTGCCGGTTGGACGGGCGACGTGGCGACGTGGGCTCGGACTCGCACTCGGTGGCGTTGTCGTCGCCGACCTGGTCGGGGCGGCGGGCGCGGCGCGGCGGTCAGTCCACCTCCAGCTTGCGGAACGAGCCCGACAGCCCGGCGAGGTCCTCCTGCATGTCGCTGACGTACCGGGCCTTGGCGTGCAGCTCGATCTCCATGTCGTCCAGAGCCTTGATCATCTCGCGCTTCGCCAGCAGCTCCTTCTTGAAGTCGGCTGCAACAGGAAGGCGGTTGCAGGCGGGCAGCACAGCGGACTGATTCTGAGGGTCGTTTTCGTCGCTCTGTCTGTCGCACATACCATAGGGGACGCCCCATGAGTGCGAGAGAGACAGAGCGACGAAATCTCGGAATCAGTGTGCAGGCCGTGTGGGTCGCGGGAGGGACCAGTACTCACCGATCATGTCGGCCATCGGGATGGTGCCACCGTACTCCTTGGGCAGGATCTTGGGGTTGATGTGCTCGTGCAGGTCCGCCACGCTTGTGTGGAGCTGGAAACGCAAAGGGGCAGGTCAGCGCCAATTGGGGAACACACACACACACACACACACACACACACAAGGACAGGAGAGAGAGAGAGAGAGAGAGAGAGTGCGCGCGTGCGACGGACGCCACGACAAGCGACTCACCATAATCCTGTTGCGCAGCTTGTCGTTGAGCAGCATGGTGAAGAACTCGAACAGGCGGTTGGCCATGCTGGGCACGTTGAGGAAGTGCGTGGCCTTGTGGCGCATGGGCGTCGAGTCCTGCAGGCAGCGGATCATCTTGCGGATGTCGGCCAGCGACCACAGCGACACGTGGCCCGCCGTCATGCCCGCCTCGTCGTTGACGTACGAGTAGCCGCACACCTGGTTCTGCTCGTCGTCCATGATGGCCTCCACCACCAGCCCGTGCGTGCGCGCCATGTCCGCCGAGGAGAACTTGTACGGGTCGAAGCGACCTGCGGGCAGAGCCATGGGTTTACGTCTGTCCGTTTGCTTTCTTTTTCTCATCTTCCAAAAGTCGGGTGGGACGTGAAAGGTGAACTCACCCGCGCAGGAGAAAAGAACCTTCCGGCCGAAGTCATCTCTCTCGGGGAGTGGGATGAGGTACCTGCCAACGCCACGTCATAACTACCCGGTCAACGCCGAGGCGACGACGCACAGTGGGCCAGAAGACCGGCGCAGCGGCCAAAACTCCAGACGCGTTTTGAGGTTTAGAGTCGCTAAATAGGACTCGAAACGTTCGTGTGACCCCACCAATGGATTGCTCTCCGAACGAGGAATCCATTGGTGGGGTCACACGTTCGCTTCGAGTCCTGTTTAGCGACTCTGGAGCTCGAAACGCGTCTGGAGTTTTGGCCGCTGCGCCGGTCTTCTGGCCCACTGTGTGACGGTGGGGCTGAGCGCCCGACGACGGAAGAAGGGCAGTGCCGGCGAGCAGGGCTGCCGCGCGGTGCTGCCTACCCTCGCGTCGTCGGGCGCTCCCCCCACCCCTACGCTCCCCACTCTCCGCCGCGCTACGGCCGCTACGCACCCGGCGTCCAGGATGTCGCTGATCTTGGGGTCCATGACGTCCAGCCCGCGGAACCACTGCGGGTACAGCTGCCTGATGGCGAGGTAGCGCTCCAGCATCTCCTGGGCCATCGGCACGGAGAACTTCTTGGTGCGCAGGAACCGCAGCAGGAACAGCGAGTCTGCGGGGGAAGAGGGGGGAGAGGGGGGAGGCGTGAAAAAGGAGAGAAACAGGCCCGGGCGCCGCCAGCCGGCCGGCCGCATGCAAAGCTTTCATTCAGCGAAAGAAGTGTGGCATTGGGGCCAACCAGCGCGCTGATTCCGAACCGTTCGTCTCTCTCTCTCTCTCTCTCTCTCTCTCTCTCTCTCTCTCACACACACACACACACACACACAAACACACACACACACACACACACACACACACACTCGTGGGGCAACCCTAATGGCCGTGAGAGAGGCAGAGTGACGAAGTGTTAGGAATCGCTCTGCAGCCTTCTGATTCCGAACACTGCTTCGTCACTCTGTCTCTCTCGCACCCCTACGGACCTCCCCATGAGTGCGAGAGGGACAGAGCGACGAAAGCAGTGCTCGGAATCAGACGGCAGGGGCAAACAGGCCGAAATCTGTCCACGCCACGCCGAGCCTCACCGGTGCGGCACTTCCTGATGTGGGGGTGCTTGGCGATCCAGTCCCTCATCTGCTGCAGGGCGTGCGCCCTGGAGCCGTCGTCCTCCCGCAGCTCGGTCCTGGCCGCGCGCCGCAGCTCCTCGCTCAGCCCGCACTTGTAGGCGTCGCCGTCCGCACCGAACAACTCCGTCCGCTCGACACCCATCTGCAAAACACGGACAAAAGGACACGGGTCAGCGAGAGTCGTTCTCGTCGCTCTGCCTCTCTCGCACCCACGCGGGACGCGCCGTGAGTGCGAGAGAGACAGCGCGACGAAAACGTGGCAGTGCGGGAGCGGAAAAAGCGCCGTTGTTGCGCGCGTGACGGGAAGCGCCGGCAGCCGAGAACACGCCGTTGTTCTCTGCCCTTGACCCACAACGGAAGACGGCGCAACGGCTGGCACGCCCCCGCTGCACTTGATGGAGAGCGTGGCGCGTGCAAGGCGTGAGTCACCGACAGTGCTGCGCCCGCCGCGGCGCCGCGCCACTGGGACAAGGTGAGCGTGTCCGGCCGGGCCTCGGCCGGCCTCAACTAGTGCAAGGACCTCGCGTCCCGCGGTCGCGCCGGCCGGACTCCCGACTCCCGTCAGCGCCAGCGGGGACCGCCGCCGGGCGCTGCTCGTCAGGCGCACATCACGTTAGCTCACTCCCAAAATGGCTTTCGTCGCGCTGTCTCTCTCGCGCTCGCGTGTGGCGAGAGAGACAGTGCAGAGGTGAGAGAGACAGCGCAGATGTTTATAGTGGGGTGGCGTCCGCGGCGGAAACGCGGCGAGTACGCCACTGGATTGGGTGGTCAGCTGATCAATGCCGAGTGGCACCCTGTCTCTCTCGCACCTGTACGGAGCGCCCATGAGAGGGAGCGAGACGGGCCGACGAAGTTCCTGCTGACTCGGGACGCGGTGGCGGCCGCGGCGGCGCGGGAGGCACCTAGCTGCACGCGTGCACGTGTGCATGCTGCAGCAGGTGCACTGGGAGGGGGCACGTCGATGACCTTGACATGCGCCGCCGGTCCAGCCCAGTCCGGCCCAGTCCGGCCAGACGAGGAAAGGGAGGAGAGAAAGGGGAGGGGAAGGGCAGACGGACGGACGGACGGGTGGAGAGAGAAAGGAGAAGGTGGGGTGGGGCGTTGGCAGTTGGAAGGCCGCCCAGACACAGCGGGTCGGGTCGGACCGGGCGCACGGGCCGCGGGCCGGCGGGGACGGCGGGGTGGGGCCCTCGGCCACTTTCACTGGGCCGGCCGGCCTGGAGTGGGGGCCGCCTGGGCCGCCGCGGCATGCGCAGCCGCGCAGCATCCGTCTGCTCCATCACAGCGCCATCCAAGATCAGCGCCGTCAATCATCGGCAGGGAGAGAGGGAAGGGGTACCTCCGCGGGGCGTTTCGACATCGCAACGCACCCACCACGGCGGCCACGGCGGCGGCCCGCTGCCCTTATGCCAGGGCCAGCACACTGCCAGCAGCACGCGACGCGCGCGCGCAGGTGCGCGCGAGGGACAGCAGGTGTTCGCGCGTTCGCGCCGAGCAAAAGCAAACGACTTCTTTTAAAAAGAAAACATTAAAAAAATATAAAGTAGATACGAAACAATGAGACTTTCCCTTGCTCGCCATCGTGACTCGGGCGTCCCCGGCGTCGCCGCGTTGCCGCAAGGGGCTGGGGCGTCGCCCGCGCCGCCAGTCGTTTCGCGTCGCTCTGTCTCCGGCGCTCTCATGGGGAGCCCCGTAGCGGCGCGAGAGAGACCGCGATGCAAGCACTGTTCGGACTCAGCCGCCAGGCGCAATGAATGCTGCCACGGTAGTCGCCCTCGTCGACGAGGAGAGGCGGCAAAAAAAAGGGGCGGCGTAAAAACAACGTCGGGAAACGCGCCGATTGTCGAAAAAACGAGTGCAAAGTGTCCAATTCAGTGTATTAGCTACACGGTTCAGCGAGCGGCGCGCTGCGTGGGTTGCGTCACGCAAGGAACACACTCACACACTGACAGGCAGACCTAGGCGGACACGGACACACACAGACAGGCGTGTGCGGCGCGACGAGGCGCTGTCACGCGGCGCTGTCAAAACCGAACGCAGGCAGTAATGCGTTTCGGATGCGTGACGCAATGCCGGGGCGTCGGGACGGCGGGACGGCGAGATGCAGCTCAGCAAGCGCAGCGGCCCCGCAATCCGCGATGGCGATGGCGATCGGCGTCGCCTTGATGCCGGCCGCCCGCCATGGCCGCCACGGCCCCGCCACAGGCCACCCGCTTTCTCCCACCCCGGCCACACCGCCCCAGCCTGCCCCAGCCTGCCCCAGCCACCCGCCTCCGGTCCGGTCGGTCACCCACTCGGCACCGGGCCGCCCGGAACAGCGCACAGCGTACTGTACATCCGTACGGACCGCCGATGACCCAGAATGCATCTCGGCTTGTTTGAGGCGGGACCCTCGGTGACCGTTCACCCGCGACGGCTAAAGGAACTTGGAATGTGTATTGACCGGAGTCCTTCCCCAAGAACACGAAACGCTCAGTGACGTCATTTTGATGTCAATATAACAAATTTTAGTCAAAATTTCGACAAAAAAAAGCATCATTTTGACGTCAGTTTGACATCCTTTGACTGCTTTTGTGAGTGTTTCGTGTTCTTTGGGTTTGCGCGAATACTCCGGTAGTGTAGCCCTTCCGAGCGGCAAAGGTGAAGGCAGAGGCAGCCGAGCTGGCGGGGCGTGCCGTGCCACGGCGTGCCCTCTGCCCCGTCGGCCTGCACGGCCTGTAGGCGCTGGCCTCGCACTCCTCGCACGCCAGGGAAGCTCCGCGCTCCGCGCCATCGCTTTGCCATTGCTATTGCTATTGTCAGGGAGCCGGCGAATTAAGTCGTGCATTTCATTTTTTCCGCGTCCTTTAAACTCTCGGCGTAATGGGAGATGCAAACGGCGACCCTCGCGTCGACCCCGGGGCGCCGTGCCCGGCCGCGCCGCGCCATTAACTCGTGGTCTCGTGGTAGCTGCTGGCTGTTTGGCTTTTTGAACGTCCGATTATGAAGACGTTGTTATGCGCGCTTCGCGGGGGCCGAAAAAGTGGTGACGTCTGGTTTGGTTCGTCAAAGAACGGCAATTGCTGCGCGACAAACATTAACGACCAGGCAGACCAGAGTAAGCTGTTCGTGTTTTCCGCCATTGCCTGCTCCGGGCGGTACAAAAACATGCCCTTGTCTGCGAGGCTGCGAGTGCGTTTCGTTTCCACGCTGCAATTTGAGAGGCTTTCCCCGCGCCCCTCCGCCGCCACCGGGCATGCACTGCACTGTAGGCACCAGGGTCGCGGCAGTGTCGTGCCGTTATGGCATTACGAGACGACGGCCCGCCGTCCGCGTCCTCCAGGACACGCCGCCCTGTCTCTCTCGCACCCGGCATGCCCCACCAGTGCGACAGAGACGAAAGCGTTGTTTGGAACCAGCCCGCTGCTGCGGTCGTGGGTTCAAATCGCGGCCGCGGCGCCCTTTTCGTGCGGGTGCTCCGGGTGCTTTGGGTGCTCGGCGGGCGAGAGCCAGAGCGAGCGAATGCCTTACGACACTGGTCTCTGCCACGGCTCTGGCCGTACCGCGGACATGCGGTGAGTGGCGCGGGCCAGAGGCCAGAGGCAGCCGCGTCTGAGCGGGACGTCCCACGAGTGCGAGAGAGACAGAGCGACAAAAACGACTCGGGATCGCAGCCTAAGGCCGGGGCAGGCCGGTGGAGGGCGGACCACCAGGAGCCGAGCGAGCTGCCTCATCATCGCGGTGGTCGGATCGGAGGTGGTTATGCCCGCCCCGCCGTGAGTGCGTTCGAGTTCGAGTTCGAGTTGGCCTTCCCCGCGCGACGCGGCCCTTCGATTGCGCCACTGCGGCCTTTTATTGCGGCACAGGTTCGGCGCGCTCGGCGCTCCAATTTCTCATACGGCCTGTCTCCCACGCCACCCGGGCCTCCCGGGCCTCCCGGGCCCCGAGCAGGCCGTCGACGTCCCGATCGACGACGCGGTGCCGCCTTGCCGCCGCGTCCACTGAGGCGGGGCGAGCAGAGCGGACGAGGCGGCCGACGAGCGCAACAGCCGCTGCCACTTCCAGGCAAAAAAAACAAGGGGAGAAGAAAGGGTTCCCGTTGTCGGCGCCCCGGCGACCGGCTATCTCAGATGACACGCCGGACGAAACTCGGTCGATCAGGGCGCCCGGCGGGCCGTGACCGGGCCGTGACGACGACGGCGGCGTGACGCTGTGAGGAGTTTTCGGAAGCTAGAACGGAACGGAGGCGCGTTTAGTCAGTACAGTGGCGTGGGAAGGAAGGAGTGAAGTTCTCGACTACAGATGGATGTCGAGGCTGCTTATGGTGGTGGAAAGGGGATGCGACGCGATGAAGCGGAAAACCACCCCCGCCCGAAAAAAGGTAAAGTTAGCACATCGCCGAGGGGGTCTGTCTGCAGTCTGCACCGCCAGGATGGAAACAAGAATGAGTAGGCGGTTTGCGATTCGTCCCGTTTTTGTGAAAGTCAAAGACCGAATGTCCGAATGGCCCGGCACGGCACGGCGGCCCCCGCGGACCGCCTTTTCGGAGATCCTGGCCGCGCCGCGGCGGCCACGGCGCGGCGCGGGACGAAGTGGACGGAGGAGGCAGACGGAGGAGGCAGACGCCGGGCCGCGCTGGGGCGGTATCGAGGTAATGTTACTTTCACTTTCTTCCCTGCTCCGCTTCGACTCCACTCCGGTCATCGCTCCGAGCGCGGCGGCGCGGCAGTACGGCCTGCCGTGGGCATTATCCCCGAGCGCCACCGCGACGCCACGACGCCGTCGTCAGCGTTGACGGGGACCCGCGCGACGCGCTGCCTGCCTACTACATGGTGGGCCAGTGCGTCGCCGCCCGCGACCTGGCGCACGACGAGCAGGGGAATGACCAAGACCGCAAGGCTCTCTATGCCTCCCTAAGTTCAACCCCACCAGGAGCCACCTCGGCGATGTCGCGCGTCGAAGGGTGGCTCGGTTTCCTCCACCGAGAGCTTGAACCTGAACGATAGCCTCACTCTCGCTTCCACGGCCGATGCGTCATCGCCCCCGCGTCGCGCCGCCAGGCCCGCCAGGCCGCCAGGAAGACGCGGACGCTTTCTCGCCTTCCCACGGCGCCACGCCCGCCAGCCCAACGGTCCGCCAGTGCCAGGCCCCGCGGCCACGGCGGAATATTCTGCGAGCAGCGAGCGACCTCAACGCGCGAGCGGCCTAGAGAACCAAGAGAACCGAGAGTCGCAGACGGCGAGTCTCTCCGGAGTCAACGGCCCCGGACTTCCCCGAGGCCGCCGGCGACACGGCGCGGCGAGGCGCGACCCGGCGGGGACGACGCGCTGCTCGAGGCCCTCGAGGCCCTCGGTGGGCTGCCGCGCTGCCTCAGCCGGCTCCACTTTTCGGCCGTGGACATGCAGCCCACGCGGATGGCGGATGGCCCAGAGAAAGCGACTCGGGCCGACACCCTGCCCGCCGGCGGCCTCGGCCAGCAGAGCGTCGTCGCCTTCGTCGACGACGGCATCCTGGCCACTCACCTTCACTCGCCGCACAGGCACGGGGATGATGCACACAAGTCGAGGGTCGTCGTACTCACGATGTTCGTGTCCAGAGCGCTGCCGCGTTGTTCGGTGCCCGTCCCTTCCCTGCCGGTCAGCTGGTGCTCCTCGCACCAATAGCGTCCGTCGACTGGCGGCCCGAACGCCGCACGCCGCGCTCCCGGAGTCCCGGACACCGCGACCTGGTGGTGGAGGGAGCGGTGCGCCGCCCGCGCGGGGAAAGGGGGAACAACTCTCCCTCTCTACGCCGCGCGGGGCGGGGGAAGGGGGAGGGGGGGGTGCACTGAGGTGGAGTGCAGGCGCGCTTATTGCACGACACCTGACGTAAAGTACGTAAAGTTGCTGCACCTGGCTGGCGCTAGCGCGGCCGCCGCAGGGAATTGCGCGTTCGCGCGTTTGCATTTTGCACGCAGCCTTACGGTTTCCGTTAAGGTGGAGGCGGTTAGCACTGCTGCCAACGTACGAGTCGCGTGGCACTGCTGCTGAATGTGAAATTGGGCGATCGGAGACGTGTTTGTCCTGCCTCGCGAGTGCTGATCATGCAGACAATTGCTGTTGCGGACGGGCGATTTTTTTTTCTTGATGGAGATTGGTCTTGAGTTTGACATCTGACTTTGGTCTGTCATGTTTACCATTCGGGAGGCAGTGAGGGAGTTTTGGAGTTCGTTGTTCGACGGACGGGCTTAACCGACGAGACAAAGTCGTGACATGAACGTTTTTGTTGCCGAAGAAGATATTCGTCGAATTGTGAAAGGAAATCAATCTGAGCCGGCCAGTGCACGATACGAAAAATGGATCTGGTGTGGCTTCGACCAGCGAAGAAGCCAGTGCGCCCCTGGGACATCGAGGACCTGTCGTCGCCAGCCAGGAGAGTACTGCAGCACCTTGAAAGGAGGTTTCCGCCTCGGAACCCCGTTTGTATCGCATCTGCTTATCAGCCTGCAACCAGGTACCATGACTCGCCGGTGCCTTTCTTCGGCCTCTCGGCTCCGCCTCAGTCTCAGGGCAGAAACACTTTCAATTTCTTCAGCCAGAGGGCACATGCAGAGGCAGTCAGTCGGGGCGAACCTCTCTTTAGGCCTGGACGCTGTCCTACAGATGTTGAAAACTATCCCTGCAGTCGTCAACCAGATGACCCTTCACGCAATGACTGGCCTCCCTATCACAGTGTGGTGAACGCACACCAGGGCTTCCCTACCATGCAGCTCAGTCAGCAACGGCAAGAGGGGGTTTTCGTTCCACGGAATATTTTGACGAATCTTGAGAGACCATCTACGGAGGAAAATCCAGGAAACACAGAGGGGCAATCTGAAGCTTGTGGATCGGGACTGGGAAATGTTTCTATACTGGACATTTCAATAGATCAACGCAGTTCAGCTAATCCGGACAATAGCCCTCCTATTTCCAATTATGATGCATTTGACGATGAACTATTGAATAGTTTCCCAGCAATTAATGCCACCCACAGTCCTCCTATTTCTTGTCATGATTTTGCTGAAAGTAGATCAAACCTGGAGAGAGAATCGTCTGAAGAAACAATTGAAGACATTGTGAGGCAACCTGAAGCTTGTGGATTGAAAGATGGAAATGTTACTCCTTTGGCAGACATTTCCATGGATCTACGCAGTTTAGCTGGTCCCCACAATAGCCCTCCTTTCTCCGAAAAAGATATGTTCGATGAAGATATAATCAACGATGGCTCCCCAGTGATACCTTTGATCAGCAGCCCTCCTTTTAGCAGCTTTGATAATTTTGAAGAAGAGGGAGTGAGAAACTTCCACAATGTCAGTCCTCTTTGTCCTGAACTACAAGCTCTTGAAGATGATAAAGAAAACTTTAGGAGATCAGGGAGTGACAGATTTAATAACACTGGTGAACTCGAGGAACATATTGAATGCATTATTAGGATGGAGCAGAAAGGAAATGATGATGTAAGTTCACCTTTGAAAGACATCACCCGAAGTCTGAATGAAACAAATTGTTCAAATGTCAAGAAAACAGCGAATGAGGGAAGCTTGCTATTTGCAAAGGAAAAGCCCTCAATGGGATGTGAGTCACCTCAAATTGATCAAAGGCATTTGAGGGCAATGTCACACTCCAGTTTCACCCAAAGCCCAAGTTCAGTCCACATGCTACATATGGATAGTGCTCCTGCTTTCTCACCTCAGACAAGCAAAGGACCTTTAGAAACTGACTTCAGCTTTGATGATATCTTTGATCCTTCTGGTCAAAATAATATACTAGAAGAGAACAACTTGCAATATAAGTCTCCGATCATGGCTAAAAACCAATCCTCTAGCAGACAAATCACTCCTGGCAGCAAAAATAGGAAGAAATTCTTAGGAACTCCTTTTCAACGAGCACTTAGTTCAAATAGTTTAATAACTGCAGTTGTTTCTGAAGATATACCTCTTACAACCATAGAAACTCCAAATAAAATTAATGAAAATAAGTCCATTGGAACTGAACACATCTCTCCCACAATGAATCAGAACAATGAATCTTTTCCCCTGATCCAAAACAATATTGCAAATGAAAAAGCCTCAGCAAAGCCACCATCTCCTTTGTTCCCAATTTTCAACGTTCAAAGGAAAAGAAAAAATGTTCTAACTGAAAATTTAGTTTCCCAGCCTACAACTTCTTGTAAGAAGAAACTCAAATTTGTGGTGCCTTTCAAAAAGAAGGTAAGAACAAAGTGAACAATTTGTTAACATCACTCCTGGAGTAGTGTTTGATTTAAAAATTTTATTGTTGCAGGAGCAGGATGTTAAGGGACCCTCATCACTTAAAGATATCCAAGCTCTTTCTCTGAAGTTGTCGAAAGAGGTAAATTCAAGGCAATTGAAGATGCAGAACCTCACTGAAATATTGGCTCATGATATCAGGCAAAAAGTAATATTGGATCCACCTCAAGAAATGTCAATGACTCTTCAGTACAGGTGAGCAATAAACCAATTACTTTTGCCATGCACTAAGTGTTTTGAAGAAAGGAATCATTATGCCATCTTTTTTTTTGTTGCTTAGAGGAGGCTTTTGCCAACTAAATCGGCCAGGCACAAGTGGGACCCTGTCCCCAGAAAGTGTTCTTGTTCGAATTATGTGGTCTTCTGACATAAAATTCATCTCAATACCTGTACAAAAATATTCCTGGTCTTCAGACTTAGTTAAAACCTTATTTAGTGACAAAGGTAGAAAAGTCTGTTTTGAAGCTCAAACAATGATTCAACTTATGGTAGACAAGTTTGGCTTCAACGCAAGTGAAGGTAAACAACTTTTTTAAATTTTTTATTGCTGTTAAGTTTCTAAATAAAGTAATTTTTTTATCTATTGTTTAATCTGCAGTTTCTTCGCAATGGATTATTTTGGACCCTTTAATTGGATGTTGGCTGTTAAATCCAGATAAACCACCTCAGACGTTTAAAGATGTCTTGAGCATGATGAAGATATCTGAGGTTTGAATATTTTACTTGGCTTAATGAGTTCAAATGTTGGTGAATATGATGCATTGGTTTTCATCAGGAAATGGGAGGAATTGAAATTCTACTCAGCAAGCTGTCAGAATGTGCTAAGGTTTTGTATGAACACCTTACGAAGAGAGGATTATGGAAACTCTTCCTGCATATAGAGATGCGCATAACTCCAATCCTAGCATGTATTTAAATTTATTCATCCAAAATGTACATTAAGTTTAAAGGGTGTGGTTTTAGTGGCTCTTATCTTTGTTTTCCTGTATCTAAACATTTCAGGTATGGAATTACATGGTATTCAAGTAGATGTAAATAAATTTCAAGATATGGGAAACCTACTGAGGGTAAGGATTGAGCTTTTTTTTCCTTTAGTGTGAAACTAAAAAATATTTTTATGATGACGTTGTTATGTAGGTCCGTCTAGAGGATGTACAAAAGATGGCTTATAAGGCAGCTGGACGACAATTCCAGTTGACATCTCCACAACAGTTAGGACATGTCTTATATGACCACCTAAAATTAGATATGAAACATAACATTAGTGTGAAAGAAACTGACAAGAAGCACAATAAAAGTACTTCTGAACCCACGGTAAGTTCATTCTTCACAGTTGTATGTGTAATCAAATTGACATGCATTAATTGCCTATTAATGTTGCTCTACCAGCTCATCAAGTTTAAGGATGTGCATCCACTGCCGGGTGTAATGCTTGAGTTTCGACGTTTGCACAAACTTAAGAGTACATATGTGGATGCTATATTAGGTCATGTTTCAGAAAATAGGATTTACAGTTCATGGTAAAACTTCATGGTCTCCTTTTTTTTTTAAAGTGTACTTTTAGTATATGCTCAGTGAATTCTGAATCAGGGACCAGACATCAGCTGCAACAGGGAGAATAACTTCAAGCGATCCAAATCTCCAAACTATTCCAAAGCAGCCTCTGATGCCAGATCAGCCGGACTTACTACTTCGGACTGCGTTTGTGGCAAGGAAAGGATATTCCTTTTTAACAGCTGATTTCCAACATATAGAGCTTAGAGTGTTTGCTCATCTGTCCAAAGATACCGCCTTGATCAGAGCTTTAAGTCAATCCACAGATGTGTTCAAAATACTGAGTCAGCACTGGTAAGAGTGTCAATATTTTTTTAAAACTCAAAACAAGCAAATCTATTATAATAGTATTTTACCTTGATAAAATTATTCCAGGCTTCAAATCGAAGACATCTCAAAAGTTAGTGAGGAGGACCGGGATAAAACAAAACGGATAATGTATTCTCTGATGTATGGAGCAGGTGCATCCAAACTTGTCGAATTCCTTCACATTGACTACAATCAAGCCTCCAAAATACTTCAGAAGTTTGCAGGTAGGAGTAAGAAGGCTAACTATCAGGTATCTAAAACCTATAATGTGATTTTAACCCCAAATATTTGTCTGATTTCAGGAACTTTTCCTAAGATGGAGGACTTTACTAAGTCTGTTGTGAGAGACTGTCGCAAACAGGGCTACCTCACAACTGAAACTGGAAGAATCCGATTATTTCCTAATATTAATAGCCCTAATTTCCAGATTCGAATGCACAGTGAGAGGCAGGCAGTGAATTTCCTTGTTCAAGGTAAAGTAAAATGAAATTTGGAAGTCTTTTCTTACATACCAGAAGCTTCAATAGATTTTAAATTCCAGGAACTGCTGCAGATCTATGCAAGTGTGCCATGGTGCAAACACAAAGGTTTCTGACTGGAATAGGATCCCAGAAACGTATTCCACAGGCGTGTCTCCTCCTCCAAATCCATGACGAGCTCCTGTGGGAGATTCCTGATGCTGATGTCATGGATGCTGCAGGTTAGAAAATATTATTATTTGAAAGAACAAAATAGGCGGTTTCTATTCTCCCTAAACACAGCCCTCGTACTATTATAATCGTTTTTGTAATAATTTAACAACTTGTTATAGATGTAGTTCAAACAGCTATGGAAGGAGCAACATCAGTATTTCAAGGCTTATCAAATTTTTCAGTTCCCTTACCAGTAGTAATGAAAATTGGAAAAAGTTGGGGGGACTTGAAAATTGTAAAGAATACATCATTGGGCACAGCTAGTCAACTACCATGAAGCTAGTTAATAATATTTGGAATTCGTATTATTAGCAATCATTGTAATTTTCCTATTGTGATAATGAAACTTAATACCTAGTATACTTGTAAGAAAATTAAGGTAAACCTTTTTGAAAGAAGACAAACAAAATCTTTAACAATGATATATATTTAATTATTACATTGATTATATTAATGATCACAGACTCAGAGAAGAAATGAAATAAAAAATGAACTTTGAGGTAGTGTTATTTAAATGAACCCTCTTAGAACACAAAACCTAAAGAAATTAACAATCAAAAGAGATAGGATCACAAGTTAGGGTGACTTAATGAGGTCAGTCCGTCGTTGCAACATGGCTAAGGCACTTTGTCCATCTGTACTATGGAGGCTCAAGTCCGCAAGAACGTCCCAACTAGTTTGATCAGATTCATCATTAGGATGCCCCCCACTCTCTCTTTGAAGGCATTCTTGTAGTGTTTCTCGAAGCAGAAGTGCAGAGCCCTTAGACATGTTCAGAAGAAAGCATGCTTCTTTGACTCTAAAAAGAAGAAAATAGATTAGGAAAAATTTAAAAACAACAAAGGAGATGTAAAGGATCTTTGTGAAACATACTGCTGGAAGTAAGAGTCTGGATGTGCTGTGTATTGACCAAACAGTGGGAATAGATTTCTTGTCATGTCAAACTGCAGCTGCAGGGCACCTCCTTCATTAAAACAGTTTTGTAAAATGACTTCTTCGTAAATAAACTGAAACAAAAAGAAAGAAGAAGTATAAGACGCATGATATTAGGCAGATGTGACAAAAGTGTAATTGCTTTATTGGCTTTCCAGTATACCTGGGATACACTGCTAGCAATTTGCCTCCATGCTATGATGAAAAGTGGGACTGCAAGAACTTGCTGAAGAGTATGCAAGTTTGAGGAAAGCACTTTAAACATGGGACATGCACTTGGTGTCAAGGTAGCACTGACAAGTTCTGCAGGAGAACTCATAACAAACCACCTAGCAGACAAAAAAATTCAAAACGTTTTAACTTGCTACATGTGTTGAAAGACTTATCTAAGTAACAGCTGTTGTAAGGAGTGGCTTACTTGTCTTTCCGATATGGCCTGCTCCGAGCCTTCACATCAAGGAGAACAGCCTCACACAAATTGTTGAGAAGATCATGTTTCATTCTCTCCAAGAGCTCTAGGCTCTCATCAAATACAGATCCAGCTGTTTCTTCAAGCTCTTTCTCTGTTGGAGTTTCTCTGCTGGCATTGAGTTGACTTTGAAAATATTGCAAATTTAAAAAATGCTGAAATTAATGAAACTCTATAAGTTTACCATCAGCTATGAAATTAAAAGTGAAAGTCATCAATTTAATTAAAATATGTTACTTACAGTATTGCTTCCCCATTCTATGAGAACAGATGCTAAATAATTGATAGAATTAAGAATAGCAGGAAACCTTGCTTTTGGTTTTAATGGGTCTGGGTGTTCTTCTCGAAGCAGTTGAAGTAATCTGACGCGCCAGTCATCGAGCAATTCTAGTTGAAGCTCAAGAAACTGCAATCTAAAATATTAAAATATATTGTGAGCAAAAGCCGGCATTGCAAACAAAGTACAAAGACCCCTCATCTCGCCAACAAATAAAAAAATGGAAAGAAAGGAAACAAATCCTGCATAAACTGCTCATTTGAAATTACCTATGGCCTGGTTGGGGTAAGCAACTATATCTTTCAGTTATTGCCAGAAGTAAGGACAGGAAACTATCAATACTCTCTGTAACTTTCATGTCGTCCAGATCGGATGGACCAAGAGGTGACCAAGCTGTTTCACTGCTCAATAAAGCATCCATTTTCTCCAGGGCATCTGGGGGCGAATAAATACAAATTAACATAAAGCCAATCTAAGCTTGTTTATGATAATGAAAACAGAACAAATATTACTCACGTTTCTTTTCAAGATGAAGCCACCGAATGAACAGAGATGCTTGAGTGAGAACTGCCAAGAGTGTGTGCTCATTGTATCCATAAGTTTCACGTAGTTCACGGGCCAAAGATAATGTTTCATCGACCGCATGTGAGAAGAGCAAATCATCCCACTGGAGTGTTGGAAGCTCCGCATGTAATTTACCAGCAACCAATTGTACCAGCCCTCGAATAAGTTCAGTCTGCGGGAAGACAAAAATAGAGTGCAATGTCACATAAGATAAAAATATCTTACAATATATAACATGATTTTAAAAATAATTTTGAATATAAACTTACTTGGGCGGATACATTTAGTGACAAGTTATCCATTACTGGTTGTACCCACTCTTCAACAAACTGATGATGGTCCCTAATCCAAGCTAGAACCTGTTTCATGAACACATTTAATTATGCTGATACAACAAAAGAAAGACATTTACTAAACTTAAAGAATATTAGCTCACCTGTGTAAAGCACCATTCTGGTTTGTCAGGTCTGCTTGTCTCTTTGTCAGGGCGGCAGAAATGGAAAACGAAGCGGCGTCTTAAAGGTCTAAGAAGCAGCTGTAAAGGTGGTGAAAGAGGGAGTGTATCCGTCAAAAGAGTTGAGTCCACTGTTTCTTCAGCCTCATTACTGGAGCCAAGTTAAGGACCATATAAGATGAATATTTTTAAACAGTTAACAAAAGTTTGTTGGTTAGCAAAAGTAGATTACAATGGTCTGTAAGGATACGGTAGCTGTATTTTCAGGAGATACTCTGTCAGTACTTGAAACCGAGCCATGGTATCAGCAGGAGGAGCAGACACAACACCATTTGAAGAAACAAAAGGCCACTTTATGGCTTGCAGGATTTCTTCAAATTCTCTGAGGAAATGAAATGTTAAATGAGTGGTTTTGTTATATTCTAAAGAGTTCATTTTACATTAGATACTCACTTTGAAAATTGTGATTTTAGAACTGTGTGCCAGAAAAGAAGAGTCTCTTTCAGAAATGCAATGAAGTGGGAACACTGAGACCCGTGAATATCTTCATAACTCTGCCGTAATCTTTGAAAAAGTACAACACAATGAGCATCTGCTCGCTCGTGCAAACTTGATTCCAGTTCACAGCTGAAAATTTTTTAATTATGATTAATGATACAGCTTTTGAATGAACTTAAGCTATGAATCATTTAATTCAATTAAGAACAGAATAATATCATAGAGATTGCTAACAAACCTCAGGTCTTCAACAGATCGAAGCCATCCTAGATATGACTTTGTCCTTTCAAGTGTCAGTATTTTGTTTAAATCATCCTCTAGGGAGCTTATAATATTTTCTCCATCCTTTAAGGGACCAGCACTATTTTCTAGTAAAGATGTCAAATCATCTGACAGTCGAGCGATTTGCTGTGACGTCTGTTCAACCTGCTGTACAGCTGCGCTCACACGAGATGGGACCTCGCTGCTTGCCAATGACAACTGAAAATATAAGGATTTTACTGAGTAACAGCATATTGATATAGAAATTAAATCATGGATCAGGCAGTTTCAAGCACATTTTTAATACCATTTTTTCAATTGATTCCTTTTCTGCTTTCACTCGCTCATTTATCTCTTTACATTTCCACAAATTTTGAATGTCACCGCCGAGCTCTTCATTCAACTTCTGAATGGCAGTCGTCGGACCCATGGCCATTACAATGTTCACGTTTGCATGTAAAAATCAATCGGTCAAAATGATTAAATGCCAACTGGGAAACCAGTCAACTTCAAAGTTTTGCTGCTGGATGATGTGGAACGAAAGAGGTTAGTGTCTGTTTGTATGTGTTTGCGTTTGGTTGGTAACTTTCTCATGCTACACGTCATCTGTCAGCTACACAATTTCTCATAGAAGCTGTAGGTTACGGATGGCGGGAACTTCAAATGCTTGCGTAGTAACGAACACTGATGCTTGTAAGTAGTAATTGTGTTATTGTGAGATGGAGGAAATATTTGTGAAACTCATAGCAATAAGAAGAATATGAAAAGCTATTTATCAGTGGTTTCAACGATTGTCTTTTTATTTGTCACAAAACTTTACAATACAAATGGCAAGTTGATATAAAAATACATACAACCAATTCTAAGCTGTCATCACTTTAACACTTAACGCATGATCGCCTCACAAGCGCTATTCACTCAAAGAGCTAATCTCATTTGTCCTAGGGGTGGCCCTCACCATCACTCCTCGTCTTGAGACGAGGACGAGGTCGACGTCGGGGATGCGGAGCGGGGGCAGTGAGGGCAGGGCCGGCAGCACGCCCCGGGCCGCAGCCTGGAGCGCAGCGCCCGCGCCGCGGCCAGCACCTCCAGCCGCTGGGGGCTGCTGCAGCACGTGGTGCACCAGCACGTCGAGTACGTGTCGCCGGCGGGGGCGGACCTCGCCGTCGCCATGCCCTTCCGCGACTTGGGCGGCGGCGGCGGCACGCGGGGGCGCTGCGGGTGGGGTCGCGGTGGCCGGCGCCGAGGCCGCCACCCGACCACGGCGACGGCGGGGGCGGAGGTTGTCGCCGCACTGCCCCACGAGCCCCGCACGCGTGGTGCCGCCCCCGCCGCCCCCGCTCAGGACAAGGCCATTGGGGAGATGTCGCTGCGGCGCGCTCGCTCCGCCGAGGAGGGGAGGTTGTCCGTGCTGGCCGCGCGCCGCATGACGCCGAGGCCGTGCGCCGCCATGCTGCAAGACGACAGACTGCTTGAGCACGCCGCCGCTCCAGGCCGCCAGCAGGACGAGGGTGGCGCCTACACTGAGACAAGGTATACCTGATGGGCGGGAAGTGCAGCGGGCGCGCCGTGATGGCGGGCTCGGGTCCGGGCAGTCCCGGCCCCCGCCGCAGCACGGGGCCGGCCAGCCCTTGGGCCAGCCCTCCCGGCACTGTCGGCAGCGTGGCGATGGTGGCCACGTCCCAGTCCGAGCCGTTGGAGCTGTTCGGGGAGACGCCGCTGCTCCTGGACGCCGAGTCGGCCGCGCGGCCTCCTTGGCCGCGGCTCACGCGTCGGTACATCCGCTCGCCCCTCCGGATGGCGGGCAGCTCGCCGGCCCGCGCCGACGCCCGCACGTCCGCCTGAGTGCCAAAAAGAACTTTAGGTCGTCTTGGACTTGGCAGTGGAAGCACTCGGAAGTGGCGGCGAAGCTCACCGCGTCGCTGCGGTCACTGGCGGCCTGCGCCGTGTACAGCCCGCGGCCCGTCGAGTCCGCCGTGAAGGTGGAGCCCAGGCTGCCGTAGGCGTCCGCCAGCCCGGACGCACTGTAGGGGCTGAAGGCCGAGTAGGCCGCGGCGTGGATCTCCTTCTGGTACAGGCGGTAGAGGTCGTGCAGGTCCGGCGGCAGGAGCAGGCGCCCGTCTGGGGACAACATTCGGGCAGGTCAGACAGACCTGCTGGCTGACTGCGAAACTGCAGGATTGCAGCTCACGCACCCTCGATGAGCCTGCGCTGGCGCGTGATGATCTCGTCGCAGATGTGGCGCTGGCGGTCGTAGCGCATGAGCAGAAGGTCGCGGCGCCGCAGCTCGTGGCGCCGCAGCTCGCGCTCGCCCTGCAGCGCCAGGCGCTCCGCCTCCAGCTCGTGCACGCGCAGCACCAGCGACAGCAGCTCGCGCTCCTCGCCGGACGTGGCTTGCAGCGGCAGCCCCTGCGCAAGCATGCGCAAGCACACCGTGAGTTCCGCGAGCGACCTACTCGCGTGCACCACCTCGGTCACGACCCGACTCACGTCCTCCAGGCGCGCCGCCTCCCCGCGGGCCCGCTCCAGGTCGCGCTCCGTCTTGGCGCGCAGGTCGGACAGCCGGCTGCGCTCGTGCTCGATGGACTCCAGGGCGTGCAGCGCGCGCCGCATCGGGGAGCCCGGCGGGGAGCCGCTCTCGCCGTCGCCGTCGGACGTCTCTGCGGTGGACGGAAAAGCGTCACGACACGAACTTTCAGAAATGAAGACACAGCGAAGTTATCTGCGAGTACCCGTGTCCGCGATGGTGGACGGCGCGCCCCGCACGCTGCGCGTGCCGCGGTACGACGTGCGCGTGGTGCCCGCCGTGCTGGGCACGGCCTGGCCCTGGTACAGCTTGTTGGCGCGCGAGAGGATCATCTGCTGGCGGTCCGTCTCCGAGTCCAGCCGCAGCAGCTGCGCGTCGATGTCCAGCAGCGTCCGCCGCAGCCGCATCTGCTCCCTGAAGATGGCCACCAGGTCGTCCCGCAGCCGCGACAGCGCCACGCCGCCCCCGGGGCTGCGCGCACCGCCACCCCCGCCACCCCCGTCGGCCGCCGCGGGCATGGGGGCCGGCACCCCGGCACCTGCGGAACTGGGGACATGACGACAGTGTAAAGGCAACGGAAGTGAAGCTCGCACGGAAAGCGCCCGCGGAATCGAGCATAGGCAGGCCCGCACCACATGGCCCCGCGCCGGGACTGCCCAACCCACAGGCGCTTCGCTCCCCTCCCCTCCTCGCCGTCTCGAGCCGCGGCCGCGGCCGTGCCGTGCTACCTGGTCGCCGCGCTCCCCTCCACATCTCAGCAGAGTGGCGCAGTGGAAGCGTGCTGGGCCCATAACCCAGAGGTCCGAGGATCGAAACCTTGCTCTGCTAGTCTCTTTTACGCGCCGCTAAGACAGCTTAACAAACACTCGCAGGGAGTTGCGGCGTACCTGGCGGTGAGCTCGCCCTCGGCCAGCTTGGCCCTGAGGCGGCCGATCTCGGCCCGCAGGTCCGACACGATGTCGCGGTACTGGCCGGCGCGGCTGGTGATGGTGCCGGCGCGGTGCGCGTAGGCCAGCGTGTTCCTGGTCTCGTCGGCGTGCTTCTCGCCCGGCGACACGTGGGCGATCATGACGGCGCGCACGTCCCCCGTCAGCGCGTCCTTCAGCAGCCGGGTGAGCTTGGAGTCGCGGAAGTTGACGTAGCGCGCGCCGCCCGCCAGCGCGTTGATGCAGTTGCCCAGCGCGAGCAGCGAGCGGTTGATGTGCGCGCCTTCCTGCAGCCGCTTGCCGCGGTTCTGCGAACAAGGCCGAGCAGGCATTGGTCTACACGGAAGCCCTAGCAGCCTGCAAACGACGGCCGTTACTCATCGCTAGTACCTTGGTGTTGGAGGCGCGCTCCGACCCGGCCAGGTCGATCATGTAGAGGCGGCCCGAGGGCGCGCTGAGGGCGCGGACGCCGGCCGCCGGGTTGGGCGTGCGCGTCAGCCGCACCGACAGCAGCGCGTGGCTGCGCGACGACGCGCGGTTGGCGGCCGTGGGCTCCACGGTGCGCGCGCGGTTGCCGCGGTGCAGCAGCTGCAGCACCTCCGCCGTGGAGCGCGTCTCGGTCTCGGTGAGGCCCGCCACCCGCACGCCGCCCGCCTGGTCCTCGCGCAGCTCCAGCGAGCCGCCCGCCGTGCCGGGAGGGCCCGAAGGGTTCAGCAGGTCGCGGATGTTCTCGTTGTAGATCTCCAAGTACGACAGCGTGACCTGGCGGCGAGGGATGGATTCATGAAAGGCCCTGCCCCACCAGAGGACGTCCCCGTCGACCGCCACTCACCCTGTCGCCGAGGTGCGCCGCCTGGCCGAACAGCTCGTTGAGGGCGCGCACCATGACGCCCTGCTGGCCGGGGTCGGCGGCGTCCTCGGGCCCCACCATGGTGTGCGTCTTGCCCGCGCCCGTGGCGCCGTACGCGAACACCGTGGCGCTGTAGCCGCGCAGCACGGCCTCCACCAAGGGCCGCGTCGTGGACGCGTACACTTCCTCCTGCAGACAGAGACACGCGTTGGGAAGCATTTCGACACGGTTTTTGGGGTTTTGGCGTGCTTTCGCGAAAGGCGCGAGCCCTGTGCGATGTCGGCGATGTCGTGACGAGACGGCCACCCGCTCGACACGCCATCTCAACAGGTGCACTTTCCTGCAAAGTATCGGGCCGAATCGAACGGAAACGGGCAGTGTGCATGCGTGACTTCGGCTATCTTTGCCGTTTCTCCGCGTTTCGTGCAAAATTCTCGTGTTCGGTGTCCCTGTCCTGACGCTTACCTGGGTGGCATCCTCCTCGAACACCTTGTCGCACATGTACTGGCGGCTGGGTCCGCGCGGCCGGGCCCTGGTCCCGGAGGCCGGCGGCTCCTCCAAGATGACGGTCTGCAACGAGCGGAACAGAGAGTGACAAAGCTGGTCGCGCGCCCGAGGCCGCGCCGCTCCCTCGCACTCGTGCGGCGTCCCTTGGGAGTGCGAGAGAGACAGAGCGACGGGGCGCTGCTCGGAATCAGAGCGTGCTTCGGCTGCTTCATCGATTGACCGCAGCACCGCGTAGCACGCCAAAGTCCGGGGTCCTGTCTTGACGCGCAGCGCGCAGCGCCAAGCCGTGCCAAGCAATCAGGGAATTTTCAATCGACCAGCACGGAAGGGAGTCGTCGTGTCTGTGCCGAAGGTTACACCGCCGGCGTTTGTTTACATTTTTCAACAGTCCGGACTGTAACTTTAATCAAGCCGCAAGTGACTAGTCTTCCATACACTGTCTCGTGGGGACTTTTAATTGCAAGGCTGACTGCGTACGATAGTGTCGAATGGGGAGGTCCTTTCCTTTGCCACCCCCGGAATAGCAGACGCCCTCGCTTTGAGCACATTTGCCGCCAACTTCGGAGAGACAATAACCTCGACCATCTTCTCCTGGAGACCGACCGAGACCGGAACACACAGCGTTGCGTGCAGTGGCGTGGCGCCGGCATCATTTTTTCGTTGTGTTGTCTGGGAAGAGGAAGGGGAGGGGAGGGGAAGGCCCTCGGAGCGCGGCCGCGCGGCGTGCGGCGTGCCCTCCGCGACCTCATCAAAGGCCTCATGATCAATGCAAGGGGCCGGGATGAACGGCCGACGCGAAGAGGAACAGCAGGCCGAGAGAGAGAGAGAGAGAGAGGGGGGGGGGGGGCGCTCGTCGCTACGTCGCCAGAGGTCTTAATGCCGTGCAACAAACGCCGCGGCTGGCAGTTGAACCATTAAACCATCACGCCGCTTCACGAACGGCGGTGCGTGCCGCGCAGTGCCGCGTCGTTTGCGAACGCCGACCTCCCTGCACTCGGTCGCACCCCTTTGCCTGCCTCTCTCTCTCTCTCCTCTCTCTCTCTCTCTCCTCTCCTCTCCCTCTTCGCCTGACCGGAAGTGTCTCTGTCCGCCGCCGTAAAGCGCCCTCGAATAGCCGGGTCGCCACCTCGCCCTCAGGGATTTAATTCACATATTACGTGACGTCTGTCTCTCTCGCACTCACTCGCAGTCTATAAAGAGCAACAAGGACAGAGCTATGGAAAAACGTCTCGTAATAAGTGATCGACCCCTACCGTGGCTAGGCTCGCGGTGCACAGAAGACCCAAGGCCTGGACGGACAACTCTACACACAGTGTTCTCTAATAGTATAGTTCGAATCAAACGCAATCAACCAATGGACTTTTGGTTCCAAGATCATGTCGCTGTGGGTTCAACTGTCGTTTACGATCGAATCCCATGTTGGGAGAGGAAAACTGGCGTCCGACTGTTCTTTTGAGTCTTTGTGCGCTGGATGATTGGGCACGACAGTCTCGAGTGTTCCGAACAGTACTTTCGTGTCACTCTTTCTCCCTCGCACCCATGAGAGAGAGAGAGATAGAGGCTCTGTTCCGAATCGGCCCACGGCGGCACTGTTAAATAGAACGTAGCGTGATCAGTCCAGGCATGATCTTCCGGCCGCGATTACGAAGGAACGGCGCGACCGCGACCCCGCGCCTCGCCCCGCGCACGTTTTGCGGCCGAAACGTAAAATGTAGACGAATACGCGCGACGGCTACACGACACGGCGCAGATACCCCCGGCGGCGCTGCGGGCGATACCCCGCGCTATAATTACCGGCAGCTTCGCGTGCTCATAACGCGCCGCCTCTGCCGCTGCCGCTACCCGCACAGTGGGCCAGAAGACCGGCGCAGGCGGCCACAACTCTGGACGCGTTTTGAGCACCACAGACGCTGAACAGGACTCGAACCGGACGTGTGACCCCACCCATGCATTGCTCTCCGAACGAGGAATCCATTGGTGGGGTCGCACGTTCGGTTCGAGTCCCATTTAGCGACTCTGGAGCTCAAAACACGTTCGGGATTTTTGACCGCCTCCGCCGGTCTTCTGGCCCACTGTGCCCCGCCCGGCGAGCAGGCAGCAGTCGCCTGTGAGGCGCTGTGGCGCCGTGGCGCTGTGCAGTGGGCCAGGCGAGTGAGTCAATTGGCGCGGTGGCGTCGATCGGTTCAATGACACTTGCCCACTCGGAGCTCGTATGAATGACATGCCGCGGCCCGTGTGCTCCGAGACAATCAATAGAGGGAGGTGATGACCCCCACGCACTGGGGGGGGGGGGGTGATTTTGGATTAATGTGAAGGGGTCGCCGCGGCGGCCAGCAAGACCGCGAGAGAAGGGCCTTCTTCATGGCGAGACACGCACCATCCCCGTGAACCTGCCGCAGCACGGCGGTGCCGAGGCAGTGACCGCCACCGCCCTCTCCCCTCCCTGATTACGCCACTACGCCACGGCTCAGGGTAATTTGGACCAGGGGCATCGATTTGGCAGGGCCCTAAAAAAATAGAAGAGGTGAGTCCCGGTGGCCGGTCGGGCGGCTTGATGGCCATCTTGGTGATGGCCGGATGACAGAGGGCCTTGAGACGACCTCGGCCGGCTGCAGCAAGCAGGGCGAGGGGGACGTTCCAGCCCCCTACGGCGCCCCGCCCACCGCAAATATTTCAAAACAATGTCCAAAATCCTTTCCCCCTGAGGCCGTCTCGACACGCCCCCTGCTTCCCCGCGTGGCAGGCCGGCGTCGGTCGGGGCGGCGGCCGCGGCCATGGATTCGTTTGTGGCGGCCGTGGCGGCCGCCACCGCGTTGTCCTTCGCCGGCCCGCAAATCGTGTATCGGCGTGCGGTGCGGTACGCGCTGAATCGAAATCGGCCTGGCGGAGCCCGCGGCGCGCGCGGTGCCCCGCGCCCACTCGACTCGAGCGTCCGCCGCGTGGTGTGGTGGAGTGGCGCGGCGGCATGTCGCGAATCGCTTAATGCAACACAACCGCAACCACTCCTGCCCGCTGCACTGCGTGACTGATAAAATGTCAAATGGAAAGGCCTTGGACCCGATTCCTATCGAGTGCACGGCGGGGCCCGGCAGGGCAGGGCTGGGTGTGGCGGGAGGGCGCGGGCTATCGACCTGCCTGGGCTGGACTGCCTGCCTGGGCTGCCTCTGGGGTACCAGTGGACGTGCCCGGCCCGATATCCTCACACCACCCGCATCCACACGCCGCACCGGCCGCAGCCGGACGCCCACTCCGCGTGGCCCGTGGCTTCGCGGCCCGCGGCCTCCACCACCGCCAGCCTATCGACTTCCGAGGGCCGCCTTCGTCGCTCTGTCTCTCTCGCACCTATACGGGACGCCTCACGAGTGCGAGAGAGACAGAGCGACGAAGGTGGCCCTCGGAATCAGTCGACTAAGCCAGCGCCTGGGCCGGCCCAGCCCTCCCTGCTCCCTGGGGCCGTGGCCGCGGGCAGCCCATCAGCCCCACTAATAGGCCGCCGCCAGTGGTGTGGCCAGGGACCGCTTTAGCTTATAGCTTCCCGTCAGCCCTCGAACGGGCGCCTGATGAGCGCTGAGCCCGTAAGCAGGCAAAAAGTACGAGCAAAGTACCCCTCGCCACCGCCTTTGGGCGAGCCTGGCATTGCACGGCCTGGCGAGGGTACTGTACCGCAGGGCAGGGTTCGGCGCCATGGACGCACAGTGGGCCAGAAGGCCGGTGGAGGCGGCCTAAACTCTAGACGCGTTTTGAGCTCCAGAGTCGCTAAACAGGACTCGGATCGAACGTGTGACCCCACCAATGGATTCCTCGTTCGGAGAGCAATCCATTGGTGGGGTCACACGTTCGGTTCTAGTCCCATTTAGCGACTCTGGAGCTCAAAACGCGTCTAGAGTTTTGGCCGCCTGCACCGGTCTTCTGGCCCACTGTGGGACGGCAGGGATTGCGGCTAGGGGGAGGGGACCGCGGGGAGGGTCCGCTCGGGCAGCGCCGCGTGGCGACGGACGACGCCGAAGTACCTCCCCACACCCTAACGAACCTGCACGATAGCGATGGCATCGCGGCACTGCACGGCGTGCTGCACGGCGTGCGCGCCCGTGTCGCGGGGGCGGGGCGTTTATCGGGTGAGGCTCGTTGCCGAGCCCCGAGCCCCACTGGCCGACTGCCCCACCACTCCCTGCAGTGCACTGCCGTGTACGCTGTCCGCCGTCGTCGCGCGGCCTCGCCAATGTCACCGCCGCGTGTCACAGGCGTGGTCTGCTGTCTCCTGACAGCAAGCTGATCCCGAGCCGGCCGGGATTCCCCGTGAGCGCGAGAGAGACAGAGCGACGAAGCGCCAAGGAGTGCGAAGGGCGGCGCCGGGTGCCCTTGGCGCGCCTCGGCGGGGCGGGGCGGACCGGCGGGGACTTAACTGCAGGGAGAGGCGCCCCATAAAGGCAAAGCACAGTGGGCCAGAAGACCGGAGAGGCGGCCAAAACTCTAGACGCGTTTTGAGCTCCAGAGTCGCTAAACGGGACTCGAACCGAAGGTGTGACCCCATCAATGGACTGCTCTCCGAACGAGGAATCCATTGGTGGGGTCACACGTTCGGTTCGAGTCCTGCTTAGCGACTCTAGAGCTCAAGACGCGTCTAGAGTTTTGGCCGCCTCCACCGGTCTTCTGGCCCACTGTGCAAAGGCCTGGCCGCCCTGGGCGTCGTTAAGCCGCTATTTTCAGCAGCGCCTTCCGCTGCCTGCATTATTCAGTCCGACTCGCTCTGTCGCTCTGTCTCTCGCGCACCCGCAGGGAGCGGCCCGCAGTGCGAGAGAGACAGGGCCCTGGAATAGCTCTGCAGAGTGGCCGACCTCGCCGAACTGATTGGCGGGGCTGGGATGCGCCGGTGAAACCGCTATCTCGCCCACTGCATCTGCTTGTTCGCGCGTTCTTTTTCGTGCTTCTCTTCCGTGCTCGGCGCGCAAGCCTGCAGGCCGGACAGGCCGGGGGGCGTGTTTTGTTTGCGCGCCGACACCAACCACGGCCCAAGGGCGCACAGTGGGCCAGAAGACCGGTGGAGGCGGCCAAAATTCGAGACGCGTTTCGCGCTGCAGAGTCGCTACACGGGTCGAACCGAACGTGTGACTCCACCAATGGATTTCTCGTTTGGAGAGCAATCCATTAGTGAGGTCATACGTTCTGTTCAAGTTCCATTTGGTGACTCCGGTGCCCAAAACGCGTCCGGGATTTTGACCGCTTGCACCGGTCTTCTGGCCCACTGTGGGGCGATGCGGCGATGCCCAAGGGTGCCGTGGGCCTTACCCACCTTTTCATTGAGGGCGTGTACGACCCGCTGACCCTCGTCAGGTCGATGGGGACGCACCCTGACGGCCACCTGCGAACAAACGAACAAACAACAGGCTTCAAGTTCGACAGTGGGGCAGCGCCGGGCAGCGCGGGAACAAGGGCGGGGCGGGGCCGGGCCGGGCGCGGAGTAAACAACAAAGTATCCGACGCACTAACACCAGGCCAGGCCCGGCCGGGCGAAAAACGCGCCGGTAACAAGCGTATCGACGTGGCCGCCGTGTCTTCCAGCGGACTTGATTCCGAACGGCGCTGCCGTCGGCCCGTCTGCCTGTCTCTCTCGCACTCACGGGACGTCCCGTATGGGTGCGAGAGAGACAGAGCGATTACGCTAGGCGTCAACGTGTGGGCGTGGCGGGACGGCCCGGACGAGGCGTCAATATTTCCCTTTGTCTAATGGCGCGCAAAGCCAGCAACGCGTGGCGGCGTGGCCCACCCTCCGCATCACCAACGCTATCTCTCCGTCGTCCTTCCCGTTTTTGGCTTATCTTGGCGTGTCGGCCGCAGTTAGCGCCGCGACGCCCCGCCCGGTGCACGGGCCCCACGGGCCGCGGGGCAATGGCGGCGACACACTGACTCACCACGAGCTTCTCATCGCTGCTCTTCGGGGTGTCCACGGGCGTGGGGTCGGCGTGGCCCCACTGCGTCATGGCGCCCCGGACTGGAGGCAGAGCAGGCCGAGCAGGCGGAGGCCCTGGCGGGGGAGGACGCTGAAGCCGCGGCTGCAGCAGCGCGTTGCGGACGGTCGCGCCACGCCGCCCTGCCCAAGGCCCTGCCGTGGCGGCGGCGTGGAGGCCGCGGGGCGCTGGTCCAGGGCCGCGTGCCGCGCTGCTCGAGCTGGACGAGGGCCTTCAGGGACGGGGCTGGGTGCCGCGGTCCCCGGCGACGCATCGCCGCGCGCACGTCCCTCGCGCTGCCGGGGGAAGACACGAGTCGGTACCCGAGACTCTCTCGCAGGCTTGCCGGCGATGCCGGGCTGCCGGGCTGGGCGGTGGAAATCGTTTTATTCCCGGCCGCGATGCATAATCCGTATTCCTTTCGCTTCGCGAGCGCCGCGCAGCACCGCGCTACTCGGCCCGGAAATTGCCTGCAGGCCCGCCGCCCCTGCGGGACTAGCACTGCGGCGAGGGAGCCCTCTCGCCAAGGACTCCGCGCCGCGCCACCAGCTCGCCGAGGAGCCGTACCACCGCCGTGAACCCCACGCCTGGACAGCGCGCACGCCGCACGCACCGACGGCACTCTCCGCACGCTTGACGCTACGTCACGCCGCCGCAAAGGCAGCAGCCCCGCGGGCCCCTCGCGCCGACCATCGTACCGCCACTGCCAGCCAGCCGCCACTGGCAGCACGCGGAGCACGCCGCCGGCACGGACCCTTCGGCCGCGGAGCCGCGGAGCGCGGGGTGGCCGTCCCGCCCCACGCCGCCGAGCCATGCCGCCTAGCCGCACCTGGTGGGGGAGCGGGGCGAGGCGAGGCGAGGCGCACTTCGCGGACCACGCAGGTGCCAGCCGTGCCGGCGGTGAGCCCCCGCCCTCCTTCCTTCTCCCCGAGCCCCTCGTTAGCCGTCTCGCAATGCTTTTGCACAAGACTGTGCGCCCCTCGGCCCCCGGCCCGCGCAAGGAGCGCGCGGAGTGACCCCCGTGACCCACATACTCTCTCGCCTGCTCGGCACCGGCCAAGGCACTGGCCAAGGCACCGGCACCCCTCGCTGGCCGCTTAGCGCTCGGCTCGCCTCGCCCGCAGCTTGGCCGCACGCTCCGCGGCAGTCCACGGCCAGCGCCCGCGGTGCTGTGGGTAGGCAATCCCGCCGGCGCGGCCCGCGCCCCGGGCTTGCCTACCCGTCTCTGCGCGGGCGCTTCGCCGCCGGGACGAGCAAAGGTGTGCTCTTAGTTGGATTTCAGCAGCGGAATGCCGTTGGCCGCTTGATGCCAGCGCATTCTTAACTCAACTAAAGATCTCCATCTCCGCCGTTCGTGGACCGCCACGCCCTCCGGTGGACAAGTGAGTCTACCGCAACAGGTGCAGCACCGCGGGGACGCCCCGGGGCAGTGACAGTGGCAGTGAGGCGACCCAGGGATGAATAATTGTTGCCGCCAATCAGCGGCCCGCTCCGCCCCGCCCCGCGCCACCACACCCCACAGCACACGAAGGTCGCCGTGAATATTCAGGAAGGGCAGCGAGCTCACCGACGACCAGGGTGGCGTCACCCAGCGGGGCAGTCACCCTCAGGCTGACTGACTACGAACGGCCCACAGTGGGCCAGAAGAGCGGTGCATGCGGCCAAAACTCTAGACGCGTTTTGAGCTGCAGAGTCGCTAAACAGGATTCCAACCGAACGTGTGACCTCACCAATGTTTTGCTCTCCGTACGAGGAATCCATTGGTGGGGTCACACGCTCGGTTCGAGTCCCAGTCCCGGGAGCTCAAAACGCGTCTCGAATTTTGGCCGCCTCCACCGGTCTTCTGGCCCACTGTGCGGCGGCGCCCCCGTCGCTCTGTCTCTCTCGCACTCAGAGGCGTGCCGCAGGGACGCGAGGGGGCCAGGGCGATGACGCAGACGCACTGGATTCAGCCCTCCGGTGGCGTGGTTGACGCCCTCCGCCAGTCCGTCCCGGCGTCTTCCGGCGCGCCTCCGAGCAGTGCCTCATTATTCCGGGAACGCCAGTCGTATCGCGGGGAAGTGGAAACGGCCCCGGACACACAGGTGGGTGGCGTTGGCCCGTTGGCGTCGCGGCGCCGTTTACCGGCGTAACAACAAGCGCCCCAATTCTTTTGACACCACCGCCACGGCACGGCCACGCCACCGCCACGGCACTGCCACGGCACGGCGCACGGTGTAGGTTGCAGGGGCGCAGCGTTACGGCCGGCCGACGCACGCAACCCTCGGCCCGACCAGCCCGACCCTCTCGAGGTGGCGGACGACGGCCTGCGATATCTGGGTCACGACTTCGGACGGCGCCGCGTTGTGAGGTCGGCGAGGTCCAGGCGGGGCCTCGGGCGGTGTTTCGTCGCTCTGTCTCCCTCGCACCCCAACGGAACGCCCAGCGAGAGCGAGAGAGGACGAAAGCACCGTTCGGAATCAGTCTGCAGGCCGGCGTGATGAATTGGGGGATTAGGGTAAATCAAACACTGTAATTGGTTTCCCTTTTAAAGCCCGCGGTACTTCCCCTCCCCGCGGCGGCCGGCAGCACTTTCCCTGCCCACCCCGAGGCCGCCGCCGTCACCGCCACTCAGCCCCGTGCAAAGGGGAGAAGCTTGCATGGCCGCCATGCATAAATGCATCAGTATTTAAATTTTCTCCCAGTTTCAGCGCACGCCTCGGCCTGGCCGGCCGGGCCCGGCACGCCGCGCTGGGAGGCCACCGTGTTTTACTAATGAACGGGGCATCGTCACGCAAACCGCGGATATGGACTCACCCGTGAGGAGCCGGGGGGGGGGGGGTAGGTAGGCCCAAATGGGGCAGGAATGCTGGCAAGGGAGGCACCACGATCACCCCCTATGCAACCGCCGACTTAAACAAACTGGCCTTAAAAATGTATCACGGTACAAATTATAGTAGAACTCTTAGTTTAACTATGAAGAAATTTTTGTAGGACTATTGTTTTGCTTGCTCTTTGAACTTTGTTTACTTAAAAGCAGAAAGAACGGGCGAATATCAGCGGATGAACACCTGGAAAGAGCACTACCTACTCATTGAGTGAATCAATAAATTGAATTTGAATCTTAGTTGGGCCCGTCCAAACATAAGAACTTGAAATAATTTAAATTTATTACTTTTATTTTCACAGTGTTACAATCTTGGGAAGAAGTTTTGCTGCATTGATACATTGTACAAATGAGTTTCTTTGTAATGCAAATAAAATGCCTTATAATTGCGAGGAAATCCCTTTGCAAGCGTACAAAACTACCATACGATGCCGATCCTTCGCAAAGTTACTCGCCAGTGCACACCTAAACACAGCAAAAGCAAGCACAAGGGAATTCCGAGAAGACTATAGAGTCCTAAAGGCCCTCACAGGGGAGAAAGCGAACCCTTTTTTTTAAAAATGTTCTGGGTTTTTGCTTTCCCAAAAACACAAGAAAGTGCTATGCGTAATTCCTCATAGTTGTTGTATGTTTTCGTCTTTCGGTAGCCCCGTGAAGCCTAGAGCCCTTTGGGAGCCCCTTCGGGTCCAAGTTATAAATCCTCATTCTTTTCTTTGTTGATTGAAGCCTTCAATATCGAAAGTCACAGCGTTTTAGGCAAATCCGGAATTTTGAAATCCTACGCCGGGAACGGCGCACGGGGTCAATTTTGTTTCATTTCGACCTTTTGTTTGATTTTTTGTGTTCTTTGTTTGAGGGGAAAACTAGAATCAAGGCACATTGGGCGCTTGTCCTAAAAAGCTCCTCATTTCTCTTGTCAACTGAACAGTCATTGAACGTCAGATGCAAACTGTTTAGACGTTTTCAGGCTCTGCCAGACGAATCTTAAAAACGCAAGCCGGAAGCGGAAGCGCATGGCGGACATTTTGGTCGTCAGTATGAGCACCAAAATCGGTCAGAAGTCAAGACGCGGTTCGCGGATCTCCCCTTTAGGGCCTTTAGCCTTATATCCGCTTGGGCGATGGTGGATAGTGGACAGTGGACATTTCAGGGTGCGACGTTGCCAGCCTGCTTTTGTTTATTTACTTCCTCGTCTTGTCACCCACCACAAATGGTGCTCATCTCGTGTTTTAGCCATTTCTAACTCACTATGCAAGAAATGCAGCTGGAGCAGCTTCAGGAAAGAACGCAATAAGTTCAAAATGATGATATTGTTATTGGTGAGCGGCAACGTCGCACTGAACCAGCGCCTTATAACCGGGAACAGACTCTCCTGAAACGTCCACTATCCATCCACTAAGGGCTAAGCGGATACGGGGTAGGACTCTAGAAGACTACTTGAGTGCTCATCGATTTTTCATACCTCGAGTCGTTATAGCCTCGTCACAGGCTTCCGCGCAAACGAATGTGAATGTGGCTTCTGCTTTTCGTTTCTAACCTAACAGTTGTTGGCTGGTTTCTACTGCTTTCGGCAGGCCAAGATACACAATGCAAAATTACTCATAAGAACGTGTTCTACATGACGGGTTGAATATGTTTTCATGCTTTGCGGTAGCAGTGAGATTGCGGGACTAGTGGTCATGTCCCTTGAAGTATGCCATGCTCTGCTGTGCTCCAAGAATTATTTTTTCTGCAGAGGATGCTGAACATTTCTTCTGCTTTGCTTCCAGCATACAAGCCTTGAATATCAGAAAGCCACTCACAGCGTGAACAAAATCCGCGGGTTTGTGTCTTTTATAATTCCTATCGTCGACTTACAGGCGCTTACGCGTCAATTAAACTGTCAGTTATTTATTTTTATCCTTTTGTTTAATTTTTTTTGTTGCTTTTGTTTTTGCAGCTGGCAAATCTAGAATCCGGCACAATGGTCTCTCTTCCTGAAAATATGACACCTCCTTTGTCTTGTGACAATCTTGGGGGCGTGTTTGGACCTGATCCAACTCAATACGCAATGACTTCGGTGTTGGGACAGTGCTGCGATGATGCAGGTCAAGTATACCTGGCAGTGTATTTGCCTACAAACACTCCAATCGCTCTTAAAAAGTTTAACATGGACAAGGCCAAAGATGAAATGGATAACATCCAGGTGAGAACAGTTGCAGTATAAATCAATGATTTCATCAACTGCTCCAATATGAATGTTGGCTAATGCACCTTTTTGACTGCTTCCAGAATGAAATAATTTTGACCCGTCAGTTGCGCCACCCAAATGTTGTTGTGATCAATGCAGCATTTGTATTAGATAATTATATTTGTGTTGTTTCACCCTTGATGGCGTTTGGATCTTGTCGAGATTTGTTAAATCGGCATTTTACTGAAGGATTGCCAGAACTTGCTATTGCATTTATCCTCAAGGATGTTCTTTTGGCCCTAGATTACATTCATAAGAAAGGATACATTCACAGGTGATTTAACATTGTAATTTCGAATACTACTCAATAATGACTGCATTACTAATAGTTCAATTTTGTATTCACCAGAGCTGTGCGAGCTAGTCACATATTGATAAATGAGTATGGACAGGCTGTTTTATCAGGACTAAGGTATGCCTGTCGATTAGTAAAAAATGGCAGGTGGCAGAGAAATGTCCACTCATTTCCTTCCAGCACTTCTAGAAATTTGAACTGGCTTAGTCCAGAACTTTTAGAACAGGTGATAACAAATTTTGTGAACTTTGTGAAAACTCACCTTGTCTGCATCAATATATAATTATTATATGTGCTTAAATGTTTCAGAATATGCAAGGTTACAATGAGAAATCTGATATGTATAGCCTTGGAGTCACTGCCTGCGAACTGGCAAATGGCATGGCTCCTTTTCAGGATCATCCACCAACACTCATGTTGACTGAGAAGGTTAGAGGTTTTGCTCCAGTGCTGTTGGACTTCACGACGTGCCCTCAGTATTCTGACACAGGGCAACAGAACTCAAATCCGAACCAAGCACATGGTATGCCATCTGATGCGATAAGTATGTCCTGCTTTGTATATATGCCAATCTCAGTTTCAAATTTGTTTGAGGCTGACAAGTATTTGTTTTTCAGACTCTGGTGTTGGTGATAGTGTGGGATCAAATGGCAATAGTTTGGAGGGTGGTGGGCTTGCCTCAAGGCGCTTCACTGATCACTTTCATCGATTCTCTGAACTCTGCCTTCAAAGAGATCCCGAGCATAGACCAAGTGCTGCACAACTTCTCCTCCACTCATTTTTCAAATTACCCAAACGAATGAATGCACCTCCACTGCCACAACTCCTGCATCCAGTCATTCCTCTTACCAAAGTAGTATTGGGTACAGAAAGTGAGTAATTGTTTTTAATTTTTTTCTGAGAAGATTACAGACAATTTCTTAAGCTTGAGGTACCAATTATTTCAAATATTTTACTGTCTCTTTTCCAGGTAGTGAAGACTTTTTCGGTGTAGCAGACCGCCTCAGTGATTTAGATTTAAACACATGTGAGTGGGACTTCTGAAATAGAATTGGACTATCAAATGAGTTATGAGATGTGAATCAACTTTTATTGTATTATTTGTTTTGTAATGCCTGTGCATGACTGATCTTAAATTTACAGTCAATATTTATAAATTTTGGCTGTTCTGTTGTTTTTCTTGTTATGACCATAAGTACAAAGGAGTGTGTAAGCCATATCAGTGGTTAATCAATTGAATGCAGTATGAATTGAGACTGAATAGGGTTACAATTGAGAAATGTATTTAAAAGATTATTCCTACATTGAGTCACTACCTAAGCATGACATTGTTTCTGTTTTTTCTTTACCTAATTTTTATCTTGTTTGCACCTGACAACACTGTGTTGGGTGTTTTCCATATTTTAACCTGTGGTAACGCATTTAAAATTCAGAAATATTTTGAGTCTATCTAGTTCACACACTGTTCAAACACAACTTTGTCTAATAAGCTGAATAAAACCGAAAAGTGCATTAAATATTTTTCTTTAAGAATGTCTTTTTGTTGGTGTTGGCTGTAACTCTCGTAGTTTTTGCCAATGTCGCAACCATTATCAACCCAAGTAGTAGTTACCCCCAAGGAGAACGGAATCGTCCAAAAAGGTCACCGTGAGCTGCAGGTGAAGGATTTTCGTCGTGATTTGGGCACATTAGGTCACATGTGACTCGAAATAGCTCACGATGAGCTTTTCAATTCTGTTCTCCTTGGGCAGTAGGTGACGTTAGGGACTGTAGGGCTATGCCAGGGGGCCTGAAGCTGCCAAACCAGGTTTGGTGACGAGTACGAGAGCAGGTTGCGTGCGTTGAGTTGCCTGCCTCTCCGGCTGAGTCTTCAGCGCTCTGAAGTTAAAAGTTGCCTCGAGCGCCTGCCGAGTAGGCAACCCATCGTGCATCCGCGTGCGGGGCTGGCCTGTGCGCCGGGCGCCGGTGGTACTTGCTAGAGTCCGGTGGCGCCGCCCACCGCCACGCCTCTGTCTCTGTCTGCGCGAAGCACGCGCACCCCTCGGCCGGACCACGAGGCCGCCGCCGCCGCCACCGCATCCCATCCAATCCCATCCCGGGAAGCCACGCCCGGCCGTTTTAATTGCCGCCAAGTGGAGTCCTCGTCGGCGTCCTGGCGGCGCGGGGCGTGCGAGAGCGCCGCCGCCGCCGTCTCCGGAACCTGTCGCCGCGCGCTGCGCACCGCGTCTCGCATCTCACCGCGCGCGGCGTGCGTTGTTTTACGGCCGCTTTATGATCTGGACCAATAATTTTGCGACTTCGCGAGGCGCGGCGCGGCGCGGTCCGCCACTATAACCGGAGGGCGGCGCGTTGTGTGACGGCCTCGGCGATAGCGGGCTGCTGGGCCTGCAGGCTCATTCCGAGCGGTGCTCTGTCTTTCTCGCGCCCCTGCGGAACGCCCCGCGAGAGCGAGAGAGACAGGGAGCAGCTTGCAGGCTTGCTTGGCCTGCTCGGCGCCCGTAAAACCGAAGCCAACTCGCCTGGCCGCGCCGCCAGGGCAGCCAGGGCAGCCAGGGCAGCCAGGGCAGCCAGGGCGTCACACTCCGCTCCAATATCTGCGACGCGGCAGCGCGGCAGCCAAGCGCGCCGTGCCGCCGTGCCGTCGCACCGTCTCCGCGCACTTCTTGCCCGCGCGGCGCGCACTCGGCCCGGCTGGGCTCGCTCCGGCCGGCGCGGCTCGGCTCGGCTCCACTCGCCTCGCCACTTTTAATGGATGCAGCGATCCCTTCCCTTCGGAGCTAATTAAGGTGTCCGGAGATGCGGACTCGACTCGGGGTTTAGGCTGTCGCAGCGCGGCCGAGACCGCGCGCGGCGCGGCGGCGTGTGTGTAGGGGCGTTGTCGCTCTGTTATTGCGCTTTATTTTCCGCTGTAGGGATTAAGAGCGGAATGTTCATGATGACCTTCGCTTGCATTTGGCACCATGTCTGAAATCTGCAGAGGCAGTGACTGGGGCTATCGGAAACGCCGCGACAAAGGTGAATGCACAGCCCCGCCGTTACACGCCCACCCCACTTTCCCTGGCCTCTGGCTCGCGAGGGGCAGTGACCCATTCATACAGCGCGAGGGAAACACTCACCGCGTAGACAAACTTCACCCGTGGGGTCAAGGGGGACCAACCGGCGCCAACAAGGTACCTTTATTTTCCTCCTGATGCCGCCCAACTACGGCGCACGCAGCCGTCCCGTCCCAGCCTGCATGGTGGAGTCTCCCCGGCCCCGGCCACGCCCCGGCCGGCCCCGCGCGACGGCGCGCTGCTCTGCGGCTCTCCGTTTTAACAGTCTTTGCCGATGATGCTAATGAAGAGGTTGAGGGCGAGGCGAGGTGGCACTGCTGCTCGCACTGCCGCTGCCCCGGTCCCCGGCTGCCCGGTGGACTCCTCGTCAATTATGATTTGGTGCGGCAACAACCGTAAACTGCGCGATATGAGTAAACGTCACGCGGGGCTCCCCGGGCCCTCCGGCTCCAGGTCCAGCTCCAGGTCGGCATCGCGCGGCGCGGCGCTTAAAACGCGAGTTTATTGGGGCTTCGCCGAGCAATTATTGACCGCAATAAACCGCGGGCCGGCCGGCGTGCGGCGTGCGGCGTGGAGCCCGCGAACAGCTCACTCAGGACTAGAGGGAAGTCCCCCGACGCCGCGAAGGATGCTCGTCTACCCGCAGGCTGGCCGCGGGCTGCGGGCTCCTGCTCCACATTCCGCGACATACTGTCCCAGCAGGTCGTCGCGCAGGCCGGCCAGCCCGGCCGCCACTATCGCCACTCCTACAAGCAAACCGGTACCGCGGCGTGCAGCCAGTACTAGACTCCGCGCCAAAACGCGCCAAGCGCTCGCTCGTCCTGCGGCGTGCGGCTCGCCATGTCGTCCCGGAACTTGACCGCCGCGCTGCTGCCCGGCTGCTGCTTCCACCGCCCCCGGCGACGACGACGCCCTGCTTCGCCTCCGCGTCGCCTCCGCCTCGCCTTGCACTTGGCAGCGACACCGGCCACTCCGCGCGGGGGGCTCCGGGCGGGGCGGGGCGGGGCGCGGCGGGGCGCGCTGGCGCCAAATCCAGGCGGTCGGTAGCCAATCTGCCGAGGGCGGGGCGCGAGGCGAAAGGGAATCAAAGCCGGAGAAAGGGCCGGCGAGACTTTTTAACACATTACGTGTGGCTCGAGCCACCGCAGGGCACCGCAGGGCTGACCACACGGGCGGGGCCGGGCCGGCCGGGCAGGCCGGGCACCGCCACGACTAGCCCTGCTAACCTATTCCTGTTAGGTACCCACCGGCCGGCCGTTTTGTTCATCAGGCACACGCACACCAACACACACACACACACACCAACACACACCAACACACACTCACACGTCCCCGTGAAAGCGACGCGAGGCTGTGGTTTTGGCGATGGTGTGGCCTCCACGGCCGAGTCCACGGCGGTCCACGGCCCGGGCCGTATCACTGGCCGGCCGGGCTGCGCCGGGCTGCGGTCTGCGTGTCGCCTTACCCGATTCGGCTCCAGAATGTGTTGGCATGACTGAGTATCGTGTGGCCTGGCCGGGCCTGGCTGCTGCTGCTCGGCCGGCGCCGTGGAATGTAGCAAAAACGCGGCGCATCGCGCGGCGACCGCTGCGACACCAAGGCCGGGACCAAGGCTGCCGACCCGGCAAGCAACCCCGCGCTAACGACGCTGCGCCGCCACGCCGCGGTGCGCACGGTGTGGCCATCCATTCATTTGCCGGCGTGCGCGCTGCGTGCGCGCCGCGATTTCCTCCGTAAGAATGGCGAACCAATTAGCGACATCTAGTCGGCCGGCCCGTCGACACTCGCCATCGGGCAGCAGCCATCGGGCATCGGGCAGCGCGATGAGTCACCGACAGCCGCCGACAACCGGACGTGCTGCTCGACGGGCTGACCCGGGCAAGCCAGGGCAAGCGGAAGCAAGCGCGGACGCGCGCCCGCGGGATGGATGTCGCCGAGATGAGTCCGGCAAACCGCCCTCGTGGAGAGTCCTACACGCTGCCGTCGTGGAGAGTCCTAGACGCCGCCGTCGTGGTCAAGAGTCCCGGACGCCGTCGTGGACAAGAGTCCCGGACACCGTCGTGGACAAGAGTCCCGGACGCCGTCGTGGACAAGAGTCCCGGACACCGTCGTGGACAAGAGTCCCGGACGCCGTCGTGGACAAGAGTCCCGGACGCCGTCGTGGACAAGAGTCCCGGACGCCGTCGTGGACAAGAGTCCCGGACGCCGTCGTGGACAAGAGTCCCGGACGCCGTCGTCAGTCGTCAACCCGACGCCGAACGCCTGCAGGCCTCAGGGTAGGCAGGCCCGCGGGACTGCGCGACGCGGCTGCTGCGCGTGGTGGCCTACCCTCGACTTCGCAGGCGCTCCGAGGCGCTCCCATTGCTTCGGCACTGCCTAGACCGAGACTCCGAGACCGAGGCGGGGCAGTGGGCAGGCCGAGGGGCAGGCGGAGCGAATGTCGCATGCGTGTCAATCGGATGCCAGACCGCCAGCTTCCGCAGCAGAGCGACAGAGCGGCGAGCCGTCCGACGGACACGACCGCTTGGCCATAAACTGGAACAGTGCAGCAACATTGCTTCCCTTTCAACCTCCTTACCTTAACTCTGGTCTAGTCTCACTCCTTTCGACTTCGATCGCGCGGGACTCTCACGCTCACTCATTCACCTACACACGCGCACACGGACACACACTTACAACGCGCACGCACACATACACGGTCTTTTCGCGGAAGCTCCGTGTAGGTCGCACCATTATGAGCTGCTGGCTGGACCAGTCTCGCCCCCCCCCTCCCCCTCCCCCTGCAGTCCTCCGCGACGGCCTGTCTGTTGACATCGCCGCAGGAATCAGGGTCGGATCACTTGGACTCGCTCACTCACTTCACTCTTTCTCTCTTTGGGATGTCCTGTCCCAGCTTTACTTTTACTGACGGGGCTCGGCCGGAGTACTGCACCGGCAGCTGCCCCGCCGGCCGGCCAGACTCCAGGGAGGGGGGAACCGGGGGAACGGGGGGACAAAAAACTGGCCGTCCGGCCGGCATCGACCGGTATTCGAACCGCGGCATTTCGGCCGGGCGCGCAGTGCACTTGATGCCGAGAGCACGGCGCGGCTCGGCGAAGCTCGGCGCCTCAAAGCAAAGGCCGTGTGCATTGCCGTTCCGTAATCCCCGCGTCCAGGGCTGAGTCCCTGAATCCCCGGCCGCACGAATTCCATCACATCGCCGTGTCTACGCGCTCCGACCGCTCCAACGGGGCCGAACACGCCGCCACGCCACGCCGTAGCGGCGCTACGGAGCGGACGCGGGTATCCGCACCATCCTCACGGACTCGAAGAGGGCGGGGCGCGAGTATCGGCCAAATTACTATTCCGGACGGGAACCAGACCAGCCCGGCCGGGCCCGGCCGACGGCGACCCGGCTATGTGTGCTCTCGTGGGGCGTGGCGGTCGCGGGGGCCTCGGCGACGACGTGGTGCTCCAGATGACTCGGCTCGTTCCGGC